GTATGAGTACCAAAAACGAGGACCGAATTGGCGGCTGCATCATTGTATGATACTGATAATGTAGATTTCCAAGAATTCTACAGTATAAAACGTACACGAAATACCATTACCAATACAAGCACACACGTGCTGCTCTTTCCACACATAAATTTGAATAATTTTATGGATGAAGCAATTGTTTTGGTTGTTATTCGAAAAAGGATTTGTTGTTTTCTTCGAAAACGATTTTGTTTAGCACGAAAAACCCTGTCTGTCGGTTGACTAGAGCGGGCGAATGAAGTTTACGAACGGGTGCGTTTTGCATCATTTCAAGCGAAAATAAGTACAAACCGAAAAAAAAGAGTATCATAAAGGTGACAACAATGAAGCCGATGTATGCACGATGAGAATTTTACGAGAAGCTTCAACATGAAAAAGAAAAACACGCACAAACACAGGCGTACGTTACATAAGCAGAAATTGAAAAATAATCCCATTTATTTTATGTACAAAACTCAAGTGGCGACAACGTGCAGTAGCATGCGTTCACTTTTCATATTGTCTAGATGATCCTATCGAACGCAACCCCAAAGTGATTTCGGTATCCGCTTCGAGTGATGATGGTTGCTAGCGATAGCAACAACAATGCAAACCAATTTGAAGCTTTAAAATCAATTCAAAGTGGGTAGATGTACAGTTTTAGGTGTAAATACGCTTCTTTTTTACGCTCAGGTGCCAATTTGTTTTAAGACCTAAATAATGGCTAATAATTGAATGATAAATGGAATCACACATTCGAGTGCTTTTTAAATTAGAGGTAAACAAATCTCTTCTGATGGGCATCGCTGAAGGTTAGTTTTTTTTCCATTTCGAGCGTTACTGCTGATTGAATGTCATTAAATGTGGATAGTGTCGATTTGTCATATTCAGTGGTTGCATATGCTCCAAAGTTTTCAGATAAATGACCAAATAAAACGCACGCCACACAAGTTATCGACTGCGTAAAAAAAGTCATTTAAAAAGGAACTATTTGAACGTATTGCAATTTGATTATATTGGAAACGAATAATGTTAAGGATATAGAAAGATTATTGTCGTTATAAAAGTTTCACTTCATTTTTCGTCGTTTAATATGCCGAAACACGTGCGACGGAAAAATGTATACACGAGCAATGGGAGGAAAAAAAACTCGATCTCAATGCAAGATGGTTATAATGATTATGACCAACATCATGATGACGATGACACCATCTGCTTTTTATTGGAAAATATTAAATTTAAATTGAATTATATGCGAATTTATTGGGAACGAAATGGAAATTGGCGGGTGCGCAAGTATAACAAAACAAAACGACAATTTCGCTGGAGAAAAAAGCTATTTCCGAGAGAGAAAAAATCAAATGACATTGGAAGTATTTGAATGTAAGACGATTTATATCAAAAGCTGTCGATAGAGAAAAGGTGGCACTTTACAGATGAAGAATAACGGAGAAAAAATGCTGATAAAGTCAGACTTATTTTTTTGCGTCTATTCTCTGCCTCTGCATGCTTTTGCCAAGCAAATGACGAAAATATTGAAAGGAAAAGTTTACAAATATGGTGTTTAACTTTCAATTTTGTTTTCGTAAACGAATAATCTGTCGAATTGGCAAATGCCAAAGAAATCATTATTTTCAAGATTTGGGCTATTGTTGAAATTGAATTCGTCGATTACTCGGCGCTTCTGTTCGCTTTCGAAAAGTCTCTGATTAGAAAGTGGACCAAAAAAATGCTTCACATTTAAAACACTGACACTTTTGTCAACAAAGTTTTGACAACAACACACACACACACCCATTCGAAAATGATAACGAGTTTGTCATTTGTGCGAAAAAGTTTTTCACCTAATCATATTAAAATCAAATGGATTTGGCATCCACCCCGATCTACTCATTTTACGTTAAGATTCAATAAGTTCACGCTAATAACGTCCGCTGTCGACTCATTGACGAAATAGCGGTAAATTGAATCAAAGTTCGATACACTGGAATTCGTTAATATAATTATCATATTTTAATGAATTTGGCAGCGAACAAATAACAAGAGTGACGAAAACGCATGCACACACACACACACACACACACAAACACACTTACACGCACAAATATAACAGTTTCAAGGTCAATGGCATTATTCTGTATTTTACTTATTCTACGTTTTCTTTTCTCTCTTTTTTCTTCTTTCTGGTGTCTGAGTTTTTGAAAAGTGTTTGGTTATTCGTTTTGTTCATTCGTTTGTAATGCCTTTTGTTGACTGTGTGCGCATTTCAAGGAGTTCACATTCATTTGTTTCAATCAGCGTCCGAACATCGCTCGAAAAATGTCACCCAGACAAGTTTTTGTAGAGATTCTTCTTTGAGTCGTTTTATTTTTTTTTCCAATCTCTTGTACAGTACAGTCCAAAAACGTTGGAATCAAGAATGAAATTGAAATCAGTAAATGCGTCAGCAAATGATAGCGTGGTAAAAATGAAAGGGCAAGTTAAACGGAAAATTAAGTAAAAAAAACCGTCATTTAAGACTTCGCATACGCAAATTATACAAAATGGTTTACATGTTTCTCTATGATTATGTGCCGTTAGACTAAGCACGCAAATTCAAAGAAAAAATCCACTATCCCTGAAAATGGTACGGATTGTTTTTTTTTCCTTCTTCTGTTGATGTTGTTTTGTTTTGCAGTTCACATCGACATGCAAATGAAGCGTATTAAAGAGTAATGAATAGGGAAAATGTTAACCGAGTTAATTTGATGAGTTCGGTAAGTGAATTAGTAAACGACTTTCCCGATGATTAAGAATTAGAAGAGCTTAATTAATGCATTTTTTTTCACATACGCGAAGCGAGTTAGAGAGAGAGAGGCAGGATGGTAGGTAAATAAGTATAAATCCAATTGATATGTGAAACGAATGTCAATCAAAGTAAGATAATAATGAGCTTATGTGCTTACTCGTTTAATCAAAAGGCTAAATACAGCAACAACGGGGCTGTTTTTGCGACACTCTTCAGTCAGTTTGTTGCCTTCCAATGACATCACTTTTAACTTTTTTTTTGTTGCGTCCTCTGCCAAAATCAATTATCTTTTATCTCTTTCGTTCGCATCTTTTCGTCAAACTTTCGATTTTCCATCGCATCGAATGCAATGAAATGTTAATGTCGAGAATCATGAGCTATAACCCGAATGAAATGGAAATCAGCCGCTTCCGAGTAAATCGGCTCTTTCGGTGAGAGCGCGTATATTTGTGCCGAAACCAAATTACAAACGTATCAAAGGGGGCTAAAAATGAAAGTAAGTGTACGCTTTAAAACTGGATTGCGATACAAACGAGACATTGAGAGCAGAGAGTTGGTCGCGTCAACGAATTTTATGTTCTGTTCTGTTCACTTCAATTTCAGTTCAGCTCGTTTCTCTCGGTGTCGGTGTTGGTGTCGGGCTTGGTCTCATTGTCAATAGCCTGTGAGCACGAATTATGCGAATTATTCGTCTTTATTCCATGCTAATGGAGTACACTTTAGAGTATTTGGTGCGAGTTCAACTTTAAACTAGCATAAAATTAAGATGAATTTACCGTAAATACATGACATGAATGGCACTCGTTCGTTTTAATAATGTTGTGGTCGCCTATCTGACGTCGAACGTATAGCACTACACTCTGACTGGCGCATTCGTTTACATTCAATTGATTCACACAGCGCGACATGAATAAGTGAATGACACGCGTATGGAATTTCGTCGTCATTTTTCGCCTGTAGAAAGGCTGAGATAAAAAAACCGCACAGTGCCTCTTATTTGTGTATCAAAATTCACTCATGTGGGATTGAATCGTTGGGTGCAATGAATTGAGACACAACAATTTCAAATGTATCACCACATGGGATAATCACGAATATTTATCATATAAATGTGTACATTACGCTATTCATGTGCCACGCAATTAGATTCTCGAACACACTCGAAATGTGGATATTTTTTTGCTCGAATTCGCTATGTTTATCGCTGTTTGTCTGCCTGACTGAAGCACCTATTTTACGGATTTTGGTACTTGGCCCACGAATGATTTTAATTGACCATTTCCACTGAAATTATACAAAGCTTATCAGCAAATGATTGAGCAATTGGAACATTTTCTAGGTAGCTAAGCAATAATAACGAATGGCAGCTAATTATTGCCAATAAAACGGAGGCAAGATCATAATTCTGTGTCGTTAATATGCCACCAACGCGTTTCTCATTTGTTGTGAGCTCAGTTTTTCCTTAACAGCTTTAAATGTCTCTCTAGCTCGAGAGCACTTTTCGTATCATCAATTCCACACAATTCGATCTCTTTGCCAAGTTGCCAAACGGGGTTCATGTTCATGCATTATTTATATGCGCTTCTAATGTCAATTATTTTCTTCGCCCGTCTGGAACGGGCACTATTCCGACATAATCAAATAACAACCGAAAAATTCAGCGTAAAAAACGAGTTGATTTTCGGTTGCTTTTTCGTTATATGCGTCGCACAAAACTCCAAATTCATTCCATTTATTGTGTACACAAGTACGAACATACATGCTGAAATATGGACTCTCATGGAGACGAGGGTGGCGAAAGAGACGCAAAGAGGCGTAAATCCCGTTAGACACGTAATATAAATATAAATTTGCTTGAGCGAATTTATCAGCCCATCCACTCGATAAGTTGATCACACGGAGAGAGAGAGAGAAAGAGGGAAAAAAACTCGTTTGCGACACAACTTTTTCGGTTTTTACACAGTCGCTTCAAATAATAATTATAAATGGACTGAACGAATGATGTTGACAGATTTTCTGTTTAGAAATAATAATGGACTTAATTACTCATCACACGCGGATTCACAGACAAATATTATGGAACTAATCGACTGTATCAATTGATAAAAATTTGCATCAATCAAAACAGCACATTGGAATATTGGCCAATATTGTAACATCAAAACAATTTTTTTTAAAAAAATTTCTTACTTACATATATCGCTTCTGTGTTTCTGGAATTCGATGATAATTTTCGTTCACTTGATATTTTACAAAAGTTTCGTTAAAATTACCTGACATTTAGACGTCAGTTTAAATTCACTTTGTTCTAAATTGAATCAATTAAAAGTGTTTTTTTTTTGTTATTTGAGTTTCTCACAATATTAACTCTAATCATCACATCCACAATACCTTCGTTGGCCACTTTTTTCATCCTCAATTCTCCTATTTTCTAATAAAACAGTGATAAAAATGAACAGAAAATACGAGAAAAAAAATATATCAGAAAACTCCCTTTATTCATTGAAAACACTGAGTTGGTTATTTTGTTACTCTTCTTCTTTATTCTTCTTCTTCTTCTTCGGTTGAAATGAGTCTAACGAGGGCGTTTATCTCTGCTTCTCCTCGCGTACACACAGTTTTACAGACGATTTTTATGTCAGCCAGAATATCCGGTTATTCGTGCGTTTCTGAATGTTGTGTGAACAACACATGCAATTTAATTACGTGCTCACCGAACAAAAGCTACTGTTTCAATGAAAAAGAATTTGTAGAAATGTCATACCTTAACTGGTCGTCGCAACTATATGCTTTCGCTTTTATGCTTTAGACGATGAGATGCACTCTCTCTCCTATGTCGTGAGAATAACATTTTTTGTTGGATGTGTGCGTATGTGTACACGACGAAGTAGAGAAAAGAATTGTTTTTCTAGGTGGTAGTGGTGGTGGTTATATTTTGTGGCGGATCTGTAGTACTCTTTATCAAAATCATGTTTTCCATCATTTTGTCGGTGTGAGTGTGTATCACAACGAGAGATGAGAGCATGAAAACATCCGATACGCACATGCGCTGCTTTATCCAACATTTCTCCAAGTTGTAAGCTATCCTATACGGCTCTGTGGATTGAGTACACTCGACAATTCATTTGCGATTGAATGAGAAAAAACTATCAAAAGCATCGAGGAATCTGCGAAGCTTTCAATGCGACCAAGTCTTCACTGTATCGAGAGACAACAAACGTTACGAAAACATAAATTTTTCTTGCAATTTTAACAATTCTGTGTTCTCGACAATTCGAACAATTTCTTCGCATAATAGATTGCGCCGTTCGGTGGAAATTTTGGGTAGAATCGCTTAAGGAAAATAATTTTGGAATTTTTCCATTAAAAGTCAGTCGCCTGTATAAGTTTGATGTTGGATAAACGGTCTTCTTTCTTCAATGTAAACATTCTACACGATCGAATGTAAACCAAGCTCATTTCAATTTCAAGCTGGAATTTATGCAAAAAACGAAGACAAAAATTGGCCATAGACGGCAATTAACAAATTATCCCATAAAATATGTGCATAAAATAAACAAAATTCGAAAACTACTTGCGGCAATTTTTTTTTCCAACACGTTTTTCGTTCTAATGTTGAACAACCTCATGATCTTCTTGCCGAACTCTCTGGGCTGGAATTCTAAGACATTCCACCAAAATCGTTCGGAATTATTTTTTTCGTACGTAAGACTATATTGGAGTGAAAGAGAGACATTCTACTAATTTTCATCATCCCAGCCAAATTATTGCGATAACTATCACCCTTCGTTGAGTTATCGGAATAATTCCGGTAGAAATTCCTCTCTCTTTCACTCCAATATAGTCTTACGTACGAAAAAAATAATTCCGAACGATTTTGGTGGAATGTCATAGAATTCCAGCTCTGGTCAATTAACGATTATGCTCTGTGTTTATATTGGCACTTTGACATTTTGACACTTTTTATCGATTTTGATTTTTGTTACTTGCGGTGAATCGTAAATATTCGTAATCATAATCGCATTTCATAACAGGTTTGATTCTTGGTACCGTCACTCGTGCTAAAAATTCATCAATGGCCGAGCTGTTGATCGCTATGGCAGTAGTGTTGCCCCTTCTACACATAGTATTAATTAACGTATAAATATGAAATGCTCATATTCATTTTGCCACAGTCTATTTTCAGATCTCTATCAGTTTTTTTTTTCAGAAATGGTTCGTAGTATTTCACTGAATTTGAACTAAAATTACTGAAGTTTGCCTTTTTATTTTACGATGATGTTTTTGTTGTGCAAACTCTTTTTCTTCCAGCGGTGTGCTGTAGTTCTATTGAGTTTAGCACTTTTGCTAATTGCAAGTGCAACAGCTGATGATTTGTCGTGTCCATTTAATGCCAAAGGAAGACATCCGAAATGTATTTGTAACAACGATAATCCCTACGATGAGGTCAATCGGATATGTTCAACCGTTTTAGATGCACAATTTCTGTTAGCAAAATGCCCAAAAGGTATTACATCAATTGATTGACAATGACGACGACAATAGTGATTGCGTAGTGATTTAATTTTAATGATTCATTTTCACACTCAAAGGCAGTGAAGGCACATTTCCGGCGTGTATTTGTGGAGAGGGTAAAGTGTATGTTCCCGAGAGAGATGAATGTGTTTTAATCGATAAAAATCAATGTCCGACGGGATCGAAAAAAGTGAATAACAAATGTGTTTGCGACAATGTGAACGATTTCAAATATGAGTTTGATGAAATTTTTTGGATCTGTCGTCCGTGGTACATTCCAACAACACGTCCACCACCAACACCATGCCCATCACATCAGCACCGTGTTGGCGATAAGTGCGAATGGGACCGTTGCCCAACAGGATACACATCAAAGTCAGGTGAATTTGAGAACCTACGATAAAGAAATATTTCATCGATTTGAAGATGTCAAAATGTTGACATTATTTTCAATTTGATTTCAAAGGTTACTGGCCAGATTGTGCTCCATATCCAACTTGCCAACAGAAGGGAATGATTGGCGAATATCCGAATTGTCATGCTCGCGTTTATGAGCAGACTTGTAGTACGCATCAAACGGGCAAATACCCAGATTGTCACTGGCTACCATGTCCCGATGCATATCTATCGAAAACAGGTAATTTTGCATTTGTATTTGCATTCACATTTTTTTTCTTCTTTGCGATTAAAATGTGTTGTCATCAAAACAACCAAAAATAGTGTTGCAGATTCTTATCAGTTGACAGCGAAAAATACGTCGGCATTCAATATTTCAGAAAAGACAATAGCAATTTGCGTATAGCACCGGGAGACTCGTTTAAAAATCAAATTTCAAAGTTGAAAAGTGAAATTTCTCATTCATACATTCCAAAGTTTCAATTTCATTTGGTTGAAATTATTCAGACAACTTGAATTAACTTTGACTTTTTGACCATATCAACATGTTGAATTCTTAATTCAGAAGATAATTTTCTGTGGCTCATTTTGGAATTTGATTTTTGAATATATTTTATTCATTTGACGTATGACATACAATGCCGAATGCATCATAATCTAATCTTATATGCGCTGACGAGGAAATAAATGTCAATTCAGCTTCTTAGTTGCTGTGAAAAAGAATATTAAATCAGATTGAATTATGAGTTACGTAATATTCACTCGTAAATTCAGGTTAATTTTAAATATTTTGCATATTATAAACATTAAAATTTAATATAAATAAATTTTGTTCCAGCGAGAATAAAATTGATTAAATACGAAATTTCTCAATAGGTTTCTGGCCAGATTGCTCAGCTCCTCCTTCATGTAGCGATCTTGGTATGATTGGAGTATATCCAGACTGTGTAAAATCGCCTCCAACATGTCCACCATATCGTAAGTTCTACTTTGCGAAGAGTTACTTTCAAAGTTTATTCTGAAAATATTTCGATGACATTGAACACAATTTACTTATTTCATTGGTTCAATTTGTTCTTCATTTTTTCAGACCATCGCAACAAAGATGGGGAGTGCGTTCGGATTCCATGTCCTCCAGGTCACGATGGCGACTACCAACCAAACTGCAAACTTGTTCCAAAGTGTCCAGCAGAATATCCTGGTTCGTATCTGATTCATTGGAGTGTATTCAAAATTCTCATTCATTCATTGTCGTGTGAAAAAATGAGTTTTTTTTGTGATTTTTCGCGCTTCACGTTGAAATTTATAATTTCGAACGGAAGTCACATTCACAAAAATGTGAAGCCCTATTGTTCCAGTCTAGCTCTCTAATAATAGAATTCATTTCTCTCTTAGGAAAATGGCCCTTGTGTAATATCTATGGCACAACTCCACGTAGCCATGTAAGTTTAAGCGACTTTCTCTACATGCGTTAGACTGAATTGTTGATTTGCATAATGAGTCGATAGAAAAATTAAAAAATACAAACATTTGATAGGAAACTACGAGAACCACTCCAAGAATAAGTACCTCGACTACCCAACGAACAACCACCAAATGGAATACTCCATCAACTCCGAGATGGACAACAACTACAGCTGCAAGGACCACCACAGCGAAGCAAGAAAGGTGCTACTGTGATTGTTCGAGCGATGAAATCGTTGTTTTCAGAGATAATGTGGTTCGGGATCCATCACGGAAATACAAACGTTTCGTTAACGAAAAACCATCGAACAAGAACTAAGCCTCACAAGTGTCAAAACTCTGTATTAATCGTAAAATAAAGTAAATATTGCAAAAATTTATAAAAAAAGTGCGATCTTTTGCTCATTTTTTTCAAGTCACCTTATTCGACAAAAATAAATGGGTAAAACAAAAACCTCCCCAAAAAATACAAACATATTCCCAAAAAATCAAATGTTTTTCGAAAAATCTGAAAAACCTTCCCAAAAAATACGAAAACCTCCCAAAAATATACAAAAATCTCCCCCCATCTTGGCTTATTGAAACTTCTCGAAATGCTCTTTACTCCGCAGCGATTTAACTCGGCCAATTAATTCGGCATTGAGAACGGCAATTTACTTGATGATAAAATCATTTCAATGCAATTCATATGTGCTGTAGTTTGATTTTATATTTTAATTTAATGTCAACTTTAGAATGGATTAGCTCACTCAATTTCTATGAGATCATACATAGTCAATAAAGCACTTCTTTGACGACTTAATCATTTACGACCATTCGCGTAAACGCATCGATATGAACCTTGATATTAACGATTTTAAGAAACAAGAAAAAAAATGCCAAAATCCACAGCAGCTGATCCATTGAGCTACGTGTTAATTGCCTTGTTAGGCTGTCTATTACGCACAAATGTTTGGAATTTAACAAAATAAAACTACACATCCAATCAGAAGAATAACAAAAAAAAAAATAGGTAGGTGCTAAAAGTATTGTGACTCTTTCCCATTGACCTTTTCATAAATTTTAATAATGGCTTATTAATTCAATATTTATTGTATTCAAACATTGTTCTGCTCGTATTTGATGAGTTTCACAAAGACTCACACTCTTTGTCGCCGTCGTAGGAAAGTTCATTTACAATTCTGCATTTCAACATTTCATAGTATTTAAAATAGATACGAACTGATCGCGGTTAAGATAAGATTGCTAACCCTGTGATCAAGTTACAACTTCGCACATTTTTTTTTCTTGAAAGATAAAAGGATCTGTTTCCGGATCGAAAACTACATCGTACGAGCTTCATGATTGTTTCCATTTTTTTTATTTGTACGACTTATAAATTTAGATTCTTTTGTATTCTCCAGTAGAGTGTGTTTTTCCAACGTAGCGTGAAATTTGAACTCTGAAGATACGGTTATATTGATTTTACCATTACTATCTAACCAACTCACTTGTACAAATCGACTAGTAGTATTGAATTCTAGTATGATGTAAACAAAATACCTCATCAAAAATGAATGAAAAAAACTGCATTAATATGAAGGATACTCCAATTTGTCACACAAAAAACTGACTTTTTTTATGTAAAAGTCATCTACAATGTGATTTTTACATAATAATACTCTCATTCCGTTCCTATTATTCCATATGAGGAAGATTGAAAAAAGCTCTTTGGAAACGGATTACACACTTAAATATACGGTATTATTGGAATACAATGCTTGACTAAGAAAAAAATGCTTTGGCAAAAAAAACCAGAATGGGTGAGAAAAGATGCAGTGTAGCCTTCTTCATCGATTGTTTTAATCAAAGATTAGCTCAGTTTAATGAAAAAATCTACATAATGTATGTTTAATTTAACGTCAAAATTGATTCCCATCCTGGTTATAATTATTATGGAATTATTGGGTGAGTGTTGAATCAATTTTATGTGGAAAAACCGATTTAAACAAGAGCATCATCAATCACCATCAAATTCGTAGGAAAAGTGAGGCGCAATTTTACAAACTTGACAGCATCCAGAATATTCATATCTAACAAAAATGCACAAGGATTGTTTGCTTATATAAATATTGAAAAGAATGTTCTTTCATCGTTTATGACCCAAGGTAAAATGGTTTTGGATCTGAGTTTTACTTTTTATTCAAGGAGAATATTTCATAGTATTACGATACAAAGATATAGTAGCATAAAAAATGAAATTGGAGAGCTAATTTATGACTTTTATTTCAATAGTGTCAATCTGTGCGGTGTAAATTATTATTAGCATGTATGACGAGATTGGGAACTGATACGATTTGAATACAAAAGGAGGAGAGGCTGCCATACGTGAATAACCGCTGTGATTTGAAACTTGTTTGAAAAACCGTTTTGGCATTTATGCACTTTTTGTTTCGCCATCTTATATAAATAGGTGCTTATCCAAAAGAACTCATTTTATTGTGGTTGGTGGATGTGGTATCAAGTGTTACAAGCATGGAAAGTTCTTTGGTAACTAAACTGTTGTTCAATTAAATTGTGAGGCTACAAGCAGAATAACGGAGAAAATCCAATTTCTACAGATTAATACGTTACTTGTTACGTCACTTTTGATGTTGTCTGTGAATGCAAGAGGAACCGTAAAGCGAGATGTAGATAAAGTTTGCCCTGGTGGAAGCTCTGGAGTCTATCCAAGATGCGAATGTGCAAATGGTTCTCAATACAACGAAGTGCATAACGAATGCCCACCAAAATCGTTAGAATCATTAGCTGGTTCCTGTCCCTCCGATAGCACAGGTAAGTCGTCATTTCACAATACAGTTGTGCATTAATATCAAAATATTATTAATGCCGATAGATGTGTCAGTCACACCACATGCTCGTCGTTTTGTTCAATCTGAGATAACTAAGTTTCCGTGAGTGATACGCAAGGTGACAGCACATTAAATGACGTTTTTATACACAAAGTAGATACTTGAGTGTAAATTATGTTAGTGGCGTATCAAAATGAAGGTTTAAAACAAATACATTGTCAATATAGAGCGTGTGGTGTGACTGAGATGTGTTAACTAATCAGATTCATTGAAATCCAATTTTGAAATTCAGGTGTATTTCCAAATTGCGCCTGTCGATTGGGGAAAGTTTATGATCATGAGCATTCTGTAAGTTGATCGTGAATTGAGCCATAACATAAAGTTGCTAAAAATAAAAAAATAAAACGTAATTTTCAGATTTGTTTGGATATTGATCGTACAAAGTGTCCGAAAAGAAGTGTTGGCAGTCCACCTCATTGCAAGTGTGAAGAAGGCTATAAACTTGACAATATCCATTGGTACTATTAAATGTTTCTTTGGCTTGAGCAATGAAATGGCTAATTTAATAAAATATATACTCTTTTACTCGTTGATGTAGGTACTGTCGTGCTTGGTATTTGGATGAAGACCACCGCTTCAACGATGGACCAATACAACAATGCCCAGTTTTCCATCTATGGGATGGATCCAAATGCGAACCAATTCGTTGTCCAAATAATCGAGAACTGCTTTTCCCACATTGTGTGGATACTCCCGTCGATCATAATCCGACGTCATGTCCCCCTGGCCAAAACTATACTATTGAAAAACCATATTGCCATTGCCCACTCGATCAAGATTACACTTTCCCGATTTGTCATGAACGGTGTCCTGCAAACAGTAAGTTTTCTAAACTAACCATGGAAATAGCTCAATTTTAACGCACTTCTCTTCATCCGCAGCATATTTTGATTTGAAATCTAAATCATGTGGAAAGAGACCTTGCCCGCCTGGATGGATCGGCGATTATTATCCACATTGCAGTGTGAAAAATTATCAAAAATGCCCAGACGAATTTCCCGGCCAATGGCCAAACTGTATTGAGATTTAATTCAATATTTTTTCATATGTGTAATATTTCAACGATATTTTACCATCATTTCCTTTTTCAGGCAATATTTACGATGAAGGACCACGTCTCGAAGATCGCAAAAGAAAAGTTAACTATGTCTGAGGAAAATATAAATAAATACCTACTGATATCCACACTTTAACATGTATGCAACAGCGGTTTTGTAATCAAAAATAAACAGAATTTTTCAGGAAATAAGACTTTTTCTTTTGCTAAGAAATGAAGCGACGTTGCTCGAAATGATCATAGTAGAGTTTTCTTTCCAAAAATTAGGGCAACATAGTGTGAATTTCTATAGCTAAATTTTTTTTCTTGATCAATCAGTCGATTCCAAAATGTTATGAAAGAAAAGAAAGTTTGACAAGTAGTTAGCTTCAGTGTAACTTTTGCTGAAAATGATAATTGACGAATTTTCGTTCTCGATCATCTATCCACGCATACTCGAATCAAATTGACTGATTCACTTTTGTATATAATAATTGGTTTTCAAATGAAATTATAAAACAGCACACCTTTCGAAGTATATATCATGGCGTAAAATAACGGGCTGCTCATGACGTTTTGTGCTACTCTGAATTCAAAACGGGCTGCCCAAAATTCAAAAATTTGCTGTTAGAAAAAATGTGTTTTTTTAATTCCTTGGTCACAAAATCGCGAACTTCAATATTCAATTTTCTCTCCAATACTAATATAAAGATGAATATTCAAATCTTAGAAAATTTGCCGAAATGACTTCGGGTAGGGCGATTTCAATTGTAGATTTTATGTACTTTAATGTAGTGTTTTTACTTTTTTTATGTAGGAACAATTTTTTTGAGTAATCGGCTATCGAAAAACTGCTATAAAATGGGACAACTTAAATCTTGGTCGCATATATTTATAAATTGTATATGCTTATAGCCATCAATCTGGTGCGCATGGCATCGCGACTCATTAAGTATTTGCATTAATGAGCGCAAATACAAGCATATAGGTATAGATCATGATCGCATACACTGAAGTTGTTTATCGAATACATAGATGTGCACTGGCAATATTATTTGGCTTATAATCGATGTCATATTGGGTGTACAAATTAAAACTCGCTGTTTTTTTTTTGTGTTTTTTGAACGTTTATTCAAAGAAAATGGTACATTGTTTTTTATTCAAAGTACTGTCCATCGGAAGCTATGACTTTTCCCCACAATTCAGGCAATTTATGGATTCCGTCCCAAAAAAACTGTGTCGGCTTGGCGGCCAAAAAGGAATCAAGCCAATTTTTGTATTTTTTGAAAACAAGTGAACCGTCCTCCACTTAGGTGATATTGAATCGACTGAAACCAGTGGTAGTAAGAAAGCGCAATGTCTGGAGATTACAGCGGGGGCATAAAGGATTTTCAAAATTAATAGCTTCTTAGAAATTTTGAACTTGATAGCCATAAAAAAATTTCGTCAAAAATTCGCTTTTTTTGCGGCGATAAGTCAGTTTTTCGATTTTGCTGTCAGAAATTGGTATATACCGATTAGTTTCTGTTGGGAACGATAAAAGCTAACATTTTGATAAGTTTCTACCTCCTTCCAATGCACCATATCTGCCCCACCCCCCCAAATATGGAAAATCACCCTTTTTCGAGGGAGTGATTGTGGCGCCCCCTATAATGACAAGTAATCACGATCAAAATGTGGTTTGATATGCTTGTGTCTATCGAGAAACGTCCATTCTTCACTACCAGTGTCCACTCGATAAAAGAATAATCTATTTTTCACATTTTTCCCGTATGAAAAAATCTGCTCCCGCAAATGCTGCTTTTTTGGCACGAACTCGGACATTTTTGAGCACAATAAAATTTATGATGCAGATAAAAATTTACAAATGTGATGATGCAGAATTGTTGACAGATGCCCAGATGCTTACCGTATGACGTTTTAGAGCTGATATTTTTCACCAGCACTTACCGCTGGAGCCATCTGTTGTCAAACAGCGAGTTTTAATTTGTACACCCAATAACAGTAATGTGAAATGGAAGAAAGCAAAAGCGAGAATAGAAAGAATAAATTCAATGAAAAGGCAATCGATAATCAACGACGTGCACATATTGATCACATCCAAAAAAGACACCGCTAAAAAGCAACCACACTTTAAAGGTATTTTCGAGCTGGCATCGACAGCGACAATGGAAAGTGACAAATTGGATCCAATGAAATTGCCGAAAAGAATACCACATTCTAAGAAATGTTATTCGTTACGTTATAAACAAATCATTCATTAAACTCATATTTCAGTTTGTTTTGCAATCAATATCCATTCATTCAAAATGTTTAGTTATTAAGAGGACCCAATAAAAATGTAAATTTGATTTTTTTTCTACGGGCTACTCTAAAATTTTCTTATTTTACGCCATGGTATATATAAAGGCGTAACTGCAAAGTATGTTTTGTCCCCTTATGGAAGAAGTCTACGTTCAGGCAAAATATTTATCAATTTTTCAACTCGTTTAGCTAAAAAAAAAAATGAGTAGGCTTTCCCATCCGTCTGGCAAAAGTCATTAACCTTTTTGGTTGTAAGTTGGGGTCATAAACATGAAAATGGTGATTTATCAGCAAATTTAAAAATAACACAGTAAACTACTTTTTATTTGAATGAATTGGTGTTACCAAAGTGGCTTTTACGGAATAATTAGGGCAGAACAAAGGCTCGATATACGATTACAAATTCATTTTTATATAATTGGATTTTCAAATAGATTTAACAGCTGTGATGCAAAGAAGTTATATATCTGTTTGGCATAATCTTTTCTGGAGTCGGCTTGGAGCCTTAAACTTTGACTAAAATATCTGAACCTCGGGCTGCATTTGCTTTTTTTTAAAGATTGAATTTAAGATACACACAACTTTTTCCGATTGATATTATCGCATGATTTATCCGCGAAACGCTATAGGTCAAATTCTGCTATATGGTTTGATTCCACACAAACCAACACGAAGACGCTTAAACTCACCAGAATTTATGGATTTTATTAGACTATTCGCACAAAATGGGAAAAAACTTGTATGTTAATTCACATCAGCAATGGAAATATTTGAAAATATTGGTAATTCAAGTGTGCTTGCATCAATTAAATGCATTCGACAATCAATTGATGTCATTTCGAGTGTTTTTAATTAAAATCCACCGCCTGTTTCTATTCTGCTTTTCATTTAGAACTCGAAGCCCGGTGGAACGCATCTTTTCTCGTCTTAATTTATGCGTGAAATTGTGTAACCGTAATCAAATTTCGTTGCGCATAAAAAAGATTTATTTGATATTTTATTTTGCTCAGCAACAACAGTAACTAAAGACGTCACCATATTGAGCCGAAACGGACAGAGAGGTAAAGTTCAAGTGATACATTTATGTCCAAACCAGTTTGGATGATTTTAATTAGATTGGTTCTCCACTCTGATCTTCCATAAATTGGGAGAATCGTTCAATTTTCTATTCAATCTTAATTCCAAAGTTGGCAGTTGAATATCGGAGAAGAAACGGAAGAAATTGGTGAGTCATGAGAAAAAACAGTGTTTTAGAAACATTGCTTGTTAAGTTGATGTGAAAAGTGATTGAAAAAATTCTAATTTCTCTAAAAAAAATTGTCTATTTCTATGATTTTAGAGAATGAAAGTATTCATTGTGTGCTTAGCGGCTTTATTCCTAGCTTCCGCTGAGGGATTGAAATGCCCAGAAAATAGTCGTGGTAATCATCCACAGTGTACATGTTTAAGCGGAGGTGTTTATGATGTTAACTATAACTGGTGCGTTCGAGACTGAAATTACAAAAATCAAAAATGATTTCTCAATTTGAGTTGGCTTTAATCAAAACTTGTTATTGTTCAGGTGTTCAAGTGATTTGAAAGAGTTGGATGGTGAATGTCCTTCAGACGGACCAGGATTCTACCCAAATTGTAATTGTGGTCTTGGAAAAACCTTTGATAGAAACAACAAAAAGTGTACCGGCATTGATCGTAGCGTGTGCCCCAAAGGCGCTTCAGGTATTGATTTTGTGTCTTTTGAGTATATTGATTTTGTATATTTAATGAAAATTCAGAGCGATTTTATTGAGAAAGAATAAATCAAATCAAACGTTCAATATCTCGCTAGTAAGAATACTCATTTTGAGATCGCTAGCAATCATTTGAATTTTATGATCATTTGCATTGATTTTTTTTTTTCAACTTATATCGGAAATAATTTTTCAATAAATCGAATTTCATCTTGATTGATCGTTTGAAACAAAATCAGGAATCGCTCCAAACTGCAAATGTGAACCAAAATATGCTTTCGATGAAATTCATTGGTACTGTCGCCCATGGTATTTGAGCACCACTCGCCCAACGACAACATACAAACCTCCACCAGCGGTTCTTCGATGCTCTGCATACCAATACGGAGTATATCCAGACTGCCATTATAAACCATGCCCAAGCAACGCTCTCAACCCACAAGACCATGAACCATACTGCCGTTTCAATTTTACTTATGTCGAATACAAACATTGTGGAGAAGGTTTGGTAGGAAATTATCCCGACTGCTACAAACCATGCCCAGCGTATCATCATGGACGTTATCCAAATTGTGAAAGGATCAAATGTCAAACTGGACCCGGATGGACCGGCCAATATGCTCCAGATTGCAAGTTCACACCGGTAATGATACATAAATTGAATCAACAAGATGACGTTTACTCATGAGCTTGTGTTTTATTTTTCAGACTTGCCCTGATTCCCATCCGGGCCAATGGCCTCAATGTAACTCAACCAACTCTGTTTAATATATGGAATTTTTAAACGCTATTTTATTATCAGTTTCTTAAATATGATCATTGTCTTTTTCAGGTGATATTTACAAAGCTACGCCAACATACTTGCCACCGACCTATTTGCCGCCTACCAATCCACCCACGTATCTCCCACCAACGACCAAGGCGCGCACATACCTTCCTCCACAACCGGCCACTTATCTACCACCAAAATCTTCAAAAGCATAAATATTCTTTTCATGAAATGTCTGTAATTCGGCATAAGCTGTCTGATTAATGGGCTAATAAACAATGATTTTATGTTCCTCTCAAGAAAATGGATCTTTTGTCATTACCAAAATAACAACGTAATAAGTGCCTTTTTTTTGTTCAAGAATCCTCCTGAATGATTTTTGAATTTATTTTCGATATTCTTTTTTTGATAACTGTACGATCAAATTATGGAAACACAAATGGGCAATTTTGATTTAGAGATCAACTTGTCTGAAATGAACCGGAAAAAGGAATAACCGGAAAATTACCCAAATTAAATGAATCCACAAATAATTGTGTGCCTTGAAATCAAATCGTCGGTATTCAGTATGAAGAAAACAATCAGGATAGTTAAGCAGATTAGAAAAGGTTTCATATTTTCTCACGTGTAGCCACATACGTTTTAGCTTTATATTATTCAACGATATGTTATCAATATATTTGTCTATTTATTAGTTATATAAAACACTCAACACGCGATGGACATTATAGTTTCATCATTTTGATATTTGCTTTGTTCACATCTGACGCGTATCGTGCGATTCCAGCAAATGATATAGAATATACCCCACACAAAACAGAATAGATATATGAGAAAAGCAAAAATTGAGATTTTAACACACAAAAAAAAAATTATGCAAAATAGGTTCAGCGTCCTTCTGAAGAACGAATGAAAAAAAAAACGACAAATCTCCATAGCACAGCGCCTAAGAATTCTTCTATCGGATCCAATTAATCAAATGGTATATCGAAGAAGTATAAAAAAAGTGTAAAACATAATGACGTAACACAGAGAAATAAAAAAAAAAACAGAAAAAATGATGCGCACCGGATGAAAAGGAAAACATATTCTTTTTATGGTCGACAAGGTCGTTTCATCGAATTTCTTTCTCCCAGTTGATTTTATTTTCAAACGGGAAATATATGCAAAGAACTTTATCGCACAATCAATCTTTCCGCTACACATTTTTTTTCTGAACATATTCCTCATGAATATTCAATAAATGCATACATTGCGGCGCTTTAATATTTAAAATAAAACGAAACGTTCATTTCTCAAACGTTCAATTCGGGTTGTTTCTTTTTTTTTCTCCGCTGTTGTCTGCTTCTTCAATTTATTGCTGCTATTTATCAAAACTTCGAACGTGGAGCAAAACAATATATATTAATAAAAAGATGGAACCTGCATACAATGTTTCCGATAAAATGCAAATAAATATATTAAAAGTACTTAATAGTTAATATTACTTCATCGGAATGTAGAGAAATGACTTTTATTATAAGTCTTGCGAATACATTTTGTTCCATTATTATTAACCTTGCCATTGAAAGCACAGTTCACTTGAAAGCGCGGAAAGGAAAACAAAAGCAAAAGCATTTGAAGTGTATATATATTCCAGTAATGCTGGCAATTTTATGACATTTTTATCCCATTTGATGCGATGTGTGAATATGAGTCACAAATGAGTGCTTTGTACATGCGAGTAAATGTGTATTTTATGAGCACTTAACTCAGTCTCACATAAACTCGGTAATTTCAAGTAAATTCCATGTGGCTTTTGTCAACCACATCACTGAAACTATTTCACACACACATACTCACATACACATGTACAATATAAAAGCGCGCTTTTGTTCACGGATCTTAAATCTCTCGTCATAAAGGATCTGGCTATGGAGAACGTATTCAAGTTGTGTAAATTAACTATTGAAACTAACCTTTACTAAAAAAAAAGACACCGCTTTCCATTAAATTAAACTACATGTAATATTGAAGGATTGCTTGCACCGATTTGATTGTTTGCACCTGTCCAGACCAGTTCGACAGTTTAACTCTATGATTATGCACGTATTTTAATATCACCACAAACGCATATATATCAATCACGTTGCACATTACACGCAAAATATACTCATTACAACGTTTATAGTTGACTATAACATAGTAGGATGTATAATTTTTTTATTTTTTCGCTGATAAATGCTCTTGCGGCTGACGTTTTCCCAAATGCAAATCACACCATCATTAACACACGTAATTTATTGATAATGGCATTTCGATCGAAATTAATTAAGGTATTTAACTAGAATGATATACAAACATCAGATTAGCGCATTCGAATCAGAATCATATGTTGCAACTAATTGGCGGCAAATTACACATAAAATGGAAAAATGTCAATCAGATCCGTGTAAACATCTCTATGAAACTGTCATTGCGATTACTTTTGATGTGGGTATGGGTGTGAGAGTGAGAGAGAGAAAGGGGGGATAGAGAGGAAAAAAAAGAAGAATTGTTCTGCGTATTTAGTTATACGGAACATACTTGCCATAAATCGGATTAATGAAAGATTGTACTTATTACATTATTTAATGTTGAACAAAATAGTATGCTTATCGAACAAAGGATCCATCATTAATCAGATTATTGCATTTGAGTTGCAAAATAAAATATGGACATGACATTAAATGGGGTGTCAAACATAGCCGGTAATTAATTAAATGAACGAAACTTGATATTTACGCTTGAATTCATAGGTGCATACCAGTGCCGAGTTAGCCATATGGCAAATGAGGCAGTTGCCTCGGGCACCACGTTCTTGGGGGCACAACAAGCATGGGATTTTTTTTTAATAATCTGAAAAAGAAAACACGCAGCCAAAAATGGGCCCAAAAATGTTTTTTGGTGCCCCAAAAATGGTATTTAAAAAAAAAATTGCTCGCTACCGCTCGCATTCGATATATACGTTTATTTTATCAATAATAGATATTCTTTCGAATTAATCAGCACTCAAATGTGATTCATTTTGGACAACAAATGTTTTTTTGTTTTATTGACAAGAAACTGTCTAAACGAGTTTTAAGTGAGTCAATCACATTTGAATATTGATAATTTCTGGATTTAGTAATAAGCAAAATGCTTCATTATTTGTATATATAACGGGAAAAAATTGCAAGGGGCACCAAAATCATTTTTGCCTCGGCCACCAAATTTGGTTAACTCGGCACTGGTGCATACAGAATAATAAATTGGTGCATGCTCTGTCATGTCAATTTGAAAACTCCCATCGGATTTGATGTAACCCAACCAAGAGAGCTATGGCAAATGAATCACATTAAATATCAATCAACGATGCATTTATTTCCATTCAATTGTATGTGTTTGGCTTATTTATAGACCAATATATATGTATAAATACTCTTTTTGATGTTCAATTGTTAATTGGCGTCATGTTTGAACAAATACGCGATAGAGAGACAGTGGAGTCAATCTCAACTTTGAAAAATGGGAAAATTCTGTAGAATCTCTTGATTTCTGTATATTAGCAAAATGGAAAGTGATTAAAATAATGAATTCGCAATTTGATGCGGCTTCGGTTCAAACCAATCATAAATCAAATGAAATGATTTGATTGCTTCGTGTGTTCGTTCATCCCAATCAGTTTCGATTTCAATTTTTGCATCACAATTAATTTCAGCTGCACATTTACGTGCACAAACAGTCCAATTGAATTTTAATTGATATGTTTGACTTGTCAATGGAATTTATGTTGGCTCCGTTGCCAGAACATCTCTTAGTTGCGGTGCAACAGACGCCATATATAATAAATAAATGGATATGTATATGGGATTGGTATACACAAACATTTATAGCCGCACATGGCAAATATTTGCTTTTGCCATATCATTTTGAATCAATTTCGATGCGAACGAAGACCATATTAATTGAATAAATAATTTGGCACATAGCGAACCCAATGCATATTAAGCGTGTATGGAAATTGTATGCGAAATTCAAATGAACCCAATTTGGGAGCGAATTGTTTGAGATCTCTGATTTTGATCTGGATTAAAATGAAAATGAAAAATTGATTGGATTACATGTGGAAATTGTGTGCCTTTATGGGCTATTTAATAAGATAAACGAGATTACCGCGAGAGCAAGCGAGCGCGCTAAAATACAAAATAAAATTGAACAACACTTTAAAAATACCAACACTCACGTTCATAGAATATTCGATGTACTATATAAGAACGATTGAAAACGAGATTGGAATCGAGATACACATATATGTAGCAACATATGGGTGCTGTGTCATGAACTTTTGCATTTATGTTCTCGAGCATCTAATTGTGTGGGGCAGATGGCATTTTGAAGAATTTATATATACTTCTTCGAGCTTATTGATTTATAACAAACTATTTACAAGGCTCAAATGAATTATAAATAACCTGCTGTGAAACATATACACAGACACACAATAGAAACATCGGAAAATTAGGTAATAATAAAGTATAACCGGTGAAGTGTGAACACAACTTTAACCTTTTTGCGAATTCAAAGTAACTCAACAATAAATTTGACTATGCGAATCTTCTAATGTCTCAAAATAGAAAGCACCACAAAAACTCATTTCAAACACGCGTCAACTGAAGTGTGTTGTTTATATTGAATTTTGTGGTTTTGAAATTTCGGCAGAGAAAAAATGGCAAAATAAAAAATTAATATTGATTTATTTCGCGTTTTCATTTGTTGGTAGTAATATTTTTGGTGTATTTATCATTTGTCACAGAAGACGGGAAACCAGCCAACCGCACAACCAGTAAATTGGTTCTTTTAATTAGGCAGCTTAGCATAAAGTCATAATTGGTGTTGCAAAACTGCGTGAAAACACAAACGTGTCCCTTTTGGGCTAAATGGCAGGCACATGGCATAAAGAACTGAAAATATGGTTTAATAAATACAATTGAGCACTCGTGCCGACAACTTGCAGAATATCATAAGGTATTATGGCCAATCAAGTATTGAGCAGTCTTCCATGACCGTGGCATACAAGCTGAATTACGTCACTGTGTTCGTATTATCGTTTGCTTGTTTCTAAGCAGAAACACAAATAATATCACTGGATCCGCCATCGTATCAAGTCAGAGTCAAAGTGGTCAACCAAATGTGGTGTGTCTATCTTCAAATCATTTATTATTTATTAGCAAAATACGTCAGCTATTACAAGTGTTGTCTGTTCTGACTTCCATCCAAATGAATATGCATTTGGGTTAAGTACCGGCCACAAATCTTTTTCCACTTATTTTATACAGTAATTTAATTAAATCGTTTTCACTGCAAATAAACATATTAATTATGCATATATCCCATGCATTTTATACAGAATCTGCACACGTGTATACGTTAACAAGCAATGAACGATTTGAAGCGGAGATTTTCGTTCGTCGTTTATGACATACCCGTGCACAAATATCATGTAATTTGCTACAGTTGCAGCATATATTTTCGTTAAGTCGACGGATGCATTTTTACATGCTGTATCAATATCTTCTCGTGAGGCAATTAATCATCTTCGCAGTATGCGAATGCGTGCATATCGATTTCATTAAGGAAAATCAACTGAGATGGCAATATCCGTTACATCAATATTCACGAACGAAAGAGCAAACAGTCGCAGCCAGTGTAAATGCACGAGAAAATCACATGACTCAAACATCGACACGTAGAGAACGCGCGCGCGCGCTGCCCAGACCGCATGAAAGTAAAATGAAGCATAGAACACAAACATTGACTGAGGTCACGAAAACCAAGCATACCGCTAGAATGTTGAATACATACAGAAGAAAGAGAGACACAACGCCAACGACAATGAACTACAATGGTCTTTCGTTTACACGATTGCACGACCAAACTGGTATTAGTATGATCTTAGTTGGTTGCGGATAAACAACATCGCTTTGTACCCATTCCTTGCTCAGTTCAGAAAACACTAAAATCATGCGAAACCAGTTTTTGGGTTCTTGCATAGTACTCACAAAAAACTGACTTGCAGTCTGGCTGTCCGAGACAATCGAGTCATAACGCATGAACTTAGATGACAGTGATATACGACGACAGTTGCGTGATTTTCTAAGCAAATCAAAAATTGTGGATACATTCAATCTGGTCGATAAATCAATTGAACTCAATTTTGAGTAGAGTTACATATAAAAAAAAAATTAGTTGAAAGACACTAGTAACTGGTCCGGTTCGTTCAATAACCCCATCATTCAAAATATCATAAATTCAATAATATTACACTGAGTTACATGCACCATGAACATTGGACATCCATGCAAACACTAAATCTTCAACATCATAAACATTTCAACGGAATCTATACAGCAGTATATGGAGAGGATGCGAGCCCAAGCTAAAATATACTTTATTTATGTCTAAAGAAATCGTAAAAATAAGACATTTGAACATGGCTTATATTTTGATGTCGTTCGCCTCTCTTCTATACTGGAAACGTATTTTTGACGTCAACACAAACTAGTTTATTTTTGCCCCAATAAGCTTAACTCTTCAACATTGCTGAACGAATGAACGACCACATTGGCATCACATATATTCGATTTATTGCGTAAATTTTATACGAAAAAAACCCAGCCACAATATTTCCACGAATAGTTTCTTATTTCGATCGATTTGGTCATCAAAATCCTCTGCTGAAATAGATCTATCGTCTATAATTCCAAACAAGTTTGAATGTATGTGAGTGTGTGTTGGAAGTTTCAACATAAAAGAAAACACAAATCGATTGACAGAGGAACATATCATTTGATATCTATGAATTGAACTTGTTTATTGGTGAGGAATTTCCCAGTTTGATGAGCATGTGTTTAAGTTTCGTTGTATGTGTAATTTAATATTCCAGTTAATATATCGGAAAGAGAAGTCGAAACAAAAATAGACAAATGTATGCATATGAAGCAAGAGAACGAGCTTTAATTGGATGAAGAAAGAGAGAGATTCGAAAGTGTAGGAAATCTTTGTCGGTTGTTTATCAACTCATTTAGCATGAATGTCGTGACATTTGGAATCGACAGACAAACCACTGACTCCAAACTTTGCTGCTATCTTTTTTATGGTATTCAAAAGTTTTCGTTTTTATCACATTTCTAATATATTTTTGATTCGCCAAAAGTTTCGTGCAATTTGCTTACCAGCAAAATTACAAAAACAGCAAACAAACGATATATTGCTCAATTATTATCGATCACAACAGATTATTATCGCTATAATTTGAAATAGAACATTCCATGGAGACGATGCAAGATATTGTTGGATGCAAACGTTATCAGTAAAAAAATGTGTCGAGTTCAGATGAAATTAGACAATTTAAGCATAAATTGAGAACTCATCCGATGAATATCGAATTTTGCAATTCATAACCAAGCGGTCTTGTGTTATATTGACGCACGATTCACGATTCACGCTGTTGGAACGCCGTTCGATTTCTCTGGAGATAAAAAAAAGACGGCCGAATTCATTTGTATCGTTTCTAATCAATGAATAAATCAATTGAGCTTAATGACAGACAAACGCGATCCAATCAACTCTACATTCATTGAACAATTGGGCACGGACGCTAGCTTCCAATTGTTTGTGTAGATATTTTCATGGCGACATTAGTCATGGAATTTTTCATTCTTGCACTTCATTTAGCTTCCATTTAAATTGAAAATTTACTTCCACGCCGATCCAAGTCAAGTCAAGTCGCGCCAAATCGAAAAGTAATTGTGAGAATTTGATATTTTACTTCGGTTTTCATTAAGAACCATTTGAATGTATAACAAATAAATGCCATGATTCGTCCTTGCCGGTGAATTAATCGCATCCGTCACACATATTTATTATGTCAATTGTATTCGAATATCGTGAATGCGCGCTCAGGAGATAGAATCGAGCGGAGGAATATGATGTTTCTCTGTTCTTGATTGTTCAATTGTATGAACGTAAAATTGGCGCATTCCAAAAATGCATATTGTTTAGCATTTTCGTGCTAGATTCATATTCTATGGTTTAGACAAGTAGGTACGGACGCTTGCAAAGACGTATATATTGTTGTCTCCGTGAATTTTATGACGAGGCAAAGTGCTGATAAGCTTTATGCGATTTTATTAAATGTCAGCAGCAGCAGCAGCAGCGGCAGCAGCACATAGAGATCATATCACAGTATAAGCGTTCTTTTTTGTTGGTTTCTGCTGTATAATAGTGCCTAAGCCGAATTTTCGTACAAAATTTACAGTTTTTTTGTTTATCACATAAATAGAAATGTTTTGCTGCAAAAAGATGCCATATAATCATAAACGACCGATGATTGTTGACGACGACAACAACAACAATAAAAACCGCTTTCATTAACCGCGGTTCAAACTGTTGCCGCGCTAACTGTTAGCATCATTAATGGCATTATATTTTGGTTGTAGATGATGTGCAAAAGCATACTGTCTAAGTAAATGTGATGGTTGTTTACGTATTCGTCGAATCAAAATTATCGATTACTTGAAGAAGAGCTGCGTGCCTCTGTGGTTCTGGGACCAGCATAATTTTGAAAAGGATTTGTTCGATATATTGGTTGCCACAGTAATTTTATTAGCATCACAATGTTTTCACCAAACATTGATTACATTGGCAGCAGAAACTCTTTTCTTTACTATGGTTTTTATTTTTAGAATTTCTACTTTAACTTTGTTTTCTCTTTCCTCTTCGTATCCAAAGATGCGCACGACAGAAACCAGTTTAATTACTAGTTACTTCTCGTTTGAATATACTACATGTACACAAGAGATGATTGAATTTCAAGAAATTCACAAACCTGACAAACACAAACAAAATCAAATTACAATTGTGTGTGCCTAGCAAGAGATGCGAGAAACATTCTGCGGGCTGTGCTATTCCGTTCAAAGTGATGTGAACGCAAGAACCGCTGATGTTGCACAAAACCACAAAGCAAGAAGAGAGGAACACATAAAAATAACAAGTTCACGGCTTGCATTGCGTGTGGATTTTCCCAAGTTGTATATGAATTCGTCATTGCCGTTTGCCACAGAGTAATTCTCTGTTTTTTGTTTTGAAGAAAAAACGATGGATTCCCCGTGAATTGAGTCCAACGGCCATAGGGACGCATGTGAATAACGCAAGCAAAATATTCCCACTTTCTGAAATTGAAATGGTTTCGCTTGAATTTTTATATCATTTGAAAGAAGAGAGAGAAAAAACCAACACCGAAACGTCAACGTATGCATTATATGCGTTTGAATCTGTGACGCTGAGTACGTCATTCAATTTAATGGGTGTTATCAAAACTGGCTAAAACATGTGATAGACGGTGACTCTTGAAATAGGTTTTTCTTTCTTTGCATTTATCTTCCGAAGAGCCAAGAAACATAGTGAAATGAGAAAAATTCCGATACAAAAATACACACACACACTCATAACGAACGATTATGCTTGACTATAGCAAATGAGACCGCATAATGATATTGTACCGCTGGACTGTTGATTCTTCGTACACCGTAAGCATACATGGATCGCTATGAGCGAGCAAGCCAACTATTCGGCGAGTGAGTGAGTGTTTTTCGTGTATGTGTGTGTGTGTGTTAATGCTTTAGTGCTGCGTTGCTAGCTGGGTGAATGAATGCGAATCATAGGAAAATGTGTAGAGAAGGAAAAAAAACCCAAAACAATGAAAGTATACAACAATATAAAAAAATAGTTGTAACAGCTAACAGGTTGGCGTTGGTGCGGAGTGATCGGCGATTATAAAGAAAAAACTTATATGAGCATCATGCATCAAAGATTCTTGTTCAGATCGCTATTGTTAACCGCTCGGATCGTAACTCTCCATGAAATCGTTCTGATTGTGGTCCAATCAGTTGAAATCCATATGTGAGACAAGGTGTTTTTGGCATCGATTTTAAACAAACAAAGACTTTGTTTCAAACAGGATAAATTTTGTTTGGCAGCGTACGTCAGTAAAAGTGCATCGTTTCGAGAAAAAAAAGTGTTGGAATTTTTTTCTAATTTAAAATTTTAAAATAAAAGTGTTTAAAAAGTGATATTTCGATCAAAAATGTAAGTTTTGCATACAATTTCCACTGAAGTGTTGTTGAACGAAAAAACGAAGAGCAAATCATTTTATCGCACCGTCCATTCATGTCATTGCTACACGCGTATAAATTGAAATATCATTCAAAAGTTTAAAGTTAAAGCAGTTTATTCACTCGATGTTTGTTATAGAACGTAATAATAGTTGCACAATTCTATATTTATTTATAGAAGAAGAAAAAAAAACGAAACATAAAATTAGTGCGAAAAGTTGTATTTAAAATAATTTCCGACGTTATTTATCATTATTTTTCATACGGTTTAATTGGGAGGGCAGCTGCCAATAGTGCGTGTGCATTGGTTAGTCGCAATTGATAAATTAGTGTTTCAAAACAAATTTTCGCCTTGAATTCATGTACGCGCTGAACTGCGCGGCACGCGGTCACATATTTTCGGACAATATTAATAGCTCAATCTAATTAAAAATCCACGAAAATAACTGACTTTGTGTGTGTGATTAGAATCAGATAGTCACGCAATACATTTTCAATTTTCCAGTAAAGCAATTAATTATGGGCAACAACAGAGAAAAAAATAGAACTTGAATTGTGTATAAAACGATCGAAACGGGTCATTTTCGGCACATGCACAGCAATATACGACAGATGCTTATCAGAAAAGAGGGCTTAATACTCGTCGAGACAAAGTCATGAAATCGGTTTGTCAACAAGCTGCAAAATCATGCTCCGATGAAAATGAGTTGAGTGCACGCGACCCAAATTGCATTGTATTTTTCGTGGGATATCAACGTTTTCGGCTGTTCATTAAAATCGATCCGGCATGGATCTGTGGAAAATGATGGCATTTAATCAAATCACAACAATGACATATACATATATTGTTCGCATTGTATGGATTTTTGTGATTAAGACACAGAGAGAGAGATTTGTGTGTTGTATGCTTTTGACATTAATAACGGGTTAATTAAGATACCAAAAGGATTGAAAAGCAAATATTAAAAAGTCAGTGCTCGCATCGTGCAGCGTTGTCGATGGCAACATGGCACATTTCAGAACTGATGCCTGACTGAGACAAGCATAAAAATGGAATAGACAAAAGACTGTGAGATTTTGGTCGTTCGGTGCAATTAATTAGACACCTCATACAGCAACCCCATTGATTTATTTTTCTTCTTTTTGTCGTTGGTATGCACGTACAATGTGTACACGTCGTACGCAAATTTGAATGGTGTCTATTGTGCGACCCATTTTTCATGTGAACAACGACAATAAGCGTCAGCTGGCAGAAAATAAGAAGAACCAATTCTCAACAGAATTGACATTATCCATTCAGATGCATTCTCTCTCTATACAGCATTTTAATTTCGTTTAGCGATTCTTTTAATTGAATGGCATGAAGAAAAAAAAAACAAAAAAAAAACACATACACCGTTACTTTGCCGACACTTTTTTTTCTCACTTGGAGCAATCTTGATTTATTCAAATTAATGGCATAATGAGATTGTATGTCTCGCTGCTGCTTGTTCTCTTCAATTTTCTTTTCAGCGATGGTATTTACTTTTGCTTTGTCTGCATATATTCGGATTCCGAATGGAACACCGCAATGGCACTCTTACTTTCTTGTTGTGCGAATGTTTTTCAATGAGCCCACATGGTTTCACTCAACTTTTTACTCAAATGTGCTTGCAAATTGTATTGCTCTGAATGACTTCAAAAGAACGTTTCACTTTGGCATTTCTGATACATTTGCAAATTAGAAAAAGAACGTTTTTTTTTCGGCGCAAAAGTTATCAACTGACACGGTGTCTAGCGGAGACAGGCCACAGTAACAGCCCGTTTGTTTGATAATCCATGAAATTTACAGCAAATAGCATCGTAAATAATCTCTTGTCGTTAAAACTCGAGGCCATTCCGTGACACCCAGCAGACGGTGTGTATGGTATTTCTGCCCATTCTATCCGGCTTTGGAATCGTACTCTACCGATGTCATTCGGGCATATAAATCTATATTTTCATTTTATTTTTTCTTCAAAAACCAAATGATTAAGCGTGGAAGACATTTAATTCTAAACTTGTTTCCTGAAAGCATTGAACCACTAGGAAACATGTTATTTAATTAGATAAAAGTCCCCAAATCTAAAAATAGTCTCCAGCCATACACACAATTAACTAAAAATTGTTCTTCAACTGGGCGGCAAACCACTTATCGAATTGGGTTTCGTACGTGCAGTGTGTAATGTTGTTTACTTGATGTAAAATACCACGATACCTGGCTTATTATTGAATTATTCGCAATTAAAATTCTACAGATTTTTTTCGGTTTTGTTTTGGCAATAATTTCTCTCATTATTAATACTATAGTACTATTTAATGACTTTGACCGACGCCATGAATCACAAATCCTATTTTATGCGTTTTTTTCTTCTTCTGTTCAAGAACCCAAGAATCGTTGTAAGTAAACAAAGTGTTGTGCCGTTGTGGGAACTTTTTTTGTTACGGTGTTGTGCTTGAGACCCTTTCAAGGTTGAAATTGCGTATGTATATGGCTGTTTACATCGCGTTACACTATATTTATGCGAAAATTGGACACACTCTTCACCACTCTTATTAAATCAATGCGCTTTTAATTTGAGCAAAGTTATTTTTCCATGCAGTTTTGCTCTCTTGGTACATAGCGGTCAAATGTAAACGAATCCAATTATAAACGTAAGCCAGGCATGATGAACAAATGAATTTCATGGAATGGAAAAAAAAAAACATCTTATGCACCGTACACTTTGCTTAATGACATTTCAAATGCAAACCGTGTACCGATCACGACTACGGTGTGTGTGCGTTTTTTTCCTTCTCTATATATTATGCCAAGCTTCGACTTCATTAAAAGTGTTGTGCAGCATCCAAGGAGAAAACCAAGAGGGAAAAAATCACAGCACGATTTATTTTTGTGCTGCAGATACCGTACAAATATTTGTTGTTGTTGTTGTTTTTATTTTCGTTCTCTCACCACATCATGCAAGAGATATTCTGTTCTTGCCCGATAATGAAATATTTTTTTCATTGAGCACGATTCGCTAAATCACTGTCTATTTTTCAGCCCTTGGTACACACGCGTCGAATGAAAATACTCAAAGAAAAATCGAAGCGACTTTATTAGCATTTCAAATGATTTAATTATAATTAATGTGCCGGATACAGATGTTCAACTGTGGCGCACAGGTGGCAAAAAGGCGAGGAGAGTTAGCTGAACATAGATATTGCTCTCCACGCCACTGAAAAATAAATATTAATAACTTTGAGCAATTAATTCGTAGAATTAATATAAGGCATTGTGTGACAGTGCAGTTAAGCTAGAGAGCTACATATTTTGAATTAATTGTAGCACGAACTCACAGTGTTATAATTACACGATCATATGCAAGGAACGAACTCAATCTTGTTTCCATTAATGAGCCTCCCGTTCTGTGTTTGCTTTGAATCAATTCGGTTACGAAGAGATTTTAATTTTGCAAATGTTCTTAGGGCATTTTTCAAACCAAAATTCAAATGAGAAGGAAGAGAAGAAAAAAACGTCAAACGAGTTTTGCTTCATCGTTATTATTATTTTGCGGCTTTTAATAACATCATTAATAAAATCACTTGAATAATTTCATTCGGTTCGGATCATTTCGAATTCAAATGTTTACACGTTGCGATTTGTAATTAAACAAAAAATGTTAAAATATTGAGCGAGAGCAATGTTAGATTTTGCTGGAAAAAAATTTCCTTGACAACTTGACGATGCCGTGTAACAAACCAATAAATAAATATTTATTCAAACAATACTTCCAGATGTTACTGATTGTTGATTGGAGAATTTATTTATAATAAAAACTGTTTTGCAATGAGACATACCAATAAATTTATCCTAATATTTCCATAAAAGCCTTTTTCTGAATGTCAGATTGGGCATCTCTCTTTTTCCGCAATTAAAAACAGATATTTCACGTGATTAAGGGAAAAATTGAATAATTAGATGATTTAAATAGATAAATCAGTTACTTCATTACGAATGCAAATGCCTACAGTGTTGAATGAATGAACTTTAAATATTTATTCATTATTTGAAAATAACTGCGTCATTGAATTCACTTCATTATCAAATGGATAACATCAAATTAGCAATGAAACAATTTGTTTCCAGATGTTTACGGTGAATATCATAAATATTCACAAATATATTTTGTGTGTTTTTTTTTTGCAATACGAATCGAAAATCAAAAAACGAGGCGAATAATTGCTGTTGTTATTTGAGCTCATTGAATATATATCGGCGATAATATAAGACTACTACTTCTTCTTCTTCTTCTTCTTCTTCTTCTTCTTCTTGTTTTTCATAGCAACTTTATTCTACGCATAAGCATAATAATGCTTGAAAATGATTTGAGCGGTGAATGAAAGCGAAAATCCGTTTAGAACCATAGACCATAGTCTTCGTTAGAGATAAAGTGAAACACATGCTCGCCGTGACCGGTAAGAAATTTGACCAGAATAGACACAGCACAATCTCAAGGCGAACCACTATTTCTATGCTTAAGCATAATAAAAATAACGCGATCGCTCAATGGGTTTGGTGTTTGGTTCACACCGGTAATCATATGGTGGCATATGAATTCATAACTTTGCTCAGAGCAAAAAAAGAGAAGAAATTCATCACTTTTATGATTTTTCAGCTTAACTGAGCTTCAAATTATTCTGTCAGCACACGTGTCTAACAACAAGATTGTTGGCGTAATTTATGAATTGTTCTTTTTATTATAATCGCCAAGTGTTGGTCAGTGAAAAAAAAGAAACGAATTTTGGGATGGGCGCTTCAGACAAACTCACATCCGCATCTCAATTAGTCAGCGTTTCGTTGCGATTGAAGGCGCGCCGGCTACAGTGATTGAATTGGAGCATTTGAAAAAAAGGAATTTTATAAATCCATTAACGTAATATTTGATATAAGTTATTTTTCAAGCGCTGTATCTCCTCCATTTTTTATGACTTCTACTCATTATTTTGCATGACACCGTGCGCAACTCTTTTCGAGAGTCGTCAAGACTTCTCTAAGGAATGTGTTTTTTATGAATACTCGAAAAAATGCACAATATATCAATGTCGACGATAGACCATGTGCTTGACATTAGTGCTGAATTGTTGCGATTTCCAAGTTTGTCGATTATACCATTCGGATTCAAAGTGATATTCAATAGCAATTAAGCATTTTTTTTATTCTCACTTCAATATTCCATGATTATTTCTGTCTCGCGCCACGGTGCGTGAGCCGATCAATTATAATATGAATAGATGAGTAGGATATTTCTATAACCCAATAGTACGAATGATTTGCATACGAAACTGACAAAGTTTTTTTTATTGCAATTTAAAAATTCTATAGAAATTACTTGCTATAAATTGTTTGGATTTGCAATCCTATCACTCTTTAAGGCATTCCGTCTTAATTCATAGTACGCTATGACAATTGAGTGCTATGTCTGATTGAAACGGATTTTTTTTTATCGCCATTCCATTTTTAATCTGAACGTTATGTGGGTCTACAGTATCAGTGCACGCATTCGGGGTATTTTTGCTGCGTCATAAAAAAAATCGACATATTTCGTTTTGTCATTGGAATCGGTCTGAATCACGTTGATTTGGTCATATAGCGGAATTATGCTAACACTTGTCAGAGCAAAATCCAGTTTGTGAGAATTTCGCGTGTGAAATAATGATTATGTAGTCGTAAACAACGTTCTTGGTTCTCAAATACGGGAAATATTACCCACATGAATATGTCGGCTAGGAACTAACCTTTCGATTTACGAGATTTGCTCTAGAGAAAAACACTTTTCAGTCAGAATCATTAAATAGGATGATTAATAATCTTGTTTTTTTCCTTCTTCTTCTAGTTATTTGAAGAGTGAGAAAGCAGCGGTTAACAAAATGATTCCACTGTTCAAAAAATTGGGATTTTTATACGACAGCTATGTGTTGGCGATTTTAACGATTGGCTACGTTCTTGGTGAACTCGGTCATTATCTAATTGGGGTGACATCAAAACAGACAGCTATCGAACTTGATTACGGTGATCATGCGTGTCAACAAAATGTAACTTGGTTAACGCGACACGAAATTCCAGTCCAATGCAGCGCGGTCAAAAATGAAACGGAATGCGTTGCATTGAATTTGAATGGAACTAACTAGTAAGTTGTTGATTCTGAATTGAGTATTGTATTTTGGGATTTTTTTTTATGCATAAATAATTGTAATGCGTTTATTCTTCTTCAAACAAAATGAAGCTGTGAATGGAATTACAATGGATTGGGTATCGATTATCAACTACTGGCGGGTCCTAGTTTTATTCTCGTCTTCACAATCATTGGCATATTTTTGGGTGTCGCTGCCGACAAATACAATCGTGTCAAAATGTTGAGCTTCTGCACGCTTGTATTCGCCGTTGCAATTATTCTACAGGGTTCGGTTAAAAACTATTGGCAATTAATTGTGTTGCGTATGATCATGGCTGCAGGTGAAGCCGGTTGCAATCCATTGGCTACAGGTATGCAAAATGATACACTACACTTGCTATGAATATATAAATTAATGGAATTTTCTGTTTTCAATAATTTCCAAAGGCATTATGTCCGATGTTTTTCCCGAAAAGAAACGTGCATTAGTCATGGCCATTTTCAATTGGGGCATTTATGGAGGGTATGGAATTGCCTTTCCTGTGGGTCGATATATTACAAAGTTAAATATTTGGGACTTGGTATGTGTGCAAAACTTTTCGAAATAACATTTCTTTCATCATAATGACAATGTCTAACGGAAAACTATTGATTTTTTTTTCCACAGAGCTGGCGTATTTGCTACTATGGTACTGGTGTGTTGGCCGTGCTCATTGCCATTCTCACTGGAACTACGTTGAGAGAACCGGAACGAAAAGCAATCGGAGAAGACCAAAGTAATCAAAACGGTCGCAAGAAGATTTCACTTTTCAAAGTGCTGACACAACCACGAATTATCCTGCTCGCAATTGCCGCATCGATTCGCCACTGCGGAGGAATGACCTTTGCCTACAATGCGGATTTATATTACAGCATCTATTTCCCTGACGTTGATCTTGGATGGTGGTTGTTTGCCGTTACCATTGGAATCGGTACGAGTTAAATTGAAATAAAACTTTTAATTGCATCAATTAAACATTTCATTAATGATTGAACGAACAAAAAAAAAAAAAACACAGGAAGCATCGGTGTCGTTGTTGGTGGCGTAGTGTCTGATAAAATTGTAGCTAAAATGGGTATAAAATCGCGCGTTGCTGTTTTAGCTATTTCACAGCTCGTCGCTACTCCTGGCGCATTCGGATCAGTTTACTTTGACCCGCTATGGGCAATGATTACGTTGGGTCTCAGTTACTTCTTCGGTGAGTTGTTCACTTCAAAAAGCATAATTAAAATTCATGGACTGGATGCACATAATAATTTCTAATACGGATATTTACTTTGAAGCAAAAATTAATTCAATTAAAATAACTCTTTTCACCCTTTTCCACGTTCGTTCAGCTGAAATGTGGTTCGGCATCGTGTTTGCTGTTTTAGTCGAAATCGTTCCAGTGCAAGTGCGGTCAACGACTGTGGGCATTTTCTTGTTCGTCATGAATAACATTGGTGGAAATTTGCCGATTCTTGTTGATCCCGTTGCCAAGTGGATCGGATATCGTGAGTCTGTGATGATTTTCTATGCTGGTTTTTATTTATTGAGTAAGCACCATTGATTTATTTTCTTTTCTAATTAGAATTGCGATGCAGCTGTACATTTTAACACTCTTTATTCGAATTTTATTACAGGTTCGGTGCTATTTTTCATTACAATGTTCGTGATGGAACCATCGTCAGAGAAGCAACAGCAACAACAGTCTGCCAATGCACATGCACCCCGAGTGATGTACGATAGTGGTCACGACAATAAAGTATTCCAAGTTGGTGAAGGATTACCGCAACCACAATTTACCCATTCACAGACCAATGGCACCACACATCCGTACTATCCAAATGGCAATGGAACACACACAAATGCAAACCATCCAAATGAAGATATGCAACAATCGTATCGGGTCATCGAAAACAGTCGGCTGTGATAGAATTTCTTCCTGTATTTTAATTAAATTCGCATATTTAAATTAAGTTTTATTAATTGCATCATTTAAAACACTTCGACGAAATCGATAGCTAGCTAGATAGATAGATTTCATTCCTAAATCGATAACAAATTGAACAAATTACTATGTCGCCCTAAGATTAAATTATCTTCATTACATTATTTGAAACAAGTAACGCACAACAAACAAAATTACACGCACTGTAAACGATATCATTATTAAATGACGGTAGTAAATGCTACAGTTTCACAGGGAAACATCTCTATGGCTGGTGAACATGTTTTCAAATAAACTACAATGTTATTGAAATAACTCTGTTTTATTCTCTATTTTAAACTCCTGAAGTTATGCACAAAAAAAATGTAATACGATTGCGTCTAGAATTGTTGATCTGAATGGAAATCGCACGATAGTTACAGTATACAGTTTTTTTTGTGTCGTCGTTACATTTTTCGATAATTTTTTTATGAAATTTAATGCATTATGTAATCGTATCTTGTTTACTTAAGCGATTACGAGTTTTACTTTGCATATACATTATTTTCTTTAAATATTCATATCACTTGGGTATGACATACGATAAAAATTCATTGATAGATAGCTCGTAATCACAGCGCATTGTTGATTCATATCCCTGGCATTGATGTATTCACCATTCGTTCGAGAGAGAACTATTCAAATAATCGCTATGGTACATTGTACACTACATCTCATACTTATCGCCAAATTTGAACGACCATTTATCACACTGTCACTAATCATCTGTATATGCAGCATGGTTCAGCTATTGTCGAGAATTTTGCGTACATTGCATGTCATGAAGTTCAGACTAAATTCTTAACTGTATACATTCTGCTCATGAGCTGCGCGTGAAATAATCGTGATGAAATCCGTATGTTTTGTTTTCGAAAAACGTTTCCGTTACTTTTCGGTGCGTTTCTTTGGAAAGCGGTAAATTTACGAAGAACTCTTTTGTTTTATTTACCTCATATTCAAATATGGAAATTCTGACCTGATTCAATGTTTTCTGTTGTTTTTGTTTTCCTATCTAACGTTAATATGCCTTAATTCATCAGCTCAAAATTGTATTTCTTTGGAGGGCCTGAGCTCGACTCTGCCGGGAAAAATAATATTTATAAAATATTTACCTAAAATTCAATGACGACCTTTTCTTAATAATAACAATATCGCATGTTCGAAAAGTTATCGAACCGTTTCTTGTGTACATACTTTTTTTTTCTCTTTCCATCTCTTGTGCACACGACAAAAGCATCCAAACTTGCGAAATTACACACCAGAATTAGAACATACATGAATTTTTGGATAAAATGGTTGTTTGAATTGTCACTTATTTCGTCACTTCGAAGCTGGTATAAAATCGATCGGTTCAGGTGAATGAGAGACAGTGCGAAGTGAGTAATTGACAAGATTGGACGCGATAGTATAATTTGGTGACAAACATTTGGTGCTGGTGTATTCTGTTCCGGTTATGTTAAGTGATTGGTTAAAAATGAAATTATTGATTGGTTTAGTTGCCATAAGCGTTTGTAGTGTGAGTGCTACGCCAACACCGCAAATTTTTGGAGGTTTTCAACCACCAATTTTGGGGCCTTTTGGAAACTGGTTACAAAATTCGATTCAAAATATTCCACGACCGCCATTTTTCCAAAACGGCATTTCATGGAATCCATTCAGACCACAAACACAACCAGTTCAAGTCGCACCCGCACCTCAACAAGTAATTCCAGCACAGGCACATGCACAATGGCCACAAGCTGTTGAAGTTCCCATTCGACAAATTAACAATAATGGATGGTACTGGCAAAATTGGATTCCTCTTCCAATCATTCCGCAATATGGTCCAGATCAATCACCAACAATCATCATCATTTCACGTCCAGCAAAACCAGAAGTAGCTGAAACCTCGAATGCAAATGCAACAGCAACAGCAACAGCAACTGCAAATTCAAGTTCAAATCAATCAACAAATATTTCTTTAGTACTTCCAAACTCAAATGAGTCGTCCACTAATTCATCGGTACCAGTGCCCGTGCCAGTGTCAAACTCAAGTGAACCGACACAAAGTGCCCTATCACTTTCAGCCGCAGTTGATCAATCTTCATCGAATGTTGGGTCGTCGACTTCAGGTGAAAATCAAATGAAATAATGATTTAAAAAAAAAAATGTATTCCAACTCACTTAAACTCATTCTTGTCCATATAATTTTAGCTTCAACTACTGAAGCAAATACTTCGACAATTCCACCTGAAAACATCACAAATGTGCCAGATCTAGGTTTAACCATTCTAAATCCAGTTGTGCCTTTGGCTCCGTACGAACCGATAACGGCAACTACGAATGCTTCTCTACCCGAAACGACTGCCCAATAGTGAAATATCGTTCATACTTAATTATCGTTCAATAGTAATTTTTCACACCTTTTATACATATTGTACAGTGAACCAAATAAAGCGAATTGAATAACATTAAAACGTTTCAAAAATGTTCTACTTTTGATGAGCGAAAAAAAAAATTCCACAGAAAAATTCAAAGACGAGAAACTTAATTGATGGTAGTAGGTATATATTTGTGATTTTATGTTTTGCAGATACAGAAAGGATGTTGATACAGTTGGGACTGTGTAAACTTGTATTTTCACCCAGCTATTTACATATTGTTTTGTTGTGTATGACCTATGTATGATTTAGCTACACATAATAACACACAAGAGAGTTAGTAACAACTGAAGAACTGATAAGTGCTAAATCATTTTGACCTTCGATTTATATGCTTTTTTTTCTATTCGAGCAAAGAACCTACACCATTCGATTCGATGTTTTCATTTACAAACCAAAAAATTAGAGAGAATCAAATGCTTTCGATGAGACAAGCGTTTTAATTTGGTTGCAAATCATTCGAAAGAAATCCACTTCAATCGTATGATTATCTGCACATTTACATTCATAAAAATATGTATTTTTTGTTATGCTCTAAAATTTTAAATGCTCTAAAGTTTCAACAGAAATTGTTATAATATGCTAAAATAACAGGTAGAAATTGGCCATACTCAAATAGTATCCATTGGCTCATGCCAACTATATATATTGTATATCATGTTTCTCTAATGAAAATTAACAATGTATAGTTTCTTTTATGAAGCTTAAAATCCGATAACTCTCACGAATAGTTTAATTTCAGTACACAAAAATATTTGGTTGTTTAGTAACTTTAATTTTTTTTATTTAAATTTGAATCTATGTCATATCCAATGTGAATTTATTTAATTGATCTTCAACATATAAATTTAGTGGCACTTTGAATCCCGAAAAACAAAACATAATGAGACAAATGGGCCGAAATGAGAGTTTAGTTAAAATATTTTCTTTTCTTTAATTTATTAGATAGACGATGATGTTTTGATCTGGAATGGTTGTTTTTTTTTTGAAAAAGAAAGATTGGCTGTCAAATTTTGTCCCCTAATATCAATCAAACCAAAACGTTCAAATTCAAAAAATTTATTAAATAGTATTTCTCATCTGATATGAAATGTTTAGAGAGGATTTTTAATCAGTTAGAAAATTGATTTGGTCTAAATAAAATTCGAAGATTTGGACTACTTTCAACGATTCCATAATCTCTTTTTCACTTATTATTTAGTCACTGTCATTGATGATTTCATGTTCACCTGAATTTTGGCTGATTATACACAACTTTTGGTGATCAAATTCTATTAAGATGGGTATTATGTTTTTCTGTTTTTTGTGTGTTGACAATTTCAAGAAATTGCATTCAATGCATATATATGCATGATACGATGGAATGAACATGAAATTCTATTTGGACACATTTATTGTTAAATATACAGATTATGTCATTTCTATTTTATAGCTGAATAAGTCTTGTTTGCAACTTGTATAATAATCGATCGTTGAGCCGGCTGCTTTAGATTGCCATTCTCATTTGCTATACGATAATAAAACTGGAAAAGTTTTAGCCTGAAAAAACATTTATAAAAAATATATGTGTAGACAAAATGTTAAAAAAAATCATCTCCTGTCGTAGTTTCTTTTAAATTGTTCATGAATTGTGTATGAATGTCTACTCTGTGAATGGAATCGTTCTTCACTAAATTGTTTGTTCTTTTGTTTTTTTGTTCCACGATATTTGAGTTGTGAAATATTTATCAGTGGTTTTTCTTTTTGTTTGTAAGCTCTAAAAATGATGTTGCTAGTTTCTAAAATCATTTCCATAAATTCAAGCTTTCTGATCTTCTTCTTTTTTTTTTTCTTTTTTTCCGACACATTTTAGCTTTCACTTCCCTAGCTATCCGTTTATTATTATTATCATCCACTTATTTGTTTTCAATGATGGTTTGTAACTGGAGAACAAGGTTTCGAGCTAATTTTAGCACCTCGGGCATGTTGTGGCGCTCGGCCATTTCTGAAGAAAAAAAAAATCAAAACAAACTATTGCCACAATGAATAGAAGAAATTATCAAAATGTGAATACCATTGAAGAATTTGATCACGTCGGTGAAATCCATGCTGTTTAATAATATAATGTCACGGTAGGTTTCAAGTAGAGCAAGTGCTATGAAAAGGACAAAGTGTGATGATGCTACAAATTTGGCCGCCCAAATCATTTCCCACGTAAGGAAAATATCCGTATAAACAAGTTCACGCTTGAAATCCAACAAAAACCAACGGTAACAAAAGTAGAAATGTGTATAGTCACCGTACATCATCATCGTATCATACATTTCCGAGTCTAGTATTTGAATGAGAGATCTGCGCCAGGGTAAAAATAGACGAGAAATGTACATATGTAGACGTTTCCATGTCTCGCATATCAAATAACATCATAATCAAATACCTCATATTGGCCAGATGCATATCCATCGCATTTCCACTTGGAAAATTTTCAATCATGCGTTCCATTAGACGACAAAAGCAGCTGTAGCTCATGGATTCATCATCAAAAATAACCAATAGTGGGGCGACCAAATCGCACATTCCTTGCATATAACCAACCTCCAAATGCTCCCACACATATCTATTTCGAGATGGATAAAGTGATAGAAATTCGGAATTGACTTGAAACGATTGGCATACTCACGTGCAAATAACATTTCGCAATTTGTCTAAATTCTCATTGGCAAAATACCAGTAGTTTCGATCACATCTCTGTACATCTTTTTCGATGCGGTGTAAATTCAAGCCGAATGTCTCCAATAATTCACCCTGGAAAAGGATCACCATTAATTTTTCAGTTAGTGAGATTTTATCGATAAGCATATATTTTGAATCCGCTTACGCTATAAATTCCACCGTTTTCACTGGCCGGTGATACACATGCTTGATTAAATATATGAATTTGATTAGAAATTAATTTATTTTCTTTTATTGCAATTTTAATTAATAATTTAAAAAAAAATCAATTGAATCTTCTTTACCAGATTTCGGCTCTTGTAATGCGTCCAACGAAGATTGACCCGCAATCTCCTCATGCAATGTCGATAAATTGCGTTCGTCCTTTTCCGCATCGTTTTCATATTTCGTTTCCACTCGCTGAACATTGACGATATCGATTGACGCATCTGTAATAATGACCGAGTGCGGTTGATTCGTTGTAGGCGATGAAACATTTAGATCATTTATATCATTGTCATCGATGGCTATGTCTTCGATTTGTGCAATCAAGTCGACGAAATCGTTGGCCACCGTTTCATATGATGACGATGAAGGTGAGCTCTTATTGCTGTTCGTTTCTTCTATGGCCAATTTGAATTCATCTGATTCTTTGTCAAAATTCAGATTTGGCAAATCCTCTGGTTTCAGCTTATTTTCCGGTTCTGCGTCGTTTTTCGCATTTTTCTCAATTTCCTTGCTTTCTTCTTGCTCATTTTCTTCGTCGACGCCATCAGGAACATTACCCGAATCGGTACTACTCTTATTTACACGGCTTGGCTTTTCAATTACCACTTCATCTGCTGCAGCAACTGCTGGCTCGTCACTATCCTTCCTCGGCTGACTGCCCACATAATCGTCTTGATCGGACAAGTCCGAGTAGCCATTCTCCTCGAACACATCATTTTCAATATCATTGTCTGCGTCTAATGGTTGTTTCGTCTTTTGCTGCTGATCACTCCCACTTTCGGAGCTCAATTTCGCAACAGCAACCGCTGTTTTTTCTTTGTCACGTTGCCGCACAATAGCCTCAACTGCGAGCCACTCACTCATTGTTGTCTCATAGTAATGGCGACTGGTTTCATCCAACTCGGCACGTTCTTCGGCCGTTGAACCGAACGAATAATGGCCGAGTAGGAATGGCCACACTTCTTTGCGAATATCATGCTCGCATCCTCCAAAATAAACCAAACGATATACTTCTTCTGAATCGCTGATGACACCATTCACATTCAACGTATTCCACACATCTTTTGTTAATCCTTGTTCAGCTCCAACTAAAATCATTAAAATTAACGCGGTGATTGAGAAAATGATTTTATTATTCACAAAAATAAGGAAGAAAAAAAAACTCACTTTCCGGAGTAATTCTACCATTGACCAATCCCGACAAATGAGTTCGCACAGTTGAAAGGTGGCGACAATATGCCAACCAGCCATAAAATGCTCTCGATATTATTTGCTTGCGCATTGTTGTGCAAACCAATGCAATGCTTGCCGTTTGATTTGTGGTAATCTTTAAAAATAGAAAATCGTTCAGAATTTTCGTTTTCAATTCCCGATTTTTATGTTTTCTCGATAACAATTTGAAACTTTACTTACGACTAACGGGCTGTCTGGTGCATAATTATCTATCGATAGACTCTTATTGGAGCTGTCACTGCTTTCATTGGTGGACGAGCTACTGAGATGAGATCGTCTCGGGCTTGTGCGTCCCAGATCCAAAATTGATGCGCTTGTAACTGATTGCAATTTGTTTCGAAGATGATTGACTTGGAATTTGGATAAAAACTCACGAAATTCTTCGTTGTTTGACTTGTTTACAATGCGAAAAACATAATCGATCGGAACATCCTCTTCCGATTCCATAACAAGTGGCAATGGTTTGCGTTTATTTTTCGAAGCCCATGGAAATAATTTGCCAATACTTTTGTGCGACCAAATCGGTGGATCCAATTGACCATGTGGTAATAAACCGGTCTCTAAACAAGACAAAAACGATGCCATATGGCCACCTTCGGGAAAAATAATTGGTGAACGTTGAACGCCATCATGTCCAACTAAAATAATTGTGCCCCCTGTGTCTTGACCACTCGACTGGTGACAGTGTACATAAACTATATCTTCCACGTTAATGTTCATGGAATAGTCCCAATACGAGGTAGTGTCATTCGGATCATTTTCAGTGTAGCCGTTCATTAGCTGGTTGGGTGTCCACTTGATCGTTAGCGAATTCGGTGTTTGGTGAAGGCTCAAATAGCCCGGCAAAGGCTTCGTAACATCTTTCTGTAAACGAAAATCAAATTCTCTTTTAATTTTTCAACGCTTAATCAATTCACACCAAAAATCCATAGCAAAAAAAAAAATGGTGCGAACAATATCCAATTGGTAGAAAAAGGCGAGGGACTTAAGTGCTGGTTATAATTACGGTTGATTCCAAACATATCTCTTTCATGGAGAGCCATTCAATAGACAAATAGGAATGCATGCATAAAAAGTAAGAATGAAGGAGTTATTCACTTTATCATGTATACTACACACCGGAAGGACGAGCACATTGTTTTTGCCATAGAGCAATGTGGCTCGAGCGTTCTGATGCAACGATTCAACGTAGTCCTTAGCAGCCGTTGCCGTTGAATTCGATTTGAATGAACTGGTGCTACCATCTTCTGAACTGTGCAAGCTTCGTTTAAAATTCATGATTGGTCGACGACACGACGGTGGTGTCGGATTACCAGAACTGATGCGATGTCTTTGTATCAATTCATCCGCTGGCGGATCGGTCCAAAAATGCTCCGCTTTGGCGCGTGTGTAATCCAATGCACACGGTCCAACAAGTAGCGAACTAGAAATTCATAAATAAGATAGAATACTTTGGTCGAATCAAAATGTAAATGTAAACATAAAATGAAAATATTCACCTTAAAATCGAGCCAAAATCTGGATCGGCCACCAATGAATCGCGTTCATAATAGCGCGTTGCATTTGTCACCAAGTGATCAATGATGCGTGCCAATTTCTTTTCGTACAATGCCAAACGTATCCACAGGTATCTAAATCGAAATAAGAGAGACATTTTCTGTTCATTTTCAATGGAAAATGAAAATCGAAAAGCATAACCTACCGAACGGTTTGAGGTGGTGGACTCGCATTATTTGTAATAGATGTGTTGCTATTTTTCTTGAGAATCGGTGGTTTGCTTGTGCTATCACTGCTTGACGATGAGCGTTTCGTTGGATCGGCATTTTCAATATCCAACACTTTTTTGCTGATGTAATTGGCTTCTGAACAATGTTTGGCTACTTTATGCAAAAGTGCGGTCGTCGATGATGTTTTAAACAAACCAAGTGCTCGTCGACGTAATCCTTGACTCAAACAAGCTTCGACAGCCGCGCACAATGATGTCACCGACGCTGATTGCTCATGCACAAATTTCCTAGTGACCGATTCCTCCATCACTTGCTTCACTTCTTTTTTGACCGTAGCCACCAGCCGCTCTTTGAAATCAAGTGCTTCTATTGAAAAGAAACGAGAACATTTTGTCCATTTTAACATTCTCAACGTTTAAAAGCCGTCAATATCTAATTCTAAATGACTATGCATTGCGAGGGGCAAACCACTCAAAAGTAATACTGTGTATTAGTACTAATACTAATGTAAATATTACCTTGTATTACTTTAGTATTACTTTTTTCAAACCATAGTATTATTTTTAAAAGGAGTATTGCTTTATCAAAAGTAATACCAGTTTTACCAGGTATTACTTCGTATTACTTCGCAGGTATTATGTATTTCTTTTGAGTAGATTGCCCCTTGATGCATTGTCAAGGTCAAAATTGATATAGATTTCTCTCTCTCTCTCTCTCTCTCTCTCTCTCTCTCTCTCTCTCGTTTCAACAAGTCGATTATTATTGAATTATGCCCATTTATGTTTGTAAATCACTTCTTGCTCCACTTGAGGGGAAATACGAACATTAAGAAAATCGAATTGATTGGTGGCCTTGAGGAATTTCAACAACACTACGATAATAAAGCCAGTAGAAAATGTTCTTGGAAAAATACACAATTCTCTAGAAGAAGTCATAAAATTGTTCCAAGCACTTCGTGGAAAAGTACGAGTGGCAAAATTCAAAGGAGATTTGTTGTTGAGATTTTTCTTTTTCTTCTTCTTCTGTATCAATTCCACTTCGCTGGAAATCATATCAATTTAAAACGTTGGCGCTACACACAAAATTACGACTTTCAAGTAAATTAATTGAATTTTCTTCGCGACAAAAAAAAACGTGACTTCATTTCAAACGGCTGCGGTTCGGCATTAAGGTTGCGCGCGGCTCTTTGATTAAAACATAAAAGAATGGCGGTTGTCGTTTATGATATCTCTTATTCCAACGAAAATATGTGCGTGGGTCGGCTAAAAGCATTTGTGATGCATCTTTCAACGATATTAATATCATAAGCCGTAATAACTTTATTCATTCTAACCAGAAATGGATTTTCCGAATGACTTTCAAATGCAGGGCTTTTGAACGGGGATATTGAAATTTTCCGTCAACATCGACGACAATTACGGACCGAAGCACCAACTCAAGTGAGTCTCTTAAATAGACACTGAAAAACAATTTGATGGGAATTGTTGTGGGAAATCTTAGAATATCTAGTTTTCCCATCAGTATTTAAGAGGTTGTACTCGTTGTTACGATATAGTCTAATACACAGACAATTTAAAACCGCTTGATGTGACATTCGGAAAGAATATTGCGACTGAATAAATAAAACATAGCCAATACCCACGGCTTCTATCTTTGATTCTGGTCTTAGTTTCATTCATTTCAATGCAAATAAATGTACATTTGCAAAGAAAGAATGTAGCTTAAATACTCTGCATGTGTCTGTTTGTGACACATTGTAAACAAAAGAACCAAATGGAGAGACATTTTAGCGAACATTGAAATATCCAATCGATAAAACGGATCTCAAGGAATGAAGATGGGTGCTACTTCAACATAGTCGAATAAACAGCAAAAACATATGTTACCTAATCATTGGTGTAGGTCTTTTTGATGTTATTTGATTTCTTTTCCACACAATCCTTGCTGAATTTTCTGTTGGCATTTTGGTTTGTTTGACAAAATATGTGGAAAAGGAAGAGGTTTTTTTGTGCTCTACTAATCCATTGAAGATAATGCTAATCAGTTAAAAAAAAATTCTTCAACAGAAAAAAAAACAGAAACCCCTCTGAAGATGAATCGATTTGATCAAGTCAATAATTTCGCTGGAAGGGAAAAATTCGAAATTCCAGTGTGTCTTATACAGAAAATTGCATTGACGTCAATCGAATTGGCGTTGAGGTTGAGGGACAATGTGGTTTATTTGTAAAAATATAATATAATATTTGGAATGTCCTTTGGCGGTACCATATGGCGTGCATATCGTTTCCAAATCATTTACATAAAGCAACTTGTCAGAAAGTTTGTGTTAGTTGTAGACAAGAAAAAACTTTAAAATTGCTATTGTTTGTGGCATTTTTCGTCTTTCACTGTTATCATTCACGCATTGTTGTTTTCGTTTGGTGCAAGTTTTCGATGCGTGGGTGTGCTTAAACCGATGATTCGGTGATAGCTTAATCTTTAAATATACAATCGTCCGACGTTCACACAAAAACGCACGCATGCGAAATGTAATGAGTAAATAGAGACAAAGAGGGAAAAAAAAACAACGACGGTATTCTTTCGTTCAAAAGCTGTTTGCAATGTTTCACCAGGGAGTCAAACTTTTTTTTCCATAATTTTGCTAACATCGGTTGCATTCACTGCGGGTGGAAATCTCCTCTAAGACTTCCATTGTGAAAATCCTTTTCAAATTTCCGTCCAATTCCACTGCGATTGCTCGTTTCACTCTTTACTGATGACAGAAAATAAAATAAAAAGTCTCTTCTCGGTATAATGTTAATTAACCAAGAGCCTTGCCAATTAAGGTAGATTTCTCGTGGGTAACAACGCTCAATGCGAAAATATTTATTGGCAATTTGATTATTTTCAATCATTCGATTTAATGGAAATCCATTGAATGTTGAAGCATACAATTTTGTACACACAATGACACGGCATTTCACGTGCCAATGGAAAACGCTTTTAATTTTAGACATTCACAATACTGTGCGAAAACTTTGCAAAATATTGAGTTATATTTTTGTTTGTATAACACCCACTCAAGACGATGAAATTCCAATGCTTTTGTTTCTCAATAATATAAAGATGTAATAACGTGATGGAGAAAGTAACGTAGCATTCATGTTTGTATTGAGCTGTGTGCTTCAATTGAAAGCTGAATGAAAATACATTTCATGCAAATGTCCAAGCGAAAATGATAGATAAAAATTAATGTTTCCTTTCGTCGCCATTGATCCAATGAAAATGAGGAAATTATATTCACTCCAGCGCCAAATGTCAACGTGTAGAATTTCAATCCAATGATTGCTCATTATTTTTAGAACGATGGAAAAAAGTCGATCATCGGAAGTTTGCTTTTCGATATTTTTTGTCCGCTAATAGAATTCATTTTCCACCGTCGATGTGTACCTTAGATTGACAGCCGAAAAACTCATTTACAAATATTATCCAGATGTGCCGTTCATCCAATATGCGTATACTGACGTAATTTGACTCGTTCTTTCTATTACTACATTATTTTTGTTGTTTTTTTTTTCTCCTGAGCTGGTTAGTCCAAAGTAAAACCCATAAAATTGAATGTTTACGAAGAAAATAAAATGAGAAAATTCGGAGAAGATATTCGAAAAAGTTTCGGTACGGATATAAAAGTCGACAAGCGTCGTGAGACCAAGTTGTGTAAGTATAAAACATCACGTTCTACTCATCGCCGTATGGAAGAGTTCATTAGAGTCAATTCGATTATGTTCATTCAAGTTAATGCAAGTGATTTTTTTTCTCTCTCTCTCTCTCTTCCTCGCTCTGCTTTTCCTTCTCTTCACTCAGGACACACAGTGTGTTTGATAGAAAAGCTGAAAATTAAAAGCTGTGGATTTCTGCATACAACTATAACACATATGTATCACATTTCGAATTGGTATAATCAACATGTGGGTGGTTCCGCACGATATTGATTTCTTTGATTAGAACTATACATGTATCACCATTATATCTCGGTGTTTTATTTTTCGTCGCTTGTTTCCATCGTGCACATCGTCGTACTGTTGTATCAACGAATCGGGAGAGAGAGAGAGAGAGAGAGAGAGACACGCGTAGTGACGTTGAAGATTTTTTCCCAGATTTCTATAGCTTGTTGTGTACGCGAAAAAATCTTCGACGTCAATAACACAAAAAGGAATATACGAAGAAAAATAAAAGCAATAATACCCACCTGACTGACCAGACATATCGAATGTTGTTGGATTTTATTGAATGATACAAAAATTGGTTCAAATGATAAAAGGTTCTAATTTTAGTTTTAGTGACGTTTGCACTTTTTCACAGCCACTTGACCATTACAGTAACTTTTATTTTGGTTTTTGATTCGATTCGATTGGTTTTTCCAACGAAAAAAAATGTCAATTTTAATAGATTAATTGAATTCGATTTCGTTTGATTTTATTTAGAAAAAAAAAAAACTTGTAAATTTATTGCGATTTTCTAAACATCTGCTTCCGTTTTCCTTTCGCGATAAATACTTCACAAACAGCGAATTTGATTAAAATTAAACGATTTTCTCGTTTGTTGTTGAGAAGACTGAGATTTAAGTTTTGAATGTAAATTAGAATAACGAAGAAACAAACAACTTTTATCGATTTCAATGAAAACGTCCAGTGGCTGGAGAACGAAAAATATGCGTCGTAATTTCAGAGAGACCGCACACACTAAATTGCTCGACGGCGTAATGAAAATCGTTTTCGCACCCGCTGTTTGTCGAAGCTGAACTGGTCATGGTTTTTTGTTGTTTTATGCTCATGGCTGTATCGGTACTGACAATGTTTTCTTTGTGTTTGTGCGTCGCTATTGGTGTGGTGGTGCTCATGAAAATGCTTGTGTTGAGCGCACACAGGGTGTCGTTTAACATATTTTCCATTCAATCCCCCGTATAACATCCAATAGAATGTGTGTGCCACAATCATCGAGACTCCACGGTCGACATCACAATCCCGTATGAATGGTGAACGTGTATTGGTTCTTTGCCTGTTTACGGATTTCGGTGTATACGTGTTCGTACGTACGTACATTTGAAAAGCGAAATCATGGAAAAATCGATATTCGTTATACTAGCACAAAAAGTGACGTGACAGTGGAATATATCCACATTTCCACATCAATCTCACAAACTTCAACGTATTTTGTGGTTCCGTTTGTTTCCATTTATTTCTTTTTTCTCTCTTTCCAACAGTTTTCCATATGGCTCTGAACCAATTGAAAATGTAATTTGATCATGAAATTTTCAGCGATTTAAATGAATGTGTATGTGACACACAGACATTCGTGTGTCCATGAAGCTGGTTTTTCATTGCCGATTGCATGTGTTGCATGCCATTCATATTGAACCAATAAATTCATAGCAAAATACCAATTTATATTTGATGTGTACGACCGACATTCGGTCGTAAGAAATACGATAATTGAATTTGTTCGAATCGTCTGTGGAAATTCCATAATTCTGATATTTTATTATCATTTCCAAGAAAGAAAAATGTAACCAGAGAAGAGATGTTTGATTGAATGATCAACATTCTTAAATTTCGCTACATTTATTTATCAGACTTTCAGTTAGATTAACATGGTTCATGAAGTATACATTGATTAACAATAAACAGTATAACATAAAGTAAAAGTAAAACAAAATTGTCGCAATTGATTTTGATGTATCATTTCAGGCGAATAAATTAGGTTTTCGTTGAAGTGTATTGCAAAGAGATGTGTATGGAAAAAGAATTTAATTTGTCATGTACAATTCGGTCAAGATGTCGAAGAGTAAAACTAAAACAATATGAGTGATACATAGATGAATTGAAACAATTGCTCACATTAGATGGCTAAATTTGGAATGCAGTTCCGATGCATTTTGTTTAATTGTTCTGTTTTCCCACGACACGTACCATCATCATTTTTAAGTTGATGGCAATGTTTAAGCAATTGTTTCTCGTTCCATTGAACACGGGACTCTTTGTGGAATTCCCTCACCACAACTTCCATAGTATGGGCCATTTCGTGATAAAAAGCCATTTTGCTCGCAACGGCTATAATTCAAAATAGATAATTTAAAGTGATATTTTTTGCTGAATTTCATCTCATAATCTGAATATGTATTTTCTGTGATATTCAAACGCACCTCGACCATGATTGACAGTTTTTGTGATTCAGACCGCTGCATACCATAACATTCGTCATGGGACAAGTGTGTTGTTGATCGATTGACATCGTACTTCCGTTCAAATTGTTCGATCCGAATTTGCTGGAATGGAAATGGAGAGAAAAGAAAAAAAAAATGAAAAATCCAATCAAATGAATACCCTAGAATGACTTACGTTTTATCACTGTAGAATGAGTCATGAACTCGTAATAGTGGTTCCGTCACGCTAAGCTCCTTGTACGGTTGGGGTTTTCTTTCAAAGAAAATTGTTATCAAAACGATGATACCGACGACAGCTTGAAGTGTTATAATGAAAAGCACCGCTTTGCGAAAACCAATTGAATCATAAAGAAAACCCGAAACCGACGGCCCAAAAAATGCGCCAAATGCAAACGTTGATGTCCATAATCCAGATACTAAACCATATGTTCCGATACCATTTGAGAAACCACAGCGTCTGACGGAATAAATTGAATTTTCAATATTAAAAAACAGCCATTTATATTCTACATTCATTTTCCAACACTTACATTGCTATTCGTAGAGCATCCGCAAAGCTGGCTACCAACACAGCGGCTATGCCAAAGCCATGCATCACCAATCCGGTGATTACTAAGCCAAGAGTACTACAATTAAATCAGATTAAATTATTATAAGTCACACTACACTTTGCTCTTATCAGTAGTGAACAAGGTACTTACGTTTCAATTGGCAGAAATGACACTGGTCCAATTAAACAAAAGGCAGTAGCGATTAACGTACTTCCGATTAAAGCGGATAACTTTGGATGCAAAAATTTATCTACCATACAGCCCCATATGGGTGCAGTAACTGCATAGAATCCACCATTTATAATGAAAACGATTCCTGGTGAGAGAAGAAATAGTGCGTGGTTTTTTTTTCATAACGAATTGCATTATTTTTATGTACATTGTACATGAGATTCCAGAAATGAAAATAAATGGCGAGTTTCTAAACGCTTACCAAGTAGAACCGGGCTTAAATCAAATTGACGAAGATGCGGTTCGAGCGTAGCACCAAGGAAACCAATTGAAGCACTAGCTCCCATTATACTCATTGAACAGACGAGAATTCCTGGAGTTTTCAACAGAGACAGTATTGAAGCTGCAAACACACAAATATTTCACATTAATTGTATGTTTAAAATTGATTTATTCTTTCGTCATCCTTTCAAATTACCACTTGATTGTCCGTGCTGTAGCGTTTGATTGTGTTTTGGCAGTACGAATAAAGTGATAGCGGCCGTTAAAAATAGCAGCAAACCGAGCGTGATAAATGGCAAAAAGAAGCCACCCAATTGATATAGAAAACCACCAACCATTGGACCCACAATCAAACCCAATCCAAAGAATGTTTCTAGCGAGGCGAATGTGACGCTCACATTATCAGGAAATTCCTTTGCGATGATAGCAAACGATGCTGTTAGGAATGCTGCGTTGCCAAGCGCCTCAATGATTCGAATTAAAAAGGCTAATGTAATAAATAGGCTGTGTCCCTTTTTATGAAAGAAATAGCGGTAATGACGATAAGTATAAATTCAATTCATTTTTATATCGGCCCAATCAAAATGTGTTGACCATTTTTCAATTTACCTGAACTTTGTCGAGCAAACCAAAGACAATGGCTGAAGTGCCGGTAGTGAAAATACCACCGTTGAATAATACTTTTGGTCCTATGCTATTCAGATATTGACCGTAGAGCGGCGATACAAAAAATACAATTAACTCGAACACACCAAATACCAATCCATACTCAGTTGCAGTGCAGCCTTTCTTTTCTGCCTTAAAAAAAACATAAAACACAAAATGTTAACCATAATTTCGGGAAAATGATTGATGTTACGAAGTTCATTGTTCTTGTAAATTACTTTTAAAAGTTCTGCCGAAGAGAAATGATGTCCTACAGCAAAATTGGCAAACAAATTTGCATAATGTTTTCGTATAACTTGATAACACTTTCAAGACGAACGATGCCGGAAGTTGAAACAATTCAACGTTTTAAAATTCAGTGCCGAAGGTTTGTTACCCCCAAAAAAAACGAATTGAACTTTGATCATTCATTCAAAACATCTGATAATCGAATCCGTGCGTGGCAAATTGTTTTCGATATGTTTGAGCGAGAGTAATCATTGTTTTTCTTATGCATTTCAACAGACAACAGTGACCACAGCTGTACGGTGCCGAAAAAAAAAATGTCGATAGAACACATTTCAGACTGATTACAAAGCCATAAATTAAAAATATAAATGGCGATTGCGTTCACGCATTGCGAAATTGTAGACAAAACGTGGAACTGCATACGAATATTCTGGATGTATTTTGACTGCGATTTCAATATGTTTACTCGACAAAAAAAAATCGTGATCGATAATTATGCTCTCATTTCTCGATGCCGTTTACATGAAATGGAATCGAAACTGCTGTTATGGTTGTTGTTGTTGTTGTTGTTGGATTTGAATGTCGTCGATTTAATCAGTTTTTAATTTTAGCTTTCTCATGATAAACTATAATCAACATATTGAACTCGACGATTCCGTTCCGTCGACGATGCACTAAATTGCGTATGCAATATCAACAGCACAGCACAAGGAAACGGACGTACTTCGTTCGAGGTGAATTGAATTCTTCATTTTGTCGGAATTCGTTTGCTTGAATATTATCAATGCACTATCTACGTTTCAGTCTACTAAGCGACGAAATTCATGGCCACGATTTGCTCTAACTGTCATTGTTGTTGTTGTTTGTTATTCATTGAAATTACGGAAATCAAACGGAAATAGTTCTTCATTCCAATGATTTAGAACAAAAAAACCTTTTTGGGAGTTTGAATGATGCCAAAATGTAATATAATCCAAAATCAAACGGAAAAGTCAACACTTACTTCTTGAGGAAAGAATGGAGCCTGTAGACTAACGCAGATTGCATTGCAAAAATCAGCGAGCCCAATGATGATTAATGTAAGCCATTGACGTTTTGTAAATTTGGGTAGAAAATTTCGCATGATGACGCACGGTTGTGTTGTCAGTCGCTTGTTCCTATTTGCTACTTGATTTTTTTTTTGACTTCAAATGTGTTTATACTTTTGATTTGGACTGGCAAAAAACATAAGAGTTGATAATTCTTATGCGCGGGAAAAAAAAAATGCGAAACGTTTGAAGATTAAATCGTTTGATCCTGGAGGTCATTCAACAATGGCATTTAAAACACACATACACATGTACACATAAGGAACTTTAGTTATACTTAATTGCGAGCACTTTTCGAAATTATCGTAGTATTTTTTACAACAATGTTTAGATAAGTCACTATTTCATAAATATCACATCAACTTATTTAAACAAAAAATTCGCCACCGTTGCCAAAAAAGTCGCTTCGAATAAATGTTGCTACAGTCTTCCGTGAAATTCTTACATTCCAACTGTTTCTCGGTTGAGATGTATTTTGGACGATAATACCATTATCGTGAAGTGCCGTTTCGATGTTGCAAATTTTTTATTTTTGGTTTTAACAGTCTATGTGGAAAAATTTGATAAGTAATTGAAAATTAAATATCGTTCGAAGAAAAATTTACGATTTGTCATTTTGAGAAAAGTTCAAACAGCAACTGGTGGTCAATTTTGAACAGAGTTTATTGGGTCACTTGCAGTTAATTTGCACAAAAATGTCTTTCAAACAAAAACAAAACAAAAAATAACTCAAATTTTACTTCACAAACTCGTTGAGAATTCTTAATCAATTAATGAAACATTGAATTTTCGTAACGTCAGTCAAAATTATTCAGTGTTTGATGCTGCAGCGACAATTTGTCTATTGCTCAAGTTGTTATTGTTATTGATGTTTGACGGAATTTCTTCGGACATCTGTTCACAAGACTAACAACTTTACAACTGATTTGATTTAGAAGAGTATACACAGTTGAAACGAAGTCGATTTGTAAAATAATCAAATACATTCAAAGGGCATTATCACCGTGAGCAACAGAGACAAAGGGCGCATCACTTTCCTTCGCAGCAGTGGCAAAGAATGAAGCGAGAGATAATGTTTTGGTTGCAGCGTGCGTGTTTGAGTCGAAGATTAACACAACCGAAATGTGCTATGAAGAACGATGATAAGCAACACTTTGAATGTGTGGAAAAGTGCAAAAGAATTGTTTAAACATCGGCCTATTTGTGACAAAGGCAAGAGCATCGCGTCGTTCCCGTCGCTTCGATACAGTTTACTTGTTCGATGAGCGAATTGAGAGCACTTTTGACAAATAAACGTCTGAATTATTTGCTTGCGTCCAGTCACAATACACATAATAAAACTATAACAATTCGTATTGTTTTCTAAGTATAAATAGAATATGGAGATAAATATGTAATAATAGAATTGCATCGTTAACGATTGGTTTGTCCTTTATTAGGCGCCAGCATGAATGTTTTTTTTTTTCATTTATTAACCAATAACAACAACAACGACATCTGTACCATTGAATGAATGAGTTTCTTATGTTTAGATTTGCAGATGCGAAACACAAATATGTAAAGTAAAACCTCTTTTAAATCTCGAAATAATCATTTTGTTGTGTCTCTTTTTTTTATAGATACGTCATGATAGACTTGACATTTATTTTATGCATCCGTTGCAATTGATTGTTTTCTGATAATATTGATGGCAAAGTTCATGCTTACAATAAACGCTTTGAAAACATTTCAATGTTTATTTTCATTTCTGATTCAGATATAGTAAACACAAAATTCAACACCAAGAAAAAGTATAATCAAATTCCATTGAAAAGAAGAACTGAAAAAAATGAGTGATTTACGAAGAGTAACAACAAAAATGACCCAATTATTCGGAGTGCTTTATTATGTCGTTCAAGTGAAGAAATTTAGATATTTTTTTTTTAATTTAAAAGGATTATCGCGTGAGCGACATTGTACAACTTTCTTGAAACTTCCTTTACTTGCTGTATTGTTGTTTGAACTTTGCTGTTTGACTACATTCGATCTGAATGAATATTCGTTTTCTATATTTAGATAGTTCCGAATGCCGCGACAGTTATGATAAGCCACAAATATACGCACCAAAAATGCAATCCAATTGCGAACAAAAAATTTAACACACATTTATGCGTTCGATTTTTTTTGAACCATTTGAGGAAAATTGTTTTAAAAAAATTGTCTAATCAATCTATTAATTTCTCTCAATATTATAAGAATAATTGTATACAAATAGCCAAAGGTTGAATTAATTTAATTATATTTTCAATTTGCGCCATGACGCACGCGCCACATATCCTATAGATTCGCGCATGCAATGTGCATTCAAATATAGAAACCAATGTGGATTTCTGGAGCGATAGACAAATTGGGGTTAGACATCAAGTCGATTCATTGTGCGAATTGTAAACTTCAGTGTTGACCGAGTTGAATGCAAATGCATCTGTTCAATCCATAAACAATATTCCATTGCCTGGTGCATTCATTTTAGAACTGCTTATCTTCAATAATTTGGTCAGTGATCCGAATGTGTCGCTCGAAGATACTGCTCAATGCACATTTCACATGGAAAATGATTTGATTGACATTTGTTATGAACGCAATTTGACGAACTCAAATGAGGCTCGTCCTATATACTATATTGTTCCAAGTCTGGTTCGATACACATATCGTTGCATTTGATACTCGACACGTGGTCAGCGCCAGGTTATCAAATATATAATGGAGACTTTCGCAACCGGGACGTAGCAATAGTGCATATACTTTTTATGTTTAACTTGACAAATGTAAATCAATATTTGCGCCGTTTTAATCTTATTCTTAATGCTCATTGCTTATTGATTCATTCGCACATCATTGACCCGAGAAACTCGCATTCCAAATCGAATATTGTTGTACTGGAAAATTGAACGCCGTTTCCAAATTGTGAATCTTTCTATTGGCTTGAAAACGCTTGTTTACGCGTCGTCGGATTTTTTTGCCATTTTACTTACCGTAATTTCAATCATTAACCGCAAAAACCACAAATTTTTCGTTCAATTATGGATAGTACATATTATCTTTTTGATTCAGTTTTATTCGTGGATTTCGAAATATGTAATTTTGAATAAAAATGTTTCATTTAAACTATGTTCATCTGTTAAGGCTAAAGAAAAAACAATATAATTTACATCTAAATTTTGTTGATTGATTGAAGAATAAAATTACAAAATCTATGACGTGATAGACGATGAAATGGAAGTTTCCGAATTGCAGATGAGAATAAGTGGGCTTCAGTGGGAAGGTGATCGATTTTCTTTCATTAATTGATATTAGATTATGTAAACTAAACGATATAACGCCCAATTAAGATGAAGGTGTGAATTTGAATGAAACCCCAATCAGATTGTAGAACAATCGAAATGTATGTTGGTGGTGCACGTGCGGCAATGATGAATGACAGCTATAACAAATGTCGTGAGTCACGTTGTTTTTCTTTCTCTTCTTATTTTGTGTCTAAGAAAGGAGCCATTGTCGCATTGGTATGCTACCGAATGCCGAATTCAAGATCTTCTTGAACAATCGTCCAATACTTTGTGATGCAGCTGGTCTCATTTCTTGCACCAAATCATTGGCATTTGTATTTAAAAATTGGTTGATGGCCTCGCCTACGAATTGAAAACGACATGTTAAATTAGTCAATACTCTTACTGACCAAACAAACAGTTCCAATTCAAAAATAAAAATCAATTTACCGAGAACATTTTGACTATTTAGGTTATCCTTGACCTTGAATCGAGCATTTTTCATCGTGAAATCTAAGCCAAGTTTTTCAATATTCATGTAGGCATCATTGTCGCGTGTCTGCTCTTTGCCGTACACTTTGATGATGGCTGTGATATCAGTGAATTCAGCCCAAAATTCACCATTTGATCGCACCGGCAACAAAAGTACATTGCCAACGATGTCATATTTGCCTCTTGCCTCAACTCGTGGAATTGTCAAACGCATGTCGAACCGAAGTTTCTACAAATTCAAAAGAAAAAAAAAACCATTGAATAGTTTTGTTTGTAATAGAGTTTACGTTGCCAAATCAACCTTACCTTGACATCACTGCGAACTTCTTTGATGGTGTAGTTGCTAGCTCCCTTTGCCAATATTTCACTGAATCTAGCTTTTATTCGCACGGCTCCGGCGTCATTGTCCATATTCATTTGTTCGATCAACAATGGTTCAAGTGCTGGCACATTTATTTCCGCAAGTCCCTTGCCCAAAAATGGTTTCAAATGATTGAATGACCGCTTTATGCATTGATTTATCTGCGGATCGTTTCGTTGACATGGTAAAATATATTTGGCTGCAAAGAAACAAATTGAAACAAAAACATTGATTGGACTGACGTTTGTAATGAAGAGTTTTGATTATTCTGGGGGAAAAAATACTACTGAGATTTGAAAATTATTTAAAAGCAATCAATTTCATTATTGTAAACAAGTCACTGATGGCAAGACGTCATACAGCACGAGCCTCATTCTGATATTGCCAGAGTAAATCTCCGGTTACTTATTTTCTGGGACCAATAATTATCGCAAAACCTTGGAGTTCTGCTGACAAATTTGTTCCTTTTTGCAACCCAACACCTTCATTTAAATAATTATTGGTGTGTAAAGGTCAATGTGCCTGTACATGTGTACACGGAAACTGCGTTTAACTGCAAATTGAGTGGATAAATGAAAGCGTTTCCTAGCAACCGATGACATCAACGATCCGAAATTGAAAGGAAATTTTCCATGCTTGTATGTGCAAAAGCCAATAAACTATTGGTTTGCCCAACGTGTAGCGTTGTTTGTTTGCCACAAATGACCAGGTCATACATGAATGTATGTCCTATACATGAAATTTGTATTTAAAAACCATCATCCAATCACAGTGATGAAAATATCCAGGGACAGCCATAATTGATTTCGGATACATTTTATTTTTTCCTCCTCTCACTAGTAGGAATAAATCATTTACAAAATAAATTATATTGCTGTCACAGAGCTCATAAAATTGAACATTTCAATTTAAACTTTTTGAATTCACATTCTTCAACAATGTTGTCGTTCCAAACTATTCAAAGCGGTTTCAAAGTATACATATTTCGTTTAATGTGTATGGTCAGGCCAAAAGATATTTCGGACTCTACCATCAACAATATATTGATGGTTTATAAGTAAGTATGCCGAATTTTAGCGTCATTTCCTCTGATGTTCACTATTGACCGCAACACTCTTGCCTCCATGCTCATAATAATCGCAACCATCTCTTCGTTCAATAACCATAAAATATGGCATCGAGTAAATATGAGTTTTTGAAATATGTCGTTGCAAAATCATAAGATATAATTTTAACATAAAATAGAGAGAATCAACAGCAAATAAAACTCAATGTCGCGAGATTGCTGAGTATTTCGTTCTTTGTTTTTCGTGTGCGATTCATTCACGTTGGTTTTGCAATTATAATGCTACACCTACCTGATCGGGCATTGGACACAAGATATCAGTATAAGATTCATTTGTCATTACGAAAATATTCAAATCCAATACATAATCATCTTAAAATTTATTAATACAAACACAGAAGCATAAAAGCGAAAGTGAGTTGATTTCCAATCAATCAAAAAGGATTGGCACCAATTAATCACCAATACAATATCATCGAAACTGGCATGAAATTGGATTTTGGCTTCGTTGAAATATTTCTATGGTTTGGCTTTTACAGAAGATGAGACGGAAAAATTGATGGAATATTCTTGAATTTCATCAAAGTCCAAGATTCTGATAGAAGTATGACCAAATGATCCAACAAAGGTATTGTGTATTCCAATTGAACGCAACAGAATCCATTCGAACCATACAAATATTCAGTGTCATTTATCGTATTTCATGCATTAAGAAATATTCCAAACAAATTAATAAAATTGTTTGTGCAGACAGAAAAGCAAAACAAAATTGTGACTACGTGAACGCCAAGTCATGACCAAATGAAAAAAAAAAATGGAACAAATGCACATATAATTCAGTTGTGATAATTATTTTTCGTTGAAATGGTAGAAAATGACACAAGTAAACACAAAACGAATCCGGTTTCTGTGTTGTGTCGTTGCCAGTTGTATGCGTCATTAAATTTTGGAAACTATGCTGTCGACACACTTGCATTGTTGTGCATAGCACATCAAATAAAGTGATGACATTTTTCGGTCATGGATCAAGTGTTGGCACAACCATCTTCTACAGCTGATAGTTCCAGTTTTCAGATGCCGTCATTCAAAATACGTAACGTTGTAATCGATATTTATTGAGCTCTTAACAGTAAATTGAAGTCAATGAAAATATCCGGATTTCAATGCTTCCAAAAAAGTACGTGCCACAAATAATACGGTAAAAAACGCTCACAACCTCCAACAATTCTGCCAATAAAACTAAATTTCCAGTTGTTGCAATCGAGCGGATTTTAATTATAGATGAGAAAAAAATACACTACGGCTTGGTGGTTTTGTTTACATTCAGCAGGTGTGAAAAAAAAAACAAACAAAATGTAAAGTGCATGGACACACAGGCTCGATAAGGTCAGGGAAACAGAATAATTTCCATGACAACCCAGTGTCATCAGTATCGATGTAGCATCAAATGTCGACCGATCAGTGAAACGAAGAAAAAGTTATTGCCATAATTCCGCCGAACAAATTAGCAGTGCTAATTTGGCACACCATAATTTTACCATAATAAACGCTTCGATTTCGTTTATATTCTCTATTTTGCCGTCTTTCCCTGTCTCTTCACACTCAAAATCGTTTTCTTTCTTCGTGTGCAATCGTGAGGTGATGTGTGACACGAAACTGCTGGCTGAAGCAATCGGCATTATATGAGAAACAAACACAAAAAAAAAATGGTGATGAAAAAAGGTAGTGGCGCTCGTGCTACGATACAAATTTAAAAGGTTGTACAAGAATTCTCGTAACTAGAAACGACGCTTGTGTAAATCGATACGTGAACGTGTTTATAAAATTTTTTTGTCGCAACGCAAGCTTTGTATAGATCACTGTGTGTTTCGTGATGGTGTTTTCCCCCAATAGCATAATAGAAAACGTTGAATGAAATAAGCAAGTGGAAGCTGAAACAAAATGTGTTATAATCGCCGGCTATTAATTGCAATAATACGCAGCAAACAAATGTTAAATACGCATTTAAAGAGCCGTCGTCTCCGAATTGATGAAATTTTGAACTGCTCTATCGATAAAACTGCAATTTAAACTTTGGACTTTCGATTGAAATCTTTTGTTGCTTTGAACTTTGTTGGTTCATTGATTTCGTCCACTGTTAAAATGTCACATACACACACACACATTCGATGCATAAAAATGCGCTCGACGCAACTGATAGCAAACGGAGAATACATTATTATGACCAGACAATTATTGTTTTTGTTATAAATCGCAAAATTTATTTCATTTATGTATGAAAATATTTCTCGTGAGTAAATAAATTTGAAGATAATGACATTTATGGTTATAGCTGCGAAATTGCAAATAAACTGTCAAGTAGAGCGGAAGAGATACCATTAAATATTTTGTTCGAAATAATTTTTTGATAACCTTCAACACACAATGCTGATCCGCCAAAAGTTTTGACGCCTTGATACCGATTTTTTTTTCTCTGCTTCAGCTTTTAATTAGCTGACACCAATGATGATTCATTCACTAAAACACCTATTACTATGTTCATGAATTTTCACAAATGTATTTAAGGTGATTTGTCTTTTATAAATTGAAGAAAATGTGGGTCAACTGCCTTATCAGTGTGTGTGTGTCTTTTTTTTTTATTGCCACATGTAAAAATAAAAATATGCGGTGCTAAGAATGCGAACGTTTGTCAATTAGTTGATTGAGTGTGTGTCTCGTGAGCTGTTTGACCACAGGCAGTTTTCCGGGCGAAGTGAACCGATTAAATCGGTTTCGCATGCGTCGTTTCAAACGATCCGGTAGATTGCAGCAAATGAGTGAAATTGATTTTTTTTTTTTCATTCATGGGTTTGTGTGTGTGTGTGAGTGTGAGAGAAAGAGGCAGAAAGAAATATAAAGAGAGATTGAAGCGTAAGCGATGCGAAGAATGTGTTGCAAAATGCGTTTCAAACGATGTGTTTGTGAGTGTGTGCCGCACTACACATGCTCGCATGTGTTGGCTGGTGCGAAATGAAGAAATTTGAAGTTGAAAGGCAACTTGTTAGGCGTTCTGACGAAACCGCTGAAATGTAATATATTCAATGCTTCGCTATGCAATACACCAGTCACGTTGATATAGTCGACAGCTGGCTGATATCTTCTCTGCACACATTTATCTACCGCCTTGATATTATAGAGCGTTAACCGATCACAGTTCGATTCAATGAAATTACACACACTCAATCAACGAAACCGAATTGAACTAGCATCTTTTGAACTAAAATGCGTGCAACGGAAAGCCACTTTATACAGTTTTACATAATTCAAATTAATTTTTTTTGCTTCTTTTCAACGTTTCAAGAGAGAAAAAAAAAAACCAATCATAAGTCTTGCCATCCATTTAGTTACCAATAATAATTGAATCTGAGTCAGAACGATTGTATTTGCAGACGGTTGTTATTTGTTTGGGAAAAAATGCCAATTGCATTAGAATGGTGGCTGAACAAATTGTTTTTTTTTCTTCTCTTTCACGTTGGAATACACTGAAGACATGAATCATATGGTCGTTTGCATTTGGTTAAGATCTTGGGGTATTGCACCATAAAAGCACAAAATTAACAACGACATTAATAGTACTAATAAATGTGGAAAAAAAGGCAACGACTCCGCATGCACAACGAAAAATAATTCAACGGTAACATTTCACCATACTTATTATTTATGATTATAATAAGCTACATTCGTATCTGTGGTGTAGTAAAATTCTCACATGGTCTCTGTGTCAGTTGTGATTGCATTATGCTTTGCATTACAAGCAGGTCGATCGCGCTTCTACGTTGCATTATGTGAAATATTTCGTTTATTTTGTTGTTGTTGTTGTTGTTGTTTCGAGCTGGAGCATGTGCATATTTGAATTTTATTTAATTGTCGTATTTTGAGTTTCGTTGGCTCATGAAAACTGTAACCTGTTTACAAGTTAGTTCGATCATCGTTTTCCGAAAAAAAAAACTTAAATCAAAACAAAAGGCGAAATAATAGCTTTCGATTTGCATTGACGTAAATTCAATCAGAATCATGCTTCATCCTTTCAATGCGATCCCATTCACAATAAAAAAAAAGTATCTCAATGCCATGAGAATGTCAATAAGATAAAAAAATAGCTGAAAAAAGGCGTGGATTTTTGTTTTTTTTTTTGGGATAACTTACGTGTCTCTATCGATGAGCCGATTGAAATTGCAACCGCACTGAAAACAATCCAATTCACGGCAAATTCCATGGTTATCCGTATTTTTTTTTTGTTCGTTGCTGTTGTCTCGCTTAGGTTTTATTTCGTTGATCACATAAACTCGACGTCGTCAATTCTTGAATGCACTGTTTTATTTTGTTTCTTCACAGAAGCGATTTCACTCTCTCGAACTACGTTTTTATGCCGATTTGGTGCTGGCGGTCGGTTACCCAATTTCGAAATAAACACTCGGCAAATGAATAAAATGCACACAAACTGGAATTACCCAATACTTATGTTAAAATGTGCACGTTTTTGACTCGATCGATCTCTATGGCGTTATCACACTAACTAACTTTTGATCACCGATCGATCTTGGTACTATCCAAAGCGTGCTGTCGAGAGTTTTAAAAATCCGTGGCTATGAAGTGCAATGCATGGATTCAAGTGCGCTCCGCTTGGTGTACGTTCGAACGAGTGCCTTATGTATTTCTTATTATTTTCTTTCTCTGTCTCTCTCTCTCACTCTCCCTTCACATCAAACCAGGTCAAAGAATAGATCCAACCAATTTCCACATCCGATCAAACTGAAGAACACAAAACACGAACAACAACCAACGAAATATTATAGCGAAATTTCACAATCTTTTTTTTTTCTTCTTTAAACGATGAAAACCGAATCAAACACCTTCAGCGTGGAACAAAAACTAAAAGTGTATTTGCTAATTTTAATTTAAAATTCGTTCGCGTTTGGACGGCTGCTCTTTTTTTCTGCACGCGTATTTATTTCACTTTTGTTTATTAAAATAACGGCTTTATTTATTGTGTGTTTTTTTTTACATTTGTTCATCAGCGAAGGAGAAAAAAAACGAAGAAAAAAAATTATGGCAGCAATAGTCGAGTTATTCTGTTTTTGTGCAACTGTTACAAATACTTTGCCATTGATTTGGATTGCATAAACTTGCTATGAAGGTATTGTTATTGCAAGTGGCTTTTCACACCAATATACAGCAAAGAAGAAAAAAAATAGGTAACAATATACAGCGTGAATCAATCGGCACGAAATTGATGAACTCAAAAATTGTTGTTGTTATTGTTTTTCTCGTTTCTAATCCAAGAGTCACTCTCACACTTGATTATGATTGAAATGCGAAGAAATGTCTTCTAATTCTTGGAATTCTTTTCGACAAATGCAATTTGGTTTAAAATGATTTTTTTTCTTTCTTTTCGTGATGTTCAATTGCGACAATTGTAATCGATCGAGTTGATTGGTTTGTTTTGTGCACCTTGGCTCGTGAAGCGCTAACTGATTTGGCCAATAGATTTCACGATGCAACTGTGCCAAATATAAACGTACTGCAACCCAACAAATAATCCGCAGCGGCTATGTTGTCGTGTTGCTTGATCTACGATGGAACTATGAATAAAAATTCACTTTCGGTTGCCTCTGTTGCGGAGTCTCTACGCTCTTTGATGCTTTGGTCTTTATGCGTTCGCGTCGTTTGTCCGAGCTACATATATATCGAATATAAAAAGTGTTGATGTGTTTATTTTACGTAATAATTTAGCATGCTTTAACGTAACATGTAAAAATAAAATAACAGCGAAGAAAAACAAATGCGTGAAGTAGAAGAAAGCACATCGCATCGACAATTGACTGGAGCAAACCATAGCGGCCGATTGGATCGCATTTAAAAAGATTACAAAATGCATTAGCCAGTTCGATAATACGATGAGTCATGATGAGGATGCACAAAAATCAATTGAGTAAACCACCATCGGTTCAGTACCGAAATAAATTTTAAATTAAGACCATAGCTGATCATCATTCTTGACATTTTTTTTATTCAATTGTATTTTTGTTGCACTTTCCTTCTCTGTTATCCACGGGCAATAACCAAATTGACAACGGTTTATTGTTGGTTATTCATTTTAAACTTCACATTTGGTAATCAGCCATAATCGATATTTTCTCTCTCTCTCTCTCTCTCTCTCTCTCATCACGCATCAGCCTTGTTAAAACTGTGATTTATTCATTTATTGAATGATGAGTAAATAGATGCTGTGTTTTTTCCGCAATTTTTTTTTAAATAGAAAAATCAAATCTTACCAGTAATTGCTGTGCAAATCAATTTTTAATTTGATAATTTGATCGATGAAATCGGCTTGTTAAAAATAAATAAAACACTCCAAAACGTTCCAACGTTTCTAGTACTGCTACACAGACGACTTTTTGGATGGAAAGCACCTTTTCAAGTAAACATGTAGAAAAATTCCAGTGGATTTTTATATCGGCCGCATTCGGTTGGTTCGTCGCTTAGAGTGGTTTTTTTCATGTCGCTAGTAAATACACTGCGTCTATAAGTGTGAATGTATTTGTGCATGTACTGACTAGACTGTGTGCTAAAGCATTATGTTACTCGGTCGTCTCCAAGAGCCCACTTTGAGTGTATGCTACCCAGACAAATAACAGAGAATCGACCGCTGCAGAAAAAACAGTAGTATGGTGTGTTATTGCTTGTGTGTATCGTTTCATTTGTTTATGTTTACAAACGAACAACGCGATGGGCTTGTACGAACTCCACTTATGAACGTATGAGAAAAAAAAATCGTTGACTATTCTAATTAGATTCATTTTCCTGGCTGAATGATAACTGAATGATAAGTTGAGAGAAAAACGTAGTATCACGGTGTTGTGTCCCATGTACAGCTGATACTCAAGATATGGCCTCTCTCTTTCTCTCTCTCTCTGTCTTCTCTACAATGTCGTCAGTAAAAGCGATATTTACATATTGTGACAGACCTCGAAGTAGTATTAACATTTCGACGTATTTTTGCGATTATATGCGAAATTTTCACCACATGAGGACATCATCATCATTTGATCTTTCTTGCATAATTTGACCGAAGTTGTCAACCGACGCTTTTGTTCACTGGTGACGGTGGGCTGCAATTCGATAAGTGGGAAAAAATTAATGGTTTTTGTTGTTGGCATTTTTAATTGGATTCAAGGTCAATCAATAAAATAGAATAAAATAGGCGAATTACCTCAAAAGAAAATTACCACAAACGGAATCGCAGCAAAACACATGGACGAAAATTGAGTTGTCGCGACGTAGGTTTGCCATGCTGTGTGTATGTGTGATTTATTGGAGCTCATTCCTCTCTACATTTGATGATTCATTTTGTTGTCGGTGAGATCATAGATTTCGGAATGCGCGCGCGCCATAAGATTGCATCAAATCACAAGTAACAATGGGAAAATAAATTTCTTTGTTTACATTTTTGTGACCAAATGGGTTTCTCAATTGCCATTATGCTCGTTTTTCCATGTTCCATGACACGGTCCAATAGATTTGAACACCGTCAACACACGATCAAGTGAGAAACCACAAATGGAATCGACTCTGCGGCGAATGGAACACATTCATAATTATAGTGATGGTATTGCGTGCACGCGGCTCGACGACCTTCGCCGAATAGCAATTTTGGTTTTGTTTTTCTTCTTGCTTCAGCGCCATTGTTTTGAATGTATGCCACAGTATTAAGATGACCGCTTTCAATAATCGTGGCTTTGACCTTTTTCACATTTTTCACACACAAATTCCATGGATAAAACACCAAATTTCGTCGAATTTTCAATTGTGTCTTCCATCACAAGTATTTCTTGAAAACAAAATTATAGTAGAATGAAATTCTAATCTTCAAATTGAAGGGCAACTTCAAGAGCGAACAATCAGTTCTTATTTTATAATTATATCAATTTGGGTTATTTGAACTCGGAAAATATTGACATTTTGTAATGCCAAAAACGTTTCGAAATATACCGGCGTTTGAGGGATTGTTTTCGTGACTATCGTGACTATTGTTTTATTTGAGTATATTTGAAATGTAATTCCACAATAGAAATCATTTACGGTAGCTCCAAGTTGGTGTCATCAAATTATCAACATAATTGTCTTGTGACATCGATCCTATTCCGGCACGAAATTTGGTTGATTATTTTTCGCCTCGTTTAGTAAAACTATTCTCATACAAAACACCGTTGAATACAGTCACTGCTCATTTGATCTGTTAAGTGACATTTCACTGCTCATGTAAACTACGGGTACATACACGTTTCATTCACAACTGAACTGGTAGATGTCTCTGAATTCAATTTCAATCAACAGTCGAAAAGCGATCATTCTCCTGCACATTGTATATTTATGCTTATTGTATCTATAGATACGGCTTGGAATAGCAAAGCAAGTGTATGTTCTTTTCATATATTTGTCATCGCTTCAATTAGCTAAATTCAGTAATGATTGAATCACATCACATTCTATTCATACATATACGAAAAACGAATCGTTCGCCCATTTGATAAATCACGTTCATTAAAATAACGTTCGAAAGCTAGATTCAAATCCATGATCGAGAAACAAGATGTCGCTAGTAAATGCAAAGGTGATCATTTTGTGTGCTTTCCCATGAATCAATCGAAAGTGACGGTTTAAATTCGTTCGAATTAGGTTTCGTTCGTTCAAATTACTATAAATGAAGGCTAGTTACAAAAACGATTCGTTTAATTTTGATTTAAAATTTTATTCATATAATGAAAACCTCTTACAATAACAATCTTTTAAAATATAACAGAAATAGATAAAAGATGGTATAGTGGCAAAAAGTCGAAACGGCTTAGAAAATACTATACAGCGTATGTAGACCTTATGTCCAATCGAAATTCACTTGATTGCGATAAATATCATTAAATAAAAAGAGATTTAATAAAGAAAAAAAAAAACCAAGAGATTTTGTTCAAGAAATAATCAATCAGAGAAGAGTCGTATCTAATTTCTTAAGCTACACATTGGGTCGGAACGACTGTTTGATAATAATTAACAACATAAGGAAAATTAAACAAATGAACGAATTTCCGCTAAATGTTATAGTTTCGGCAAAACAATTTTAGCGGAAAGGAATAAATTATGTGTGTACTTTGTTAAACAGCTAATTCGGTAAGTGATTTGGTTGCTGCACTTCTATACCAGCCACATTTTATTTGGTAATTTTGAGAATACATTATTCCAGAGACCGGTGAAAATGTTGGCTAGACCATGCTCCAAGTCTGATCTCAATTCGGAAATCACTTCTTTGGCATTTTGATTCAGGAACATATTCAATGAGGCACCCAACACTTTGTTTCCATTGAACAAATTATCTAAATGAATTCGCATACTGCCCACCAAGAATGTTACCTTCATATCATCAATGTGAATCACTTCCTGTGAAGTGAACGAAAGTTAGAAACGGTACCGTTTGATAAGAAAAAATGGCATCTGCCGATGGAAAAATTACAACTGCATATACAGAAACGTACCTCCGGTTTTTTTCTGATACTGATTTTTGTGTACACGGAACTCTTCACATCTTTCATTGACATCGCGACATTGCCACTTCCAACGATTGGCAGAAGAAGAATGTTGCCTTTCAAATTATATGTAGCATCGATGCGAAGCTTTGGTATCACCAAGTCAAAACTCAATTGTTTCTTTTCTAAATCAAGGCTGAAAAAAAACGGAACCAATTTTGACCAACGCGATGCAAAACAAAACGGCAAAAAAACATTGTTTACCTTGCACGACTAACTGTGGCATTTGATGGACCTTTCACAATCAAATTCTTGAAACCACCCGCAAGTGTTAGACTGCCACTGCCTCGTGACACCGATACCGACTGTAGAATCAAGGGCTCAAAATGTTCAATGCCCAATTCCGGAATACCTACAAACAAATACGAGATTCAAAGTCAGAATATTTATCGAGTTTAAATTATTTCTCATATTTTTTACCTTTGGCCAGTTGTGGGAACATTCCTTCGAACATTTGCCGGAAGCAATCATCTGCATTTGGATTGCTCTTGCTACACTGTCGCAACCAATCAGCTGTAAAACCATGAAACAGAAGTGAAACATAATAATTAAATTAACATGGTTTATGTGAAAAAAAAAAATTAAAACGTCTCAATTTACATTGAAAACCTTCGGCCAACTTTTGAAATGCAAAAAAAAGATTAAAAAATCATTTCGGTTTCGACATATTTGTCATGAAAAATGAAATATTACAACATTTATGCTGCATATTCCCGCATTAAAATTTACGCTTGTTTTAAACGCTAAGAAAATCAAATATTCATTTAATTCTATCGTTCGTTCACATTGAGCCTTTATTTCTCTTCAAATGCTGATTTAAATTTCAACAAAGATTAACATTTAGACGTGGCGAAGCACAAAAAATGCAAAATGTATGCAATCGACCGGTTTCGTGTTTTTGCTATCGTTTAATTCTTCCACTTCGAAATTGTACGTAGAGTGTATGTGAGTGTCTATGCAGTCGCAATGTCGTTGTTTGTCGTAATCAAAGTATGCTTTTTTTTCTTGTATTTCTTAATCTTGCATGAAAATTCGAAAAGATTTGAAAACTTGGCGATTTCTCATTGCATCCGATCCGATATTTTATGTGTGTTTGCCGATGAATTGCCCGAGAATAATGATTCGTTTACGCAAAATGTGTTGCTTCAAAGGTTTTACATCATTCGCAAATTTTTTACCGTTTGAAAGTCAATAATTTTTATGTTTCTCATTCGACTCGACGGCAGTTGCGACAAAGATGTGAATGCACTTGATTGCAGCAGCATCGAAGCAATTCTATTGTATCGCGTTTGAGCTTTAAAAATTAAATCGACAACTTTAAGGCAATCTTTTGGTTGTGGCTTGAGGCAATCGGTGGCTATTCAAAATGTTCAATTTCGAAATAAAACACAAAAGCTGACAGTAGAAACAGAATTTTCAAAATAGCCTAGTGTTGATTTCAATCGCATCGCATCGTTAAATATTTTGGTTCGGATGAAATGAATGTCATCAAACCTCATTAACGTATCGAACGTCATTGTTGTCGTCAGCCAGCGATCAATGACGACATTTTATTGGAATCGATTACTGGTGGAATCGACCACGGACAACAAGAGGTGAATGCATAAATCAATAAGATTTCGAGCGGTGACCCAAAAGAGAGTACTAAATTGGAATGTTTCTGTTTTCTGCCATTGCATAATACAAACAAGTTTTTATTCATCGTCGCGAAAAGTTCACATCGAACCGATTTTTTTTTTTTGAGCAAAGAGTGGAATTTTCAATGCGCTAGACCAACCGTAGATTCGTAGTCATGAAAACGCAAAATGGACAATTTATCACCATTTATTGGTCACACATACATGTGAGGAAGTCATTTTCGAATATATATTTGCAATTCCACAGGTTTTAAAAAAAACGTTTAGTTATCGTTTGATCGTTTTAATTTAGTGGAAACGGAACCAGATGTCATAACTTGATATAATATATTTGTGGATTGCTTTCGCTTCTCTCTCCCTCTCTCTCTCTCTGTCTCTCTCTCTCTATCTGCCGGCTATCGCAAATATCTAAAAGATAATTGAACGTCGTTGTGGTCGCATCGGATGATTGGTAATCGATGACGGCATAAAATATCGGAACTAAAACATGATCGCTTTCACTCTACGATGGTTTGAACTTGTATTGCTTGCGGCAGATCATCCGTTTTAGATCGCACACCATGTGTACTACACACACCACTCTGCTGTCTTGCCTGCTTTGAGTGCGTGATTTTTTTTTTTTTTTCAATTTTTTTTAAACATGCTTTTAATTGAATAATCAAAAGCTATCGCGAATTGGTCATTGTCATATGCTGTATGAAAATGTCGGCTTCAAATATCAAGCAAAACCCATTTTACAATCGATCGATTCCACTTTGAATAAATTATAAGTTTTGTTATTGTTACATGATCGCTAGTGATCGACTCCTATGTCTATGACCAAAGCCACTGTCCGATCGAAACCGATTGTTTCAATTCGAACCGCAGCGAAGACAACCGTTTTGTTGTTGAATTTCTTTTTCATTTCATTTCGCTTTCTTCGGAATTGATTAACCAGACGTCGAACGCACCTATTATTTAATCGCAAAAAGAAGCTTTCTTTGTTATGTATTTATAAACGCGTAACTGATGATACCATATGTATCGGTATATTACGTTATTTTGGATCTCATTTCAATTTATTTTTTTTTTTTTTGTTTATTTTGCTTCTTCTTCGCATGAATACCGCCTCCACTGCCGTCGTCGTAGCCATTGATTTCATAGCATGAAAACATTTGATAGTGAATTTCACGCAAAACAAAAACAAAACTAAAACGTTTATGATCAATATGTTATTGAATAAGTGTATTTTTGCGGGAGCTTAAGAAGCCATACGTCTAAAATCATAGTGCGTGAGTTAAGTTGTGAAAATAAAAAACTTTTATTATCTTTTCGTTGCAAAAAATGTTATGCAATGTAAAATGAGACACATTTTCTGTTCATAAATAGATCAATGTTTCTCGTCCGAGTGTGAAGAATGGAAATGGACATTGATAAACTTGTGGCTTGCGAAAAAAAAAACTGTCACTGAAACTGTCTATTTTTATTGATCAAATGCTCTTGACTGCATGACATCCAAACCGGTTCAATTGAAAATTTGGCACACGCATGAATGATATGCACAGAGGTGACAAAAAAACACATATGATGGATTAAAAAAATAACTAGAAACTGTACCAAGATCAACGACTTTTTTACTTGTCTCAACAATACTGTAGCGGCTGTGAATATAAATGGTCTGGATGGACTCATGCGCAACCATTTTTTGTTGTTGCTTTTATTGCTTCATGATAATTAAAAAATACAATTTCTTTTACCAACATAACAATTAAAATTTTGAACGGCTTTTAATTTAGATTTCATCAAACGTCTATTGCTTAATATGAATTTTGAGTGTGATTTTTAAGCTATTTTTAGATGCAAACACGAAAATATTCGCGATGTTGAAACTTTCGATTGGTTTCTATTTTCGACAGTTAAAAATCAAAGTGAACTTACGTTTTTCTTTCAGCTGTGGTTTATTATTGACTATTTCTAACATTTTGCCATATGTACTACAGACGACCAGTTGCAATGCAGCCAGATATAATACTGTACTCTTGGTGCTAATCATTTCGTATGTTGAAGAATGTGATCCGGTCTTTATAAATACAAGAGTTAAGCGAATTTAACTCTAAATCGGATGTTTCACAGAGAAACCAATTTAATCGATTTTTATCACAACAGATTGATGCTATTGAAAGTCGTACGTTATTGTCGGCACTAAATCGAGATGTTTGATGTGACACAACTTATATGTAGGCGAGGTGAACGAAAAAAAAAATCCTTCTTCGTTGTACTTTTAAACAGAAGCACCGTATATTATTGTTTGTGATCTCTCACTTCAATGTTAATTCTTAATCGATCCACAAATATTGACTCTTCTCAATGTTAACACTTGATTTTACCATTTAAATTCCCTTTGAATGACGAATCAATAAAAATATAATTTGTGTTAAAAGGCGTTTAGTTGGAAATTCAAACAAAATATTAGCCTTGCATTGATGTAGCACATTAAAGGAGTTGGACACAAAAAAAATAAACAGAGTTAAACAGAGTATATTTAAAAATTGGTAATAAATTTTCGTTGGAAATACACGATGAGCGTTTGAGAGCGATGAATTTTTGTGACCGTTACGAACGATAACCAAAACTGAAATGTTTGCTTTTAAAGTGTGGCCAGCGAATCAACAGATCCGATGTCGTTCCGTTCATCCAGTTGAAATTGGGCAGCTTTGTTAATACATAATGCGGCCGCTGGCTAGAAAAAATCGAGAAATCGCACTTACGCAAATACGGCACCAGTTTAGTTCGGCGGTCAATATTTCTACGCTTTATTTTGCAAACGTAGTAGTGGTATTGCTGACATGTGGAGGGTGTACACGGTGTATGCATATGTACACGAGTGCACTTGAGTGTCTCGTCGAAGTGAACGTTTACCAAGACAAATCGACTGCGTTGCTGTTCACTCGCATTCACACACACACACACACACACACACAGAGAGAGAGAGAGAGAGAGAGAGACGTGTATATATACACTCGTTTGCAATACTACAGTCACTCGCTGCACCTTTCATGTTGTGAATCGTGTGGTTTTTTTTCGAAGTTGTTGTTCGTTTTGGTTTCGGCTTGTGGCTTTCATTTTCAGCTTAATTTTTGGTGGCAGTTCCTTTTTACTTTGTGTTATGCAACGAATGGCAGTGTGCAAAGTGCATCCACTACATATATGTACGAATCGATCAAAGGAAGTGCGTTGCAATCGTTTCCGCTGATAAAATGTAATATGAACGAGTATTGTAAACGCTCAAAATGCTATAATTAAATGCGTCACTACAATCGAATGCGCAAATGAACGGATTGATATAAAGCTGCCAGTCGAGTACTCTTCACGAACGTTTTTTTTTTTTTGGTTTCATCCCATTAATAAATGTCATGAAATATGTGCAAATGCTCTGGAACACAAAAAACGAAAGAGATAACCGACATGAACGGTTTGTTAAAAAGAAGCTTTATTGTGGAAAAAGCAGTTTTACGATTGTTTGATGGTTCATTTTTGTTTACTTTCCTTTCGCATGCATCGCAGAGCATTCGTACAAATGCGTTGTGTGTCGATCATCGTTGCAATCAAGCAGATCCAACCAGTTCTAGGAAATCACTTGTCCAATAGAGCACCAACTATTTTTTTTTTCAATGACTAAAGTATGCCTTACTTCTGCATAGAAACATGTCGATGATTTTCATTGCTTCAGTTTATCGCAACAAATTGGAGGGAAAAATATTGGTCAATAGAAAGTAAAATGAGGGAAAATTACTAATCGTGTTTATTCTGCAAAATATACAATTGAATAGGTGCGAAAATTGCATAAGTTGCATATGACTTCCTCTACGTGTCAGGGCAACGTACGCATTCAAACCTCTCTTTTTTTCATTACTAAACTGTCAAAGTTCTAGAAAATGTCATTTGATTGCCACAAAGAGATAGCGAAATAAAAACCCACAATTCAAAAAAATGTACTTATTTTACCAGATGGTTACTGCAAAAGCAATATACTACAGGCGATCCTTGTGGCACCGATTGTAATCTGTTGTAAAATACATTGAAACACATGGGATATTACTATCGGTGCCACAAGGTGTTGCTAGTGGTATATGCTCTTGCAGGAACGGTGTGAATTTTACCGAATTGAATCACCGCCAGAACTTTCTACGAGCCATCATGAAAAAAAAAATCTTGACTCTCACAGTGCTCTACTTAGAATATAACATAGCAATCAATTAAAGTCAAAAAAGTATTGCCTAGAAACAAAGCGTCATCAATTGAAGCAATCGCGTTTAAAGTCTTAGTCAACATACGAAAACTTAATCAACAACATCCGAAAGGCTTTTGATCAAACTGCGATGAACACACAATTACAAAAAAAAAACATTGAAAAACTGAAAAAAATGTCATGAAATTGTGTGCAACACATACGATTTAACATGAAAGATATCATATAAGCGCAGTTTTGCTGTATTTCATTACCGATCCCATTAATTATTAATTATTATGGGGTGAACAGATGACGAAAAACAAAAATCCATTGCAATTTGAGCACGTGTCGTTGAACTTGTTCCTTTGCTGCTCATTTTTCAATGACAGTATCTACTTTATGATGATAAATCTGGTGTTTAAATGTATGGTTTTTAATTTTACTAAGAACATATTTCCACTGCAATGAAGAAGGCATTTTTTACATGAAGATACTTGCTAGTTTTCACGTAGACAAGCAATATTTCTATCAAACGTGATTCATAGTCACAAATTTATGTAAATGACAACGGTCATTTTAATCATGAAATGCATTTTAAGTTACAATTTCGTACACAAAGTGCATTTGTTTTTGAAACAGTTGATAAAACGAAAAACACGGAACGTTAAACATTTCCTGATTTTTCGTGTGTGTTTAAAAAAAACTAACAAAATAAAAAACACCTGAAAATTGCAAATCGACACTTTTTTTTATTTTGTCACCATTATATCATAATGAGGTATTCGAAATAACCGTTTTAGTCGTTAATTCACCGTTGACCGGATTGAGTCTCGCAAAAATGAATTTGTTGTTCAAGTGTGTTGCTCTATTGGGCTTAGTTTTGAGCATTAGTGATTTTACACTGTCAACGCAGGCAATCACAAAGACTAATAATATTCGTAAGTTATTCATTTTTTCTGTGAGAAATCAGTGTAGTTTGATTAATGTGAGAATAAATGTCGTGCATTTTTCCAGCGCCAATTCTAAAGCAGTGCCATAAAGATGATCCAAATCTTAACGAGTGTTTACGTAGAGCAATAGAATCGATGCGAGCAAATTTAAGCCAGGGCATCCCCGAACTGATGATTCCACCGTGCGAACCATTGAAAATCCCAGAAATTCGAATTACACAAAATGCTGGCGCAATCCGAGTAAAAACGATTGTTTTTACCTCTCCAAATCATCTACAAATAACTGTATTCATTGACAAATTTTTGAATTTTCCGGTGATTACAGATGGACTCGGAATACAGTAATGTCATCATTTACGGTCTTTCAAATTTCACCCTGCGTGACATTCATGTCGATCCAGTGACGAAACGAGCAATATGCAACCTATGGTTTCCTCTTCTCAAAATGACATCCAATTACCTGATTCAAGGCAAAATATTGCTCATGCCGCTGATGGGAAACGGAACCGCATCCTCAAATTTCAGTAAGTGAATGCATTTTGACCTTTATGAAGATCAATGAATGTGAATCGTCGAAAATTTACAATTTTTCTTTCAATAATCGTTTTACTTTTTCTTTTTTTCTTTCATTGCAGCTGATATTGATGCAACTTTGACGATGACAATGAATGGTTCTGGGGCGGCACATAGCAACGGTGGCAAAATTGGCGATATTAAAGTGGAATTCAATATTGGTGGAGCTTCCGTGCATCTGGACAATCTATTCGGTGGCGATCCTCAGCTCGGATCGATGATGAATAAATTCATAAATGACAATTGGCGCGAGATTACCGCTGAAATTCGACCAGCCTTAGGAGAATCCATCGAGAGTATTTTATATGGAATAGCGAACCAATTGAATGAAATGTATGGCTTAGAAAAACTTTTAGATGCATAATCTTTATACCATAACTACAAACAGTCACAGTGATTACCAAAAAAAAAACAGTTTTTTTCGCATTATTTATTACTGATTCGGAGTATTTATTAAGTTTACTGTGTATTGTGTAATTTATGAGTGTTTTAATTCAATAAATATTCGGAAACAGTTCCGTTGTTCAAGTGTCATTTTACCTTCGAGTGTATTGAATGCACCACAAAAGGTGGTTTGGATTGGGTTGAAGGTGGCGGATATATATTAAAAACGCTGCAAAAAATAATGATACAAGCAATGTCTGTCAATGAACTTGAACGCAAACATACGTCGTCATTGAAAAAATTCTTTTGTCATTATGCTGTTGTCTCTTCATTGTTGTTGCCATTATTATTGCTATTATTGTTTCTTTTGATGTGTTTTTTTTCTGTTTCGTAAAACATGACGTGTTCCGATCAGGCAGAAAACGTGTTCCGATTACGCAAATAGTAATCGGAACTATCTCATTGACCATAATCGTTGTTGATGAAATAAGGCAACACAAAAGCAAGAATGAACCGTGAAATACGCAGAGAAAGCAATAAATTGCACATGAGAAAAAAAAAAGTTGGAAGTAAATTTCTCGACAGCAAGGAGAGATGACTGTATAAACAGACATTAATTTTCTGAAAAAGTCGATGGCATCACATGAGCAATTTTTTTCTCTTCAAAGCGTACTCTTTACTACAATAATTATTCAAAAACATGTTTACTAAGTCGTCAATACGCTACACTACATGAAGATCCATTGAAAATGAGAAAATCGATGATGGTTTGTTGTTCCGAATTCGATTTGAATTTGAAATGATTGTGAGCGTTTTCGTTTGCTGCTGTAGTTGTTGTTGCGCCAAACATATTAAATCATTATTAGTACTATTAAAATTTACGCGATTTTGCACTGAATAAAATCCAATTAAATTCGAAAATCTTCAATCACCATCTTCGGCTAACGTATGCTTTGAATGCAGTAATACATATTACATAATTTGAAATTTAATTGTTCATAATGGCTCGGTCACGTTTATTCATTTCTTTTTCCCGTGAAAAAATGTTTGCATTTCCTTTATGACCCAATCTAATTTCATCATAGTCGAAAGAAATGGTCTTTTGCAACAATGTCCATTTCTCTCTCTCTCTCTCTCTCTCACTCTCACTCTCACTCTCACTCTCTATCCCTCAAGACATCACTTCTGATAGATTCACGATGTACGCACGTAAGTGAAGCAATGAATTTTATAGCTATTGTATAAATTGAATTTTATGATATATCGATATGTCAAGTATATAACCTGCGGTATCGTTTACATACGCAGCAAAACCATCCACACACACACACACACACACACACACACAAAAGACTTTCTTTTTGCGGCAAAACTACGCCTAAGGTAATATGTTGGGATAAAACAAAGTGTATTGAAAATGCTTTATTCGCACGTGCAACCAACAAAGATGAACAATGTTTACGCGGTTCAATGAAAGAAAGTGACACGAAACCTGTATCGCGCGTATACTACACCGAGTGAAATGGTATGCTAAATGCTCACTCGAATCGATTTTAAATCACGATTGTGATCGTGTCGACACTGATGTTTACATTAAATTTATTTTACTTAAAGCCAGACTAAGTTCTGTATCTTTGTTCAACGCACTCACAAAATCCGAACCAAAACTTGGCCACATATGCGATCAATTTGGTGACCAAAAAAATTTATTTGATTTTCTTTTTCTTCAATCTTTTCTAAATATCAGATCTTGTCGTATGTCGCTTTGTTCGCCTTATCTTCCACTGTTTTCATGTTTTCATAATCCCCGGAATTGTCGTTAAATTATTGTAATTAAATGATTCACGAACGTATTATGCAACTAATTTTATCGTCTTCGAATGCAAAACGGTACTATTGCTAGGTAAAAGCAAACCAATGTGAATGACTCACACTTCATTGTGAATGGCACAGAATAATCGTTAGCTTTAATAAAAAAAAAGCTCACCCAATCCACAACCATTCACAATTTTCAATTTACTCATGGCCTGAAAATGTAATGACAATAAAAACGGTGTCTTTTTCTTAAGTCATTTCGAATTTTATTTTCGTAAATTATCTTGCATTGAAACTCTGGCAACTTGAATATTCCTTATGACATATTAAGCAAGTTCGTACAAAAATAAGTATTTCTCAATTAAAACATAACACAGTTTACATTTTACACGCTAAACAATAGCCGATAGATTCTCTCTTATTTGTAATATAAATACAAAAACATGTAAGCGTAAAATTAGGCTACGTATTTATCTAATGTAAGTATTTGATTGTGGCATTTGGAAAATCTGATTTTCTTTCTGCGTCTGACTAAGAATCGGTTTCATTGAATGAAATCGAAATATCAAGCAAATCCATTGCAGTGACAATTATTTGGTAAATTAGATAGACGAGACTAAACACTATAAAAAGGATATCTAAATCGCATTTTTCTTCGTGCATGAAATTTAACGCTAATAGGAATTAAATTGTTGCATTGATTAATTAACAATCACATTGAGAATTACAATGCAACACTAATATGGCTGATATATTTTAAGTTTAAAGTACCGACCGACATAGAACACAGATTTACAAACATTTAGCATTTGTCGCGTTGTTTTTCGGTCGCTGAAAGTTGGTTGATGATTGCTTGGCGTGGCTTTTCATCGATGACCGGCAGTTCTGATTTGGATTTTACAAATCGTAACACCATTGGATGTACCAGCGTTGAGTCGTATCCTTCAGTATTTGTGAACAAACTGACAATGCAACCGACTAGAACAGTGACGATGCTACCGAAAACACTGTAGTACATGTATGACATGTTGAGGAATGATTTCAAGAACGTTCTGTTGAATGGGTGAAAAATGGAAATATTCAATTAGTTCCCGAGTTCAATGTTTCGATTCAAAGAAGAAGATTTGGAGTTTTGAAAAGAATTCAATTTTTACCTTTCAGGTGCGGAGATGTCTTCAGCCAAGGGGGCTTCGTAGAAGGTCAAATTGATGCGGCTCATGCGTTGAAATTCAGTTTCGGCCGGGTCGAACAAGAACAACGAGTGATTGGCAGTGGCATTACAACCCTATGAATTCAAATCGATTAGTTGATTATTTTGTATATTGCAAAGTTGGGTCATTTCATTTTTTTTGGATAGAAACTTACGTCAATTGAAGTTGGTAGGAATTCGGTTTTCATCATGTTGTTGCCCAAATAAGATGCGATTGACAGAGAAATAATTGTCACATGTGATGCGATCATGCCAATACTTGCACCTTTGCCGTTTGCAAACGGAATCAACATGGCCAATATGAACACACCGACCAGGGTACCACTGGTCGCTGCGTTAACAAACATTGAGATCTCAATGACGCCCGAGAACAAGCTCACTACATACGCCAATCCCATGCATATCAATGCGTATGTAACTCCAAGAGTTTTGATCGCGCACAACTGCTTGAAATCGGCAAATTTACGGAAGACTGGAATATGTGAGATGAAATCTTCCCATGTAACAGTGGCAACTGAATTGAGTGTTGACACATAAATACTGGAATCAATGCGAAAAGAATGGGATGACATGAAAATTTTGGTTTCATATGGCTTAAGAGTATTTTGTGCTTACCATAACGAGCCGTTAAAGAGGGTGGCCATGAAGAGGCCCAAAAATCCAGGAATGTATGTAAGACGATCAAGGATAAAATAAGGTAGGATCTCGTCGGTTTTCTCGATGTATCCGGCTTTGAATGGATCGCAATTGAAATATGTGGCATAGATGCCCATGCCGACGAGCCAAGACAGCGAGAACAAGAATGTCACGAACGGAACATTTGCCATAAGTGTGCTAGAAGTAAATACAAAATAATTCAATTACAAAACGATCAACACACGACACTCGACGTAATTAAAATTTCAAATATGCGACAAATTCTTACCGTGTGACATCTTTTTGTGATTTCATGCTCATGTAACGTTGCACGTTGTTTTGTTGGCAGCCCAACACCGATAACGAAATAAATAGTTGGCCCAACCAGGCGGATAGCGTGTCAATTCTGGTCGTTACATCACCGCTGAATGTGAAGAAGTCTAATCGACCGTTGTCACGATTGATCTTTACGGCTTTTTCGACACCACCTGCCTCATAAGCGCCTTGTACAATAACTCCAAACGATACGATGATCATTGTGATTCTATATTTTAATTAAATATGCATGAGTTTTATGAATTTAGTTAATTAGAATGTGGATGTGGATGGTGCTGAACGAGAATTTTTTTTTTACTAACCCCTGAATGACATCAGCCGTAATTGCGCTTTTCAAATTACCGAAAATTGTGAATAGAATTCCTAAAGCAGTCATCAGCAAATAGCTTGCCCAGTATGGAATATTGGCAACTGTATTGAGCGCTACGCATGGTGTATACATTGTTATGCCCATTATGAAAACATTTCGTGCAATGAATGTGGCTGATGCTAGGCGACGGACCAATTTGCTTTTGAATCTGCAAACAAAAACAACCGTGAAAAATCTTTATGAATACAGCTGCCAAATTCAGACTTTTTTTTTGATTCAAACGAAGACGAAAAAACAATCTATTTCTTTTTGTTTGTCTATCTAGTGACGTGAGTAAGTCTTTGATAACATTTCGTCGCGATTCTAGAAGTTACCGTATATCTACATAGTGTATAATCATACCTCATATCCAAATATTGGTAGACTGAAGTTATTCCGAGATTCAAGTAGATGGGCACAAAAACAAAGCATACGATTGGATAGGCAGATGCTAAACCATAGATGGTTTCCCACATTCCAACTCCTCGATAAAACAGTTCCGAAGGGTAGCCTATGCAATAAGAAATTAGAAAAATACAAAATTGAATGATTAATCTCGGTGTGTGACTGAATAATTGCGCAAATAATAAATCATTTATTTGTTCGCATTTCCGTATATATTTAACCCAAGCAAACATTGACTTTTGTTGTTGTTGTAAAGAAGGGTTATTCAAGCGCGGGTGAACTACATTCGTATTTACTTTAACTGGCATCATTGAGTTTGAATAGTATTCGAATTACATTTAAATTGGTTTTCAAAGAGATAAAAGCTTTTGAGCGAACGCAGCCATTATCTGGTCTGTTGTATGTGCGATATGAATCGACGCGCAGTATGTTTTTTTTTCTTCAAAATGAAATTTGTTCAAATAAAAAGCGCTTTTTTTTCTCGCCAATTATTGATGTATTGTTTACTTGAAATCGGTAAAACGTGTTTTGAAATGAATTATTTATTATTCGTGCCAATTTTGGTAGTTGCGATGACTGGCGATGACGAAGAACAAAAAAAACTGTCATTTAATTTAAACATTTGAATTAACAAAATAATAACTGAATTGAAAAAAAATAATAGACAAACACTGTTGACTCAAACGATTCGGGGTGATGTGGATTCCGAAAACATTCATTTTTCTACGCATGTTTTACACCAAATAATGGCGTGAAAATTGAATTCGGATTGTCCATTGAGTTTTTGCACTTGTTCTCGTTAAAATTTCTCAGTTTTGAATGGCTGTTTATACTTGATTCGATGAGATCACTTGATCTTGGATAATACAATACAATTATTTGGTTCAAGCAACGAAATGAAGGTGATTCAGCTGAAAACGGAAGAAACACTCCAATTTCTACTGCTATTCTATATATCCAGTGAAAGCTGCGACATTTTCAACAATTTTTACATTTCAATTCGAACGAGATGAGATCTCTTTTCCATAACATATTAGGTAAACGACCAAAAGTACTGAACTGGAAAGTGAGACCTTAATTCATCGAATAAATGACTATGTCAAAAATGTCAAATTTTTCGGCAATTGATTATTTTCTACCCAATCGGCGTGGCGTGTATAATTTAATCTAAATTATGTGATCAAAATAATATGGATGGACTCTAATGACGTGAAATAGACCATATTCAAATTGACGTATAACAGTTGAAGTGTGTTGAATGTTTTTTTTTTCACATTATTCAAGATAATGTTGGATATGCGCAGACACAGAAATAGACAGAATATTTGCATACTTTGATTAATTTTAGAATAAAAGACAAGCGATCGATCGATTGTGCGCGTGACCAGTTTCTTTGAAAAGAGCAAAATTAGCGTCATTCGAAGAATAAGCGCGAAGCAGATATAACAAGAAATGTGGTAAAAAATCGCTTTTAGCTAACTTGTAATAATTTGGACATGATTGAACCGAAAACTTGTGAAAAAAATTATTTTTGTCAATAATTTTTGATTGACAGTTCCAATTTCCAATTGTTTTAATTTAAAACAAATAATTCTTCACATTCATGTTGTTGTGAATCTATGAATGCTGATTTTTTTTTTTATTGAATCGACGATTCGTAGTGATTTGATCAAGTAAAATAAAATGATAAACGTGTGACTAATTTTATTGCCCGCTTTCAATTGTTATCAACGAGAGTGAATTATTGATAACAACAGCGAAAGTGGCCATTCAAATTTATAGTCACATGTCCATAAATTCACATGTGTGACCCAAATCAACCAACTATTCCAATAGAAATATCTGAGGTTTTTCAAGCTTATAACACTAAACATAAGCGTGCTGAAAGCGATACAAAGTAAAACGCTAGGCTTTTGCAGAAGCCTCAACGATGCGAGAAATGAAAAACAAACACTTGAAACTCTTCTTGACAAACTTGATTCTATTTTAAGTATGCGAAAACAAACGATTATCCGTACTTTGGCACACGATTAGGTGAGATTCCTTTTTTTTGTTCCTGTCAATATCTTGACGCTTATTATCTGCGTTCTTTGTTTGTATACAGCGTTTGGCGCAGTGGCAAACAGCCATATTTACGATTGCCAAACATTTAAATAATTATAGCATATTATATCGTGCTGCATCGATGTGTCGCACTCAAAGAGATCGCACGAGCGGTGCAAAGTGCATCTCATGACTGTTCACATTTTATTTATAAACACTTATTGGTGGCGGCGGCGGCGTCATTGCCACACGATGCAAACTCACATATAAACAGATTTTACTGAAAAAACTGCGACAGCAAATCTATTTGAAAAATATTCTTAAAGCAGGCCATTTTGTCAAACAAAGTGCCGTTGACCACCGCAATAGAAAAGAAAGCTAAACGTAAAAACGCAAATGTGTCTGACTGGCCCATAACATGGTATTTATAAGCTAGACACAAATATTTTGAAATTTTGATGAATTTTTGTTATTATCAATTTTCAATATGTAACTGACCGTGGCTTTACTCGGTTAATTAAGAGAAACTAAACAAAGACAAATCTCTATAAAGAAAATATATATGTATAGTCGTGTTTACACGGCTTGCAGTGTGAATTTGATGAGCTTGGAAAATTTTCATATTGGATAAAGGTTCATTGATAGTTAAGTATGTGTGTCACACCGGCTTAGGCCAATGCTGTGCTGTCCGTTTATCAATAAAACGTGATACGTGATACATCCACATGAATATTTGAAGTGATTTGATAAGCGGTTTTTTGTATACAAACGCCGTATATCAAAGCGCTCAATAATAAATCTATTTATAGACAAAGACTTCAGCGTTATCGGTTGTACGTCTCGGTTACACATCATGTTTACTATTTTGCTTGCTTTCATCATCTTCATCCACCATCGACTTTTTTTTTTCATTATTACTATTGACATTTCAATGAATCATTCATCGATAAAAAAAAAGTTCCGTTTCAATGAGCAGCAAAACTTATGTTAATTGGTAGCAATTAGACAATGCAATTGTCACATAACGACAATAAAGGAACAAAAACAACTGATTCATCAGCTGTAAGCGATGCTAAGTAATCAATTTAACGATGCCGATATAGAATAAAAACTTGATGTTCGTGACATACGGAGAAACTAAATTTTGGTTAAGATCACGGTCACTAGCAATTTTAATTCGTTTAAAATGTGTCGCCAACAAAGTAATAGAAGTCATTATGGTTTTTTTGCTCTCAATTGGACAGGTTTCGGCAGATTCATTTGACGTAATAGCAATTAAATGCAAATGTTTCATTTAAAGATAATTACGTGGTACTGCATAAATAAATAAAATATCGAAAAGGTTTTGCCATATTTTTATAAAGGAAATGATGGCGACTTTGGAGCACATGACTCCCATTTAGTGTTTAATGAGCACTATACCTTAATTAAGAACAAGTTATGTCTTAAAACTCAAAAGAATATTCAACTCGAAAACACGTAGATTCAGTTAACATGATAGTTTAATTGATTAAAACCGATAAAATTGCAACAAAAATAAACAGAAGAAGCGAAGAAAAAACTTACCCAAAAATGCACGAACTCCAAGTGTACCGCGAGCAATGGAAAGCATCATCGCAAAAATGCCAACTTGTCCCGTTGCAAATACGTAATTTGCTTTTGTGTCAGCCTGATCGGTTGGCTTCTTCTTACGCATTAAACTGCCCCATAATGGGAACAGCGTCGAACCGATCAAAAAACCGAAGAATATCAAATAATCGCAAATAATATTAAACATTGTTCTAAATCAAATAATAGTTGCTCGAAACCCGAATTGTTCAAATCGATAGAGAAAAAAAAAACAGTTTCACTTGAGTACACAAACTAAATCTTTCAGTTGCCACGCATTAAATTTCAAGCAATTTTTCTTTTTGCGCTTTTTCTTCTTTCGAACGATTACTGCTAAACTGAATCGGATGCTGGAGATTTTTCGCCGATCGTACGTGTTGATCGATGTTCTGGATTCGATATGATTGTGGCACTTCGTGATGGACAACGTTTTGATAGAGTTAGTTCACCAAATACTGTAGCAAAGCGAATGCTTCAAATAAAATAAGAATTGTCAATAGCACACGAGAAGGCCACTTCTGCACGCGTTGAACATTAAATCAACACTGAATGTGAATTTGAAAAAAAAAAGTTTTCGATTCAAAAAGAACGACTCCCCGATCAGCAACGGTATTTTTTTCGTATTTTGTCTCTTCTTTTTTTTTACGTTAACGAATTCCTTCGTCGTATTATTTAACTTTTATTGATATATTTCATTTCTTCGTTTTTATCGTTTTAACGTCTGAGTATTTTAGTTTTTCTTGTTATTTGTTGTTGTAAATCGTTGTAAACTTGTTCAGTTTCACACAGAAATTTATGTTTAAAAAAAATACGGATACTCAGTTGTAATGCTGATTTTGAATTTTGCTGGCTGTTCGATCTGAAAAGACAAAATTATCGCAACGAATTTACTTCTCGTAGTGACAATCACCACAAAGTGAGCACCAGTTTTTATAGGCAAAATTAAGCGTTTTTTTTTTCTTTTGGCAAACAGACGTGCACTCACGCACACACAACACACAAGTATATAGAGTATACTACAATAGATAGCAGAACGATGCGCGCGCAATATGAGCCACACTCATGATTCTAGTATACCTTATCATACAGTTTGAGAGAAATTATGACGACGATGATGAAGACGACAAACAATGAGCAAATTTAATACAATGATCAACCGTTCCGAGTAATCCCTAGCGCAGCGGCAAACTGCCATAAATTGGTACATTATTTGTCTACTTGAGCCTAGGTAATGATCTGTGTTTGTAACACATCAATAAATTTATTACCTGATAAAGTCTGTCACTCATAGTAGCCGCCGCAATAAGTATATGCGCAGAACAGGTGTGAAAGAAAAACGAAATTTATCACATGAGCATTCATGAGACTGTGAATGTGTGTTGATATATGAGTGTCACAAATACAAGCCAATGCAGATCAGCATCCGCAGCCCTGCACACAAACACACGGTATCTCTCTTGAAATTACCAGAATATCGACGCTATGACGATAGCATGTTATCAATGTGGTTGTTCGTTATCGACTTACAGCATAGTTGATTCACATAAACAGTGTTTTGGTCACATTCGTTTGCTCATCTATATGTAAACAAATCCATATTCGTGAGAAAATCCAACGTTTTAAATACCATTTTTTTTATGAATATAGGAAATGGTTAAGAGACATTTAAATCAATTCATAAAACCGGATCCGCACATAGGAAAAATCTGTTTTTTCGGCGAGAGAATAGTGTGTAGCAGAGTTGTGAAACGATTTGGGACATTTGCCAGCTTCAAATATTTTTTCACTGTCAATTTGTGTTAGCCCGGCAAAATCACGTGTTGCTAAAATGAACGGCGGTTGTCGTCGTCAGCTGTCTTTTTTATGTAGAATTCCGCGGTGTCTTGCCACTTTTCCCCAACTCTATACGTTTCAATTTTCACAGCTGCATTTGACACGGCAGTGAAAAATTCACGCGAGATGAACGTGCGATTTGCTCTGAACAACAACAAAAAACAAGGTGCTCCTTTTGTTTCGAGAGTATTCCGTGTTTACATTCGATTCAGTTGTCCTTATCTACTGACTAATAAATAACAGTAGTTTTTATCTACTGCTTTGCAGCCAACTCTGTCCAATGAAGAGTGTGTCAATCCATTGTCATTGCCACTTGTAGTAATTAAGTATAACACTTGTTTATGTTTGCCCACTGTCTGCAATCCTCTTTTTATACTCTGTGAATGATATTGTTGCTTGGAATTTTTTGTAATTGTTACATGGAATCGAAATTTTCCATTTTTTGACAATATGAGACTTATCAACGCTGAAAAACACTCTCACTTCACTTGCGCATCGTCCGAATCTCAGTTGCGAATCCCTATAAATATGAAAACTTTTTGAATTCCATAGATAAGTAGAATTTGAGTCATGCCTTGAAAGAACATACTCGAAACACTGCAATTTAAATAATGTAGAGTGATATTCGAAATAAACAGGATTTTAGTCTGCATATCTTATTTCTCCCATGCCATTTTTACACATAGCTTTACCAAATACATACGTTCTACAGCGAAATCGGCCCCTCACCGGTTTAATCGTACATCTTTGTGTGGTGCCAGTATTGATTGTCAAGTGCGGTAATAAACTTGATTATTTGGCCGTATAAAGGCGGAACCGCTTTGAAAATACATTGAACGATCCCTACACACAAACATAATCAAAAAGCAGAATGTCCATTCATTTTATGAATTCACGCTTCTTTCACACGAGTCTTGGATTTGGTCACATGGGTGAAACTGCCCATATACAATTTTGCTTTGGAACTTAAATTCCATCGGCGTTGCCACGTTTTTGACTTCTTCTTATGCTGTTATGTGATGACGACTGTTTTTCTCTCTTTCACCTTCGTTCACATTTGCTGCTCAACAGGAGCACGTTACCAACGAAAATCAACATAAAACCCAGACTCAACAGACACAAAAATACCAATTAATGATCATCAACAAACGTACATTTCGCGAATATCGATTTCCAAATGCAAATTTTGTGCGTAAACGTATTGTATCTTGTGAACGTGTTTTTTTGTTAACTTGTTTCCCGATTTCTGATATTTTATTTTATTCGGCAATATTTTATCACATATTTTGTTTAAGATCGACAGTGTCACTGCTCTCCGAGAGTGACATGAAAATTTCGATGAGTAACTTGGATTCAGGTTCGTTTCGTTTCTAAGTCGAAGTACTGATGTTTATTAAATCGAACAATGAAAAGTTTTACAGCATTCCAGCAAAGGTCGAATGACCTTCTTCATGATTCACGGAAAAGTTACGCACAGAATTCGAAACAGGCTTTTCACATTTCTCATGCCAAGTGACAAACGTATTGTGATTGGCGAAAAAAATTGAAACAAACACTTTTAATTTTCTTTCTTAAAACAAAGGTAGTGAGCAGAAAAAAAACACAAATTCACACACGGTCCAGATTATTCTAGGTTATGTCTGCAATGTGCTGTCAAAGTACGAAACTCTCGATTGTATTGATGAAATATTCAAATCTAACGGAAACATCTGTCAATATGTAACAAATGGAATGTTCAATAAAATTTTAATGACAAGTCGTATAGAACCGCGAATTTCGTATTTTGTAGTTCAATAGTACATTGATCAAACATGAAAAAGAAGTTCTACCGAATTCATCAAGTTCATGTGAAAGCAAAAGTTTGTTTTATGTACGTCAATCTTCTGATTGAGTCTTTAAGTAAATTGATCCAATGACCGAATCAGTTAACTGTTTTACTGTGTGGCATAACCAGTTTCCGATGGGTATGGTCGATGGCGAAAGGCGAATAAACTCAGACGTGACATAAACAATTGGATGATCCGTGAATTTAAATGAAAATCGCTTCCTTTATATTTTATGGAATAATTTATTTTTTGGCGTCAATTTTTTCTTCTTTTTCTTTGATTGCATTTTTTTTCGATTTAAAACTCATCTTTTTTTAGTACTTCAAATTTATTTTCGATACTCATGAAAATTAACATTTAAGAAAACTAATTAATTGATACCTAAAAGCATGAAAGGAAAATTTCACCATAACTTATACGAAAAAAGCATATAATTGACAATAGTCAAAAAGAGTATATTGATTTTGGGCTAACACACAGAACCATTTCCCAAAAATATCGGGGATTCACCTGTTTGTTTGATTTTTTTCCCTCTGAAGTTGACGAATTCACTGAACATTTTTTTTTAAATAATAGAATTGCGAGAAATTTCGTTCAGGGAATTTATATTTGGACTAAGAGTGAACAAAGTACTCGGAATTAGCAATTCCCAATATGAATCAATAAGGTTGTATAATGAATTTAATGACGATATTGTGTTTGAATAATACGGAACTGGCTGCTTTTTTTGCTATCTGGTGAATACCTAATGACGACATACTTGCGACGAAATAAGCTGACAATTTCTGAATTAATTGAATCTGGATAAGGAAGGTCAATACAATTGAGGTAACAATGGATGCGACGGTAACGGCAATATGTATGATTAAATGCAAACAAAATACGGCAGCAAAGCAAACAAAGTCTGGCTGCAATTAAAGGCAACACGTAGTCTGTGCTTACCCGATAACGTTATTGCAACTCTCAATTCCCATATCAACACAAATCAGCCTAAATTATCATGTAAAAAGAAAGTGAGTACGATTGTCATTCTACGGCAAGTGGATTTTCATGTATCGATTTGTTAGAACAGATTCTGTCCCGTTGCATCTGTAAATTGGATCCTAATGCAAACTATGTATGCAATGATCGAAGATAATGTGCAGAGAAAACTGCGTCAAAACATCACATAAATCAATAGTATGCATTTTGCAGATGAATAACACATGCGTGATGGAAATTTCCAATTCGTATTTCATTTTTACATAACCTCTCTCGTGTTTGTTCTTCGGCGGGTGGAATAATCGCTCATTTGTCTTGTGGCTGTTTGTTTGTTTGTTTTTTCACTTGTTTATATTTTTCATTTTGCCTAATGATATATGAATGAGATTTAAGAATCGGGATTGGAACAACAAGTCTCGTTTTCACTTTTAAATTATGGCGCTAGCCGGCTTAAAGTTGGTTTGACGGTGGTTTTTTTTTATTATTATTTCAATAAAACTCGTGTAATTAAAGCGGGCCCTTTCAAATGACTTTTTCTCTATCGGCAGATGTCATCGACGATTGCATCTCGGGAATGGGCTAATCATGTGAGTCACATGATGTGACTTTTATTTCATCTAATTATTGTGCTTTTTTTATCTCCATCAAATTCAAACAAGTGCCATTTTATTTGGACCGTTTCGTGGTTACCTTTTTTTCAAAATTGTTTATTTCAGTTTAAATCGTATTTGCAGTTAAACAATCTAAACCATAAAATATCTTAACAAACACAAGTACTTTTCGCATCTGAGCGGAATTTTTTCATTTTTACATATGCGATCGGTTAGTGTTGGTGTCTCTCTTTTAGCACTACATGAAATACTACTTACTTCGACAAACATATTTCATGTAGTACGGGCTTGTTTCAGCTGTCGTACCAGATAAAATCGTACCCACCAAACGTGCTAGAGAAGATTAGTGCGCAAATTTTTTTTATGACTTTGCGGGAAATTATTCAAGATTTAATTATCACAAACAAAACAAACATCTTTCTTCGATTAATTGTCCACTAGCTAGTTTTTTTTTCGATGCTGAGATATGCTTCTTCTCGATAGAGTCAAATCTAAATATTTCCACATTTTGATCCAATATACAATATTTACATTCAAAGAGGAAATAGAATTCATCACAAAATACAGGAGAAAAAACTGCCAACTGTTCTGGAATGACTTTTTTTTTGAAGTCACGTGCAAAGATAACAATTAACCATAAGCCCCATACTTTTTACACACACGATAAGGACTATTGTTTTTTCTTGCGTTGCCTTTCTTTTTTCACACAAATATTCGACCTTCTTTCTTAGTGAAATCAGCAATTTATCCAGATGATACCATTCTACCGCAGAGACATTTGAACTGTTGAGGATATTCGTTGAACATTGTTTGTGTGGTACCATAAATGTGGTACTTGAAAATGTTAGTACGCAAAAGCGGTACACGTGTTGTTGTAATCACGGCTTAAAAGCCACGAAAAAAGTATTTTGATGTATCGCTTTTGCGTACCGACATTTTCAATAACCGTATTTCATACGAACGTAACAATGTCCAACGAATATTCTCAGCAGTTCATTTCTTCTTTTTTATTTATGACATTTTAATCGCTCACGTGGCTTGTAGCGAAAACGCGAATTTTTACGGCTGAGAATTGGGTCTCTAATCCTCGAGATAAAAACAGAGAATGATTTGTTAAAAAAAAAAACCATGTAATCTGGTCGAGTAAATCACATTTATCTCAATTATTTTACGAGTGATGACAAAATTTATTGTGCATCATAAACGAAAATCTTTTTGCAAATTCCAGTTAATTGTTGATTTACCAAATATTTTCGAGATCGACGCATCGCCAAAATTTGTGTGAATATTCTGATAAGCAATGAATGAGGTACATTCAAATATTTGCTTAAGTAATATTTATGATGTGCCGTCTTTTGTACTAAATGATACGTATTCTCTGCGGGAAACGGATCTGAAAACACGCTATCTCACCAATTTATGAATCATTGATGAAAATGTAACGCGTCACATTTTGCGTCATTCGACGTTTTTTTTATGGAATCTTCATTAAATATATGTTTAGTTAATCTAAAACAAGTGGAGTATGTTTGATGGTTGTAAGATCCTTTTGCCAACAAATTTATTCATTCAAATTGATTTATGCTTATATTTACAAGAATCTAAACAAATATGCTTTAGAGAGAGATAGGATTCTTAGCACTGCGTGGATATTTTTGAATTACCTCTAACAATTGCTTTTATTATTTTATTGTTTTATTTTGGAAATATTTGATCGTAGGTGAAATTTTCGAGAATTCTACTTGAGATACGTTTCAATAGGCGCTGGAGAGCCCTTTCGACTAATGGAATAATATCTTTTGAAACAACATCAAAATTTTCATTTAAGACCCCATTTACAGCATCACCTGTATTTTGAAATGAAAAATAATAATGAAATAACACAAAAATGCGTTGAACAATCGCTATGTCAATAAAAAGAAAAACTTACCTAAGGCTTTATCACCGTTGAACAGGTTGAAAAGCCTAACTTTACCTTTGCCTACTTTAATTTTGATAACAAACTTTTTCATTGTAACCAAATCACTGTTTTCCTTGCGAGCAAATTGCATGCGCACACTTCCAGTAGAATCAGCTGTGTGTCGAAAGTTATACAATGTTAATAGTTTTATTTATTAAATTGGCTGTCGTTCACAATAAACTCACTGAAATTTCCTTTGAATGGGCCCGTGCCTCTGATCGGTAATAATAAAACTTGTCCATTAACTTCGTACGTTCCTTCAACCTCAAGTTTTGGGAAAAATACTTCGGCATTATAAATTTGTCCATACTCGACAACTCTAGCAAATAAAAAGATAAGGTTTGTTATGAGTCAGGTGTTCCTTGCGAAATTCCAGTGAAAAGTGTAAAAAAGTAAAGAAATTTACTCCAAACTCTTAATTTTGAAAGTTGAAGCGCCAAATGCACGAATATTTTTAGCCGTAATACGTAATCCATTGGATTGTGTGGCTTCCGAAACGAGCAAATTTCCGATGTCCATTGGCTCAATACTTGGAATGTTCAAGTCTAGTCAAAATTAAAAGGAGAGAAATAGAATGTAACAAAAAAAATGAGCTAAAAAACGATTTTGTTAGCAACTTGCCTGGTATTCCTGTCACTAATTTTGGTCTAAGCGTCTCGATCGAAGTTATCATGCAGCCGGTTAAATTCGGATCGTTCTCATGACAAATGTGCAAATAATCAGCTAAATGTGAAAAATTTGACAACATCAATAACAAATAAATAAATACATACATATACAAATGATTTGTCAATCGACTAGAATTCACTTTTTTGCGAAAAAGAAAAAAAAATTATCAAAAACTTTTCGAAATGTTGGTGCTTTTGGTACCATTGCATCATTAAGTACATTTCTGACGGACAATCATTTTCCAAATGGTATTGTATACATATCGAAAGTGACTGCGGTACATTCTAAGGCTGTAAATAGTTCGTTATGAGTAATTATTTGACGAGTGTTGCGTGTATTTGTCATTTAACAGCTACGAAGCGGCACAGTGATAGAACAATCGAAGTCAGACACTTTGAAACAAAATGACCTTGATAAAGAATGCGATTCGTTTTCTTTTCGTAAACGTCAATTAAACTAAAAAAAAAAACTATGCTACTGAAAAGCGCCAATTTTAAAACCGGTGTTTAACACACTCGAGTTCAACGTATTCAATTTCATGTGACTAGTCTATTGACATACACTAATATGCTTCATTACAACGCCGTTAGGCGAGCGGCACCTTTTAAAATTATTTGATTTTGTGTGTCAAGTGAGTTCATGCCTTTTGCAGCATTCGCGTTGAAAAGGTTTTCAAGTCAGAACCTTTTATCTTTATTAAACTAACACATGTACATTGCCTCACCAAGTTCTGAACATTTTTTCATACATTGTCCAGGTACTTGACGCAATTTACGCAGAAAACATATGATGAAATTTTCCCTCTCTGCTTTGCTTTGATAAGAATTTTATCGGAAATAAAAAAAACTGAATGTGGTGCTAGCTGACGTGAGAATTTTTCATTATCTCAATCAAAATAAAAACAGGGAAACACATTTGTAAAACACGCCGCATCGGTGTTATCATTTGAAATTTCATTTATACGTATTTTTTTAAGGTCAGTGATATTTTTAAATTTCCCCTCCAAGTGAACGATATGCAACTTGACATTAAACTTCACGAAGAGAAAAAAAAGCTTCCACGTATGCTTTTGCTTGCGAGGCTGTTGTAAAGTTTGATTTTAGTTTCAGCAAACCTAACATATTTGATGCCTGTTTTTTGAATAAGATTATATCCCGAAATCGTTTACTCATTTGATGCATGAATTTGATTTTTAAATCTTGTTATTCTGCAAAACCGGACCATTCTGAACTTTTGCTCAAAATAATAATAAACCGTGTTCAATGTGAACTTGAAACACATGTTTTTGCTTAACTTTCGCTGTCAAAGCGAAATAAACATGTATATGTCTGATATTAAAAGAGTTTTACCGATATTTTTTGCAATTCTTTAGAGAACGTTTTTGCAGTCGATTCTTTTTTTGCCAATTTAATTTATTCTGAAGATTAAATTGCGCACTTTGAAAACAGCTCAAACGGTTTTTTTATATAGCCTGTTGGACTTGTCTATAGAATGTAAAAGCGAAAATAAAATGCCATCTGGGTATCTTTATGGAGATTTCAAGTTCGATTTTAAGAACGGATTTAGAATGAAGCGAAATTTAAAGTTTATATTAAGAAAATTGCAAAAATTATCCATTACCAACGAAACAGGTACATATCTAAAAAAAAAATAAACACAAATACAAGAGTTGATAGAGTGACAAAAGGTCGCGCCCGCTTTCCGAAATGCAAATATATTTTGATAGTATGACATCCTTTTTTTGGTTATTTTGCATGTTTACGAGTCACCTTTGGCATATATTTTTGCAATGGAATTGCACCAATTGAAAGTTTATCATTTTTGTTTGTGTTACGTGAATCGATATTTCGTTTAATTTATGAATGCGTGTTCGTTTGGGTTCACGCCATCAAATAATTTCATTATACCAATTGGTTTGAGTCAATATTTGGGGGGGGGGGGAAAGTTAAACTAAGCCATAAGAACTTTTTCAAAATAATTAAAAAGACCAACACTTACGTATCGGATGTTCTGCCATGCATGGTACAAGGCATATTGCCACGGCAATGTACAATGAACTCGAGAACATTTTCATTGTTGTTACTCTTCTGCTGATTTTTCTTCTTCTGTGGAATGAATATCAAATAGAAATTGTCGTATAAAATAAATGAAACTTAAATGATAATAATACCATGCGTAAAACTAACATAAATAATAGAAAATTTAAATGAGTTCTTTTATTCTTCAAATGTTTACTCATTCTTCTTAACTATAAGAACTGAATCTTCAATATAGTTCAAAACAAACATGTTAGTTTATTTTTCTTGGATAAATTATGTCTGCAAATGCAAAAGCTAAGTAAGATCTATTAAAAAAAATGAATTCGAAATATATTCAAATAGCAACGAAAGCAAAAGTGACTGATTGACGTTCTATTTGACCATCCTCCCATTCCTTGTTTTGTTTTATCATTTTCAAGAGTTTTACTTCTTCAACAGATATGACGAGGATAAAATGAAGTATATTCTGATAAAATCTTCATTGTGTCCATAAAAAATCAAACAATGACCAGACAAAAGACCATATATTTTTGGACCTATTGTTTACACATTGCTTTGAAATATGTTTTGAAGGTCAAACTTAATCAGAATGTTTGCATTTTGCACGAGTCTATCACTTGATTTTGGAATAAATTAGCAGCACATCTTCACTTTTGTTTTATAGATTGACGCCACTGCGTTCCACTCCATAATCCGGAATCGTTATTATAAATCAGTTCATAATTAAATTTACGACATGTTTATTCGGTTAGAATATAAATGCGGAAAATTTCCAGAATACAAATATACGGAATTATGCTTTACAAGTTCGAAGCTCAGAATTATCCGAAGAAGTAAGTGTGCCGACACGCTCAGAATATTTCTTTTGTATTCCTTTCCTTTCGAAATGAAATGCGTGTGCAAAATTCCATAGAAAAGTTCTGAGTTGAATTCTTAAAACGAAAGATGGTTCTAACAAGTGTTTTATTCTAAAAGATTTTACAACTGTTTCTATCAATTTAGCTCATTTAAATTTAAATCATAATTTTTACTAATCAATTCGGTAACATACTGAATTTTTCACTTTTTTCACCGTTTATTTAGTTAAACTTTGCGATTAAACAATGAACATTGACACAGAAAATAATTCCAATAGCATATAAGATTCTTTTCTAAGAATATTTCAAAGTGGCAAATAAACTGCAAAAAAAAAAAAAAAATCAGCACTAAGATTGAATCGATGAAGTCAAGAATAACTGTTGAACGATACTGAATTCAAATTCTGAAAGACATATCACTTTTATAGTAATTCAAGGACAGCAACGATGTCCGATATATTTTGTGTATGACAGTTTTTTTTTCTGTTGTATTCTCGTTCTCCTTCTCCTTCACACTTTCGCATCGTTGCGGTTACGGAGTTTTGATGTCAACAGTATTCTGGTCGGTTTTCGCTAATCACCGCTATAAAATATCATAATGACCATAGTTTGTTGTGAGCAGTATGTTGTCGGTGTTTATGTTTCTATTTTTTTCTCTTTCATTCTATTTTTCATGTATGCGATTTTCGCTAAACTTTGTTCTATCTGCATTTGTACGGTTTTGTTTTTTCATCGAATCACGTCCATAAATGACGAGATGTTTCTGTGAGAAGATCCGATTATATTGTTCATCTGATGTTTACATGACTTATTTCATTTTGGATAGTGGCCGAATCATAACTACATATCTAATTAAATCCGTTTAAAATCATAGAGCGAATTTAATGCAATGCATGCTTTCAGTTGAATGTCCCATCAAAATGATGCAATGAATCCAATAAACAACAGCGAAATCAAAATAATAATTTAAAAAGAATAGACAAAAGTGCGATAAATAAATTTTCTACATGAATTTAACTCAAAACAAATCGTCGTAATTTACACGAAATGACGTGAAGTTAGATGAATAGCGCTATTTTTGATCCCGTTTCGTGTCGAATTGCAGTCGAATGTATATGAAACTGCTGTAAACATCCATTAAGTTCAATTTTGCATATTGTGCGTACATAATTTCCATACGGGTTTGTTGCCTCAGTATATGGCAAGCTTCCAGTAATTAAACATTCTAGTTCTCTCTAAAGATGCATAGTTGTTAATAGCCTACAGGTTTCAAATTCAACCGTATGCGTCAAACGGCAAACTACAGCTACGAACAGTTTAAAATGATTTTCTTTCGCAATACGATTTATATTACAAATGTCTCAACCAAATTGGAAAAATATTCAATCGTTAGTCGTGTTGTTTTACATGTTTCGTAAAAATAATTTACAACTTCCTCAAGGAAAAGTAATAAAAGTCGTGTGAATTTCAATGATGACATTGCGTGCATAATAATTAACAGTTTGCGAAGAGTAGACTTTGTGTCTCAACGTCTCATTTTACCGAATTCTCTAATTTCAAGTAAAAATTAATGCGACATTTCTTCCAACTGGGTTTTTTCCATTTGCTTTTGACGCAAACAAATTCATCTTCTTTCTTCTCTCCCGCTGTTGCCATTCAAACGCCACAAATGTTCCACTCGGCTAAATAATAACTATCCTTTCATTCATTTATATGTGGAGACCAAAATGTGCAAAGTCCACGAATGACAAATGATACAACATTTTGAATTAAATCGTTTTAGTTGCTCAAACAAATGAACAATTTTCAATTCAAATGAACTCACTGAATTTAAGCATATCACCGATTTGTTCCGTGCTTTGAATAATAGCCACAGGTAAGCCTTTTTTGAATGAAAAAAAAATCACATAATCGTCACGCGGCGTTGTCTGCTTTTTCATTTCATCGTTGATGTTCTCTTGATATAAAGACAAAAACAATAATAACTAGACCGACGAGTATTTCAACAAAACGTGTATGTATCTCATAATATGAAACACATCACGTTTCAGAGATTCGATCCAAGTGATAATATCTTTTAACCAGATTTTTGGATTTAAACAAAAAAAACATTTAATGGTTTCATTTTGATAAACGATTGAATTTATTATAATCCTGTTTTTTGCACAAATGAACAATGTTTTAGTTTAAGCTTTCAATGATGAAACAAAAAATGTGTCGTTTTTTCTTCAATAACAATGGTTCTTTCGGTTATCTATTTTGATTTTTTTATTTTTATTTTGTTTCATTTCTTCACAATTTTTTTCGTTGGCCCAATAAAAGTATGCCATCAAGTGTCGATTCAACGGAAAACGTTTTGAAAAAGTGCATTAATTGCACATGTGCAGAAAATATATTTGACATTGACGTTTGAATTCATCTGTCACTATTTCATTCATACACCGCGAACAGAAAAAAAAACATCTGTCAAATGATTAGTTAGTCGTATTCTGTAGTCCAAATCATATAGATTTGTGCACGTAAAAGATGTGTGAAATTCTCTCAGAATAATTGGAAATAAAGTAAATTGCACAAAATGTCACGTGTTCTACGCGGAAATTTTGGGTAAATGCATACGATTCATTTCTGTTCAGTGACTTCAGTTTCAAAATGCTCAAGTATAATTTAAAAAATAAATCTATGTAAATATGAACATGGATCATAACCTAACATTTATTGTTCAGTGACATTATGTAAAATATCAAAGGGAATATTGATTTTTTTTCTCCGTGCCGTGATTAGGTTCCAAGTACGACCAAAGGCTTTCAGACCCATTGTTATTCTGAATGTTTCTCGGTTGAATTTCTCGACACTCACGGGAAATGGAGCGTACAAACATCAATCGTTGCGACGAAAACCGGAATTGCTCTTGCAACGCGTACAGCCTGAACTGACTTTGATGGTCGTACCCAGTAGAAGCTATGGCATGTTAGCTGTGAGGTAAATTTTGAATGTTAAGTTTTCTTAATTGTGCATTTGCTCATGGATTCAACTTCAATTCCACACCAGAATTTTGCGAGGCGCATTAAAACTGCGATATTTGCTCCTGGGAGGAGCCATTACCGGAGGAGTAACATTGAATAAGGTGAATTTTCTTTAAATCACACACTTTTATCTCATTTAGTTCATGGCCTTGGCCATTCTTTTTGACAGAGATATGAAGAGTGGAGAGATGGATTGCCGGATTTCAAATGGTTAGATGATGTTCTACCCGACAACGATCAATGGAACCAATTTTCACACAATTTGAAAAACATAACAAATTCCGTTCGCGACTCAATAGAAATTGGTAGTAAAGTGTTTGATTCATAAAAATTGAAAGAGAAATAATTTCATGACATTTGTAGATCCTCGTTTAAAACAACTCAGTGAGAATAAAATGGCTGAATGGAGACGCTGGTTCGATACTCGTCTTGATGATGCAATTGAAGCCGCATCAACGCAACAACACCCGGAAATTGAGGGTAAGATTTACATCACATATGATTACTATTTTGGGTTCATTCGACTATATCGTACAAGAATGATTTATGACCGAGATCTACTACACATACACATTCGAATCGAAAAGCCGGTGCAAATTCTTACCTACATATTCATTTCTTCACAAATCATGTGACCATACTGATTGATCGCAAGATTAACGACGAATCTTTTCTTTTTCATTTAGGTTCGTTCCAAAGTCTGTCTGAATTTGTGTCAAATGTATACGGAGGTAATTAAAACAGTGAATCATTCTTGTTGCGATATTTAAAAGAAAAATTCATCAAAGAACAGTAGTGCAATAATTCATTTTTTTTCCTTTCATTTTTCAGCATCTAAAGATGAAATCCGTAAGGCAAACACCGTGAATGCAAAAGCGCCGAGCGCCGATGAGAACAATCGTAAGAAGAATGAGGCAATGCAAAAGCAGATTGAAGCTTTGCAAACCGAAATTATGAACGTTCAAATCAAGTACCAAAAGGAGCTCGAGAAATTGGAGAAAGAAAATCGTGAACTTCGTCAACAGTACTTGATCATCAAAACGAATCGTAAGACGACGTTGGGCAAGAAAATCAAAGTGAGAACATTTCCATTGAAATTATACTTGATTTGCATTTCAATTGCTTGGAATGAGTGAACGAAAAAAATACAATATAATGAACTTCTTCTCGAACAGAAATCGCTCATTGACATGTACTCCGAAGTTTTGGATGAGTTATCTGGCTACGATTCAAGCTATCAGACTGCAGATCATTTGCCCCGTGTTGTGGTTGTCGGAGATCAATCCTCTGGAAAAACTTCTGTCTTGGAATCGATTGCAAGAGCTCGAATTTTCCCTCGTGGAAGTGGTGAAATGATGACACGTGCTCCAGTCAAAGTCACACTGTCGGAGGGCCCATATCACATTGCACAATTTAGGAACAGTGATCGTGAATATGATTTAACTAAAGAATCCGAATTGGCCGAACTGCGTCGTGAAGTTGAACTACGGATGCGTTCATCGGTGCGAGGTGGAAAAACGGTGAGCAACGATGTGATTTCAATGACGGTCAAGGGGCCAGGTTTGCAGCGAATGGTGTTGGTCGATTTGCCTGGAATCATCGCAACACAAACGGTCGATATGGCAAATGACACCAAAGACTCCATTCATCAAATGACCAAGCATTACATGAGCAATCCAAATGCAATCATTTTGTGTATCCAAGATGGATCGGTCGATGCAGAAAGGAGCAACGTAACCGATTTGGTTCAACAATGCGATCCCATGGGCAAGCGCACAATTTTCGTTCTGACCAAAGTTGATATGGCTGAGGAACTGGCTGATCCAGATCGCATCCGAAAAATTTTAGCTGGAAAATTGTTTCCAATGCGAGCACTTGGCTATTTTGCCGTCGTTACTGGCCGTGGACGTGGAGATGACTCCATCGAAAGCATTAAGGATTATGAGGAGAAATTCTTTAAGAATTCAAAACTGTTCCAGTGAGTAAACGTTATTATTTGTGTATCCAAGAGCGGGAGCTAACAATATGTTCCGATTTGGATTATTTGTAGGAGTGGCGTCATCATGCCGCACCAAGTCACAACACGAAATCTTAGCTTAGCTGTTGCTGATCGTTTCTGGAAAATGGTAAAAGAAACCGTTGAACAACAAGCAGATGCATTTAAAGCCACCCGCTTCAATCTGGAAACTGAATGGAAAAATAATTTCCCAAGGTAAATGTCTCGCTGATGCATTCACATTTACTTTGCCTATTGCTATATTTTTGCCAAACTTTTCTTCCAATACAGACTGAGGGAATCGAGTCGCGACGAATTGTTTGAAAAAGCAAAGGGAGAAATTTTGGATGAAGTTGTCAATTTATCTCAAATATCAGCCAAAGACTGGGAAAATCTGCTATACACAAAACTATGGGATAAATTGTCAAATTACTGCTTTGAAAATATTTATTTAGCAGCCGCAAATGCTAGTTCGCCAGGTGACTATTTATTGAAATTGTCTGCAAAATCAATAGTTTACTTTTTAACTAAAATTCACATTTATGACCAGGTCAATTCAATACAATGGTTGATATTAAACTTCGTCAATGGGCCGATCAAGGGCTGCCATCGAAATCGGTTGAGTCTGGTTTCGAAACGCTTCAAAGTGAATTCAAGCGGCTAATTGAATTAGCTAAAAAGTCTCCGGACCATGATGATCTGTTTGATAATTTAAAAACAGCTGTAATGGAAGAAGCGGTGAAACGACACACATGGGAAGATAAAGCCACTGATATGTTACGCATCATCCAGTTGAATACACTGGAGGATCGAAGTGTTCACGATAAAACTGAATGGGATCAGGCGGTTAAATTTTTTGAAGAGTCGGTTAAATCAAAACTTCAATCCACCGAACAAACCATGTCCGAAATGTTCGGTCCGGGCACATATGAGAAGTGGCTGAAATGGACCTCAGGCACTGAAGATCAAACGAAGAGGCGTCACGTGAAAAGTGAATTAGATAAAATCCTAAGCAGTGATCAAAAGCATTTACCAAGTTTAACGTATGACGAAATGACGGCCGTTCGAAAGAATCTACAACGATCAAACATTGACGTGGAAACTGATTATATTCGAGAGACTTGGTACCCAGTGTATCGACGTCATTTCTTAAAACTGGCCATGTCTCGAGCGTACGACTGTCGAAAGGGATTCTATTTGTATTCACAACAACAGGGCAGCAGTAATTATGATCAAATCATCAATTGCAATGATGTTGTACTGTTCTGGCGCATTCAGCAAGTGCTCAAAGTTACATCAAATGCTCTGCGACAGCAGGTGGTGAATCGAGAAGCTCGACGACTTGACAAAGAAATCAAAGAAGTTCTCGATGAATTCAGCGATGATGAAGATAAGAAAGTCCAGCTATTAACTGGGAAACGTGTTTTATTGGCAGAAGAATTGAGTAATTGATTGGAAACATACAAACATAAGTTGTACAGATTTTAATCAAACGTTTTTCCCTTTATTTTCAGTTCGTGTGCGGCAAATCCAAGAAAAATTAGAAGAATTCATAAATGCATTGAATCACGAGAAATAATTGGCTATGAAATCGCTTCACTGGTTCCCTCACACTAGATTTTTGAATTTCTGTTTGCATGCTGCTTAAGATAATTTAAATTGCACAACTATTATTTCGTAAAATTGAAAAAAAGAAGAAAAAAAATATATGTTATTTCTTAGAGAAATAATCCAAACTAATGAGTCTTTTATTAAATATCTCAACTGACGAGGCCTATTCAATGGGATAGGCTGTTGTGTTGTGTTGTGTTGTAGCAATGGTCAAGTACGCAGCCATGTTTGACATCTGTCAAAATATCAATTGTCAATCGGATAAGACGAAGCTTTTCAAAGTTCTATCGAATTATTAGTGAAGAGAATGTTCATTTTGACTAACAAAAAAATCACAACTATTCATTTTTATGGTTGATTTTAGTTTTTAAATTCATTTTAAATGTTCGAATTTGTGTTCATATAAAGCGTTGCTAGTATTATTTTGAACAAAAATTACGACGTAATTTGAGGAAGCTGCATTGTGTTGACGTGTGTATACAATGTCAAGGCACTCAAATTTCCATTTTCGCGGAGAACGCGAGGGTCGTGTCGCCCAAATGAGTAGACAAGAGGAAGTAATTGCACGAAAACGCCAAGCGATTTTGGAAAAGCAAAAAACAAATGAGCTGGCAAAACAAGTGGTAGCCGCGCAGAGTGGAACTGTAGCCAACGAGCCAACACCACCAATTGCATCCGGGTCAGTGAAAGAAACAAAACATCCATTGAACTTACCTAAGCAGATATTCGAAGTGGAGCCACCACAACCGAAGAATAATTTCACAAATGATGGGTCATTTTTTGAGAATTTTCGGAAAATCACCGAAGCAGCCAAGAAGGCAGAGGAAGACAAGCAGAAACTTGAAGCGGATCGCCTAGCTAAAGAACAAGAACAACAGAAGGCAGAAAGTGACGAAAATGCTGAGCAAATGATGCCACCGCAACCAATTCCACCGTAATTGATTTGAGCCCATGACAATTTGGATTTTTAAGTTTCATTAAATATGTTACTTTATCCATATGATTAGATTGGATTTGATTGAAAGATATATACTAATGACCATTTTGATAAATCGATTTTAGGTTGGACTCGGCATTCTCAACTAATTCAATGGCTCTGGGGCCAATTCCAATGAAGGAGCCAATTATATTTCATCAAAATATTCCGCCTTTTCTGAATCTAGGTGCCCCACCACCACCACCGCCGCCACCTCCTGTATCGATCGAGCAAATGATGCCACCGATCGAGCAAATGATGCCACCGATC